CGTGGATGAAAACGTTGATGAGTGTGTGCTCATCAACAGGGTTTTCCGTGACGCTACTCACAAGGTTTCGTAGGTGTTGTGCGTAATCGTGCACGTCACGCTTACCTTGTTTTAGCCTCAAGAGTGCAGAGCGTGCTCTGGAATCGGCTCTCGGCGTCTCAAACGTCTCTTTAAGCCGGGACTTCAAGATCTTTAACGACTAAAACACGTTTGAGCCGTGAAGCTTGAGCCCTAATGCCCAGTTGTGTAATCGTCCCGTCTTTTATGACAGGGCGAAGGTGACTTGCATCTCGTCACCCTCGATGTGACGGGCCCTGATGGCATCGTCTAACTCGACGAGCCATCTCAAATGGAGTCTTCATCGGTTCCCTTGTATCTTGAGATATCTATCTTCAAGGTTTCGGGTCGACGCATGTGCGTCAGCCCGCCCATCGACTGATGAGAGCCTTGCTGTTGTAGCAAGCTATCTTTTGTCTTTCTATATCAAGTTCACCTTGTAGAAACTTGTTGATAGCAGCATGTCGCTAGTCTCTGTTAACATACTCCAACATGCCTATGATGGCGGGTTAGCCCCTGATTACACTCATGCGGCCGACCTCCCATTCTGAGTCACTCAGATGGGAGAAGCCTTCACGTGAGACATGAAAGCTGTCGTCTTCAACGTCCAAGATGTTCATGTTGGACGGACACTAAGTAGTCGTTGGACGGACTACAAAGTGCTACCAGGTGTAACGGGGCACCCTTTGTCTAGGTGCCACGAAACTTCACGTAAGCTCGTACGTGCAGAGGAAGCTAATCTAATTGAACAGCTAGTTTTAATAAAGGTAAAGAGAGAACTGTACTTAATATAGCTTACCTATCAATATAACTTCAGTCTGTATCTAGCTATGATGATCTACATTGTCGTATGACGACAACCTGCTCACCACCCATTGCGCGCATCTAGCAGCGATTGGTGGTAATCTTGGTTGAAATGTCTTTATCAACCAAACTTCGAGCAGTACACGGATGTTATCCGAACGGGATAATATACCTTCAATATTACCTATCTCGAGTATCATTGGTAGGAGATTGTCGCGCTAGACAATCTTCCCATTGACACCGTTGGGTTTAAATATCATGTGATGGGAACCCCGTTACAGTTGCAACCCGGTCTACACATCGGGTGGACAGGGATGTACTCTATCATATTGTGATTGACTGTACCACATATATTTCGACAGTGACTAGTCCAATGACCCCGTAAAGCGCACATAACAACCGAATTCGTGTTTACTTTTCGCTAGAAATGCGATTGCACGATATTTACGGCTTCATCCTATTGTCGCAATATCGAGCGCTTAGGTGAAGTTTTTGGTTGTATGTGTAGAAATTAATAAGCAATTGATGAACATCCTGCTAGGAAATTGTTTTGATTGCAAAGTAACCGTTTGTGTGATTTGCCAATATGGCAGCATGCGTGATGGCGACACCAATGGCACGAAGACAACAATTTACTCTATTCAAAGGGGAGCAGAAATTCTTGCTATCTTGGATTCAATCTATGTCAATAATGGACGCTTTTGTATCTATCTGACTCTACCGATCACATTGAAGCAATCAGTACTTCTTGTAAGATTAGCACAACTCTGTAAAAATTAGTTAAAGATCGACCAGCCACGATGATCTGTATAATGCGACATATTTTGTTGGTCGAAAACTCAGGCCACTGGTCTGACCACTGCAGTGAGGGTCCAAGGCCAGTACAGTTGTAAATCTTCCACCAACCACACCAGTAAAAAGCTCGGAAAATTTTAAGGCCGCGTGTTGTAATTGGCCTTAAGCCGGCCTAATTATAGAAGAGAATTCTTGGACATGGTCACTACTGGGCAGTGCTTCCCTACTGATACAAAAGTTGTACTTTTTACGTAAACGAGTCATTTGTAGATGACGACAAATTCATTTAAACAGTGTAACTGGGTGTGTACGTATGATTGGATGGGTGGATGGTTGCCTTTTATGTTTCGTTTCTTTTCCTTGCACTAGGAGCAAGGCTATTCCGTACTTTAATTTTTTTTATTACGTACTGAAAACGCTGTCAAACCTTTTTACGAACAGCTAATTAGATTAATTGCTAAATTTTATGTGTACTGTGCTAAATATAGAAGGTCAGAGGTGCGTAGATTAAAGAGCGCCCATCGACTGGATTTAGTGCTGAGCCTTACGAACGGGTTGAACATCACCAACTGAAGATTACCAATGTCCAAATCTATCTCCGGGGCACCAAGTGTTGCTGTATCGTCTATCTGAACTTTGTGTGACGACACCTGCACCCTATAGTCTACCGTAGCTTGTGTTTCAGCACAAGCAAGCTGCGACTTCCTGGAAACAATACTGATTCATCATGCAGCAATCTTAGTCAATTTACCGGCGAACACCATCGTACAATTGACTCGGTGTTGGCTCACGCTTATCCTGGCCATCATCTTCTGCCTTGTGCTCGTCAACGCCGACTACACAACGGAACAAGGGCTGATCTCATCCGTGGGTGTCATTTTCATGACAAAACTGTAATAAATATACGTGACGTACGTTGCTTGTCAGCCCTTCACCCTGCGGGAACGGGCCGTCTACTAACGTGAGTGCAAACGTACAACTCTTTAGTAATTCCTCGGCAACTTGTTCGTCTAGATCCCCTACGTCTTTGGAAGCAGTCTCCTCTCCACCTTTGTGTTCTTTCCTCTCCTCAGCATCTTGTCGCTCGGCATGGCCGTGCACTTCAGCCTTAACATATCCCTCTCTGTGCTCATGCAGACGCTCTTGGGTCAGCAGCTCGTCAGCTTGCTGTTCAGAGGCGAAGTCGTTGCCATCCTCATTAACTTCATGCTCTTTCTCTTTGCTGGGTTCAACCCACCTACTGCTGCCATCCCAAACTGTTACCGATGATCTAATGACGTCACTTCGCAGCGCTTTACCCTTTAGATCCTCGTCTCGCTCGTATTCGGCAACTGTCCTGAAGATCCGATTTATGATAAAGTTACGAAGGGGTACAACGTGCGGTCGGAATTCGTGTGTTAGCCCCTACGATGCACTATGAGTTTAGTGTAAAGGGTGACATAGAGGGATCTAAATCGAGTCAATAAATCTCATTGATCTACGCACCTCTGATCTTCTATATATAGCATAACACACACAAATTTTAGCTAATAAGCTGATTAGGTGTTCGTAAAAACGTTTGACGGCGTTTGTAGACGAAATCGCAATATTCAAAGTACGGAATAGCCTCGCCCATGCATTATTATAATGTAAGTAATGAGTGATATTGTATTGCGCTATTACTAAAATTTTGGTCAAAAGTTCGATTATAATTGAAGTACCAGTTTTTTCAGTACCAATTACTTACTTTTGTTTTAGTAGATCCTTATTTTCTAGCAAAGGTCATATTTACTGGTCGCTGGTGAGAATTTGTGCCGGTATTCTGGCTATTTTATACTGTAAATCACATTCCAGCTTAACTTCATATACTGATAGTATGACATATTTTTCTGCAACCTAGTAATTACTAACGTGAACCATCATGCTGTATCGACATCGTCCACAACATCTCCTATCGTTTTGTAATCGAATAGGTCCCCTCAATCTTCTAATTAAGGTTCTTCATGACTTATTTTTATCATGGACACTGCTCCACACATTTGACACATGCACGGCTGAAAGCACGATTCGCGTCATCAGGAGCTCCAGTAGCAGCATCATTGTAAATGCGTATCCGCTAGTGGCATCGCAAAAGCCTGATCGTTAATCTTGTGCAATACGATTTTGTAAAAGCAAGGTTTGTCAAGCACTACGTTATTCACGCTGGGAAACAAACTAAGGTAGATCGACATGCAGGCACGAAATTACGAGTCTGAGACGGAGTGGACACTCACATTTATTATGTTAATCAAGTGCTCGAAAGGCACTCGTGTGAGATGCGGCATGCAAGTACGTAGATAGGGGAATGTTCTCCTTTGAAAAGTTGTTTTTCGCATTTCGTCTGCTTTGTATGTGTTCCTTCCAATTATTTTTTTTCTGATTTGTTATCGTTGAAGCTCAGCCCACCGCCTGCCGAAAACGCCATTACAGCAACTGTGAAAATATAAATTTGAGGTACGATACGGATCAAGCCAATGATTGTTTGAAAAAATCATCAGCGTCCGGTACATTAACCTCTCCCATATATTCTCTACAATTCTATGGTAGTGGCTCAAGCACTTAATTCAGGAACAGAAGTGCAATTCTAACTTAATAATAGGAAATTGTTAAATTTACCCCCCTTTTCCTTAGATTCACACCCTTCCTTCAAAATCTTAAATATACAATCCCTATTCATTTTAAGATTTATTTTCTGACAAAGGCATTACTCGATAATCTAGGCCATTAATTGGCAAGTAATACGTTAGAAATACCTAAGATACTACTCACGCCTGTGGTCACAGTAACCACAACCGTGAGTATTCTCAGCCAACCGTCAATCACATAATCGAACTAAACAGCAACAGCTAGAGAGACGCCTGATGTATCGAAGATGTACACGCCAAAGCCAATGTGATGACTCTGCTATCGTAAAACTTATGGATGACTATGATAAACTGAGAATGGCGACTTCAAATAAGTTCACGAGCATACCGTTTTAGTACTCGTCCGCGTCCTTGCCCTTCCCGCACTTCGTTCGTACGCCCAATACTATTACTCCCAGCACGTCACCCATCTTTCCACAGCCGTGGGCACCACCGTTACCTGAAGCATCTCTGTCTACACCAAGCCTTACGGAAGACACCTAACTTCAATCGCTGCCGCAATACCAACTCGGTGTGTTACACGATTGCACTGGGGCGCAGCATTATTGCGGTAGTGAGATGTGAATGAGCTGGAGGGATAGTGTAGCACACCTCGGGCGTTAACGCTGAGTTGAGATGCGTTCAGCACCACACCGCTAGCACAGCCAACGTTGCAGTCAAGCCCTTCACCGGCGCCTCCACTCACGCTGTTAGGTAGCTGAACATTCTACCATTTCCCTCGTCCTCGTCGTTTTTTTCGGCGCTAACATCTTGCATCGACCGCCGGATAGCTTCCAAGAGCATCAGTTCCTCTAGCCGCGCAGCGTCTGCGGGTGTTGTCGCAACGCGGGACGCTGCATCATTCAGCGCTGCGACACGATTCGGGTGTGGACTGTTGATCACAATCTTGTCGCTGATGCTAAGCTGCAAGCAGAGCGAATCGCGAATCCGATCACGGTCTTCCACTGGCGCGTACTGCACACTCTGCAGACTTGACGTCATAGCGTACTCTGTTTCTGTAGCTTTAAGGATGCCAATGGCGCTACTTCGACGCGGAGACATTCCGTTCTACAATGTAATGCAAAACATGAGGCTTAGCACTTAATCGCACAGTGAAAGAAGAGAATCAGAGCTGCGCTTACTGTCAAGAAATGAGTCGAGGTGAGCTCTGTCGGTGTCAGTAGCGTGTACAGGACAGTGGACCCTTCATGGTTGCAAAATGAACAGCTACAGACAGTCCACACAAAAGGCACGTGAGTCAGAAGCCATCAATCTCGAGTCTCTGGACGGCAAACAGTCGTCACGCACGAAATCGTTTTGCGTGGCGGCCGAATCTGGAGATAGCACTCGGAGCAAATGGGTTTCTTGCAGCAGCTCGACGTGTTCAGACTCCCGGGGTAGATCTAAAAACAACGTAACGTAATGTAGCGCTAACCGGTCATTAGATGGTCCACCTTGGCAGTCTCCTCCCGTCTCTCTCTCTCACCATAAAGCAGATCGGACACTCGAGAGTGAATCCCTCCGCCTTCATCTCTTTGCCATGAAAGCGCGGCGCCAGTTTGCGGTCGACGATCAGACGGCGCGCAATCTTGAGCTCCCACGGACAGCTCGGGTATAGCCTAAACGACAGCAAAGTCAAAGCCCAAAGGAGGTTACGTAGATGGGTACGGCAAACGTACCCCGTCGGCTTCGTGTACTTCTCGAGCTCGCGCGTCGAAGGTATTATCGAGTAATACCTTCGTCAGAAAACAAATCTTAAAATGAATCAAGATTTTATATATAAGATTTTGAAGGAAGGGTTTGAATCTAAGGAAAAGGGGGGGGGTGCGAATTTAGCGATTCCCTAATAATATTGGTGTTAATGGACAGACATACTGTTCATTTAGCACTGAACTCATCCCGTGTATGGCAAACTCAAACCAGTAAACAGCTTACATACCTTTGTGAGAGTAGCCTCAACGCAACAAATCTTCCATTAATACGTGTGCATGCTTGTGTGACATGCTGCTTGCTGGCCTACGAGGACATCTAAATCGACCTCAAGATTAGCTCTTACAAAATAGGTTCCTGAAGCCTTCACTGTCTTCAATATTGTCTCTCACAGACTAGATTCCTGAAGCCTTCCATCAACGAGAATACATTTATTGCATTAATTGGTAGTCTGTGAAAAACCATTCTGCACGAATGCAAGCAATTATGAATGCAACAACTGCTTCAAAATTGGCCTAGAACGCCTTGCCGTTGTACACAAGCTGGTCAATTTTCTCCGGTAGTAACCGTGTCATCTCGTCGCAAATGTTGAGCTCGCTCTTCAAGCTTCTCTTCAATTCAATTCCGTCGGCTGCATCACAAATGCTTGCATACTTCCGAGCCAATTCTGTAACCGCCTCGTAGTATGCAAGACTTTGACACCAAAAGCCCACAATCTTCGCGGCATCGGACAAAAATAGTATCTTCCCACACGCGTTGGCAAGACCAAAGTACCCCATCAGCATAGCGCGAAACTCTCTTAGGCACAAAGCTTTTCCAGGAGGAAGCTGCACTCCCTTTCCGCCGCGCAACACGCTTGCTCGCACATGGTCATCACATGATGCACCATCAGGCTCTGTTACAGAATAGCATAACAGAAGAAACTCCTGGTAGCACTGAATGGCATTGATCGCGTATGTCATAGATTTTTCTCCTGCATCCTTATCTTGCTTGAGCTCGAACACATCACTATTGATCTCAGCGCACTCGAAGTAAATTTCTTGCAGGAGACCAGCGTAGGAACGTTTGATTAGTGCGTCTTCAAGAAGTGGTGTCAATAATGCCAGTCTCCGTCTTTGAATTGCGACCCGCCGTCCACGAACATCTTCAAATGGCAGCAACTGGCGATACAACGCACTTTCTTGTTGCAAAAGGTGCACATACTGAGTGGCAAATGTATCGAAAGCAAACACCCTTCTCGCACGAGAACAGGCAAAGACTCCCATCTTAAATACGTCACGGGCTTGATCAAACGTTTCTAAACAGTGCGGGGGCACGAATTCCATGCCTAGGCCCGGTGTGGACTGGCCCTCCAGCAACTCCGATTGTCGAGTATACGAGAGCTTGGCAAGTGTTGTCTCCATACTGCAGGCGTGACGCAGCTTCGGATCAGCATTTTTAGGATACAAACCTTCCTTTCTCATTCCGGCGAGTCGAAGCGTTGTCTCGTGCACCCGGCCCCACATCGTGTAAATATTAGCAGTGAGTAAGGATTGTTCGTATTCCACTTCTTCGCCCCCACCGATTCTTCGTTGGAGTAGCATGTACTCGCTGCCTTGAAGGCAAGTTGCTGCATCGATAAGGTTGTCTGCATTGAGATAAAACTCGACAAGCTTCAATGCATTTCGCACCCACTCATCGGCGCCAACAAGCTTCAACATTTCCTCGTTTTTATCATCCCTGACGCACTGCAGCAGTTGCATCTCCAGCGTCAACAAACAGAATTTTGCCGATTCTTCCGCCATCCCCAATTGCTCATAGACTTGCGCCAGGTAAAAGCACACCATTGTCTGGGCCGCCACAAACCCGTCCCATTTTTTGTGCTCGTACCTGTCGATCAACTTCAGACCCGCGGTCAAATAGCATATCGCCCGCATCGGTCGAGAACGTTTCGACCAAAGCACGCCCATTTGAATCAAGAGCTCTACCACATACCCCACAAACTCCTCGTGCTCATTTTTTATGTCAACCTGCGGCATATTGTCCAGAAGTGTCAGTACCGCCTGCTGGGTCTTCACTTGACCATTTGGCATATCAAAAAACGTGATGTCTTCCGTGAATGTCATTAGTTCCTGAAAAAAGAAGTGTCCTGCTTCCTCCAGTACTGGATCAGCATCTAGAATACATGTAACGCCATGTTGATTGAAATCGCCTCAAAAAAAGTTTATATGAGGAAGTTGATGACGTACTGTGCGGCTCCTTCAGTGTCAGGTAAATCGCACCTAGTTTAGCAGCTGCAATTGCCTTGTGCTGTTTCATTATCATAGCCAGTAAGACATTAAGCATCTGTTCGTGTTAAACTCAGCGAAAGCACAAAAAAGTACGCACAGTCGGTGAATGAGTGGCGACTCTGATCTTTTGTAGAATGTCAAGTACTCGGTGTTGAAACGTAGATGGCTTCGTCTTCATGCATTCTTCCTGCTCGCAGAGTGCAATAAAGGATCTTTAAATTATAATTTGCACCTAGTCACCCATAGAAAATGTGTAGAAGCTTGTTGTGAATATATTCGTGCACCGAGCGCACCGCTGCAATGTCGTCAATGCGATGAAGTAGAGCGTGGAAGCCTTTGGAGATATCTCTCATTTTTGCTAATGAGCTCGTGTGTTGGGGCGGATGTGGTACGCTGCGGCCACCCACCCTTGCGACCATCCGTTTTTTTCTACTAATTTGAAGCTTGCTGTACTTCAAGCGCTTAAAAACTTCACTTCTCCCCAATAGTATTGGCACGAAAATAGCTTTGCTTCAACGCGCTGATGACAAAAACAGGTGTACTTGGCATTAACTATTGACCAACTACAACTTATAACTACACGGGCTTACTTAACGAATAAAGTGGAAGTGAATCTACCCAAAAAGAAAGTTAATCTACCAAATCCCTAGATTTATAGGTTCACGCAGAAGCGGAATTAGTGGATCAACATCTCATTAAATGTTCAAAGATATCGCGTTTCTCAAAAATGGTAAGCTAAGATTATCTGTACCCGTGTGCGGATGCGGGACGCTGCGACCACCCACCAACCCTTGCGACCATCCATTCTTTTTCTACTGATTTGAAGCTGGTTGTACTTCAAGTGAATAAATTATTTGTACTGATGAAATGGTACCTGCAGAAGAGTAGCTTTCCTTCAACGTGGCCGGTATAACCTCAAAGGCTACGTAAGTAGTGGTGTAGACAGGCTAGCATGTACTGCCTCATTGATCGTGAAAATGTACTTCTACTACTATCTCTGGAGCGACTTTTGGAGTTGACAGAACAGGAAAACTTAATGGCTTGAAAGGAAAATTTAGGGAGAGCGACTGCCAGAGATAATTGTCGGATCCTGTTTTGTATGGCTTGAAAGAAAAATTTAGGGCGAGGGGCTGCCAGAGATAAGTAACGGATCATATGTTGTTGAGCTTAAACAAGTTCATTGCTATAAGGTGATCATGTCATGCTCGTGTTGATGGAGACTTATCAAGTAAGATTAGTTTCCTCGATAAATAAATGGAGTTGCTTTCACGATAGAATTGGACAATGTAGAGCGGCGAACGTACAAAAGTATTTCTTAACGATAGCGTAGATTGCAGCTCTTTTAATAAATCCTATGGCTATGGTGACTTGCGTACATTTGTGTTTTTTGGGTCACGAAATCGGGTAAGTGCAAATGAATAGGGTGGGCCTTCATGCTCACAATGATATACTTAACGATTGTTGTTTTTTTAGAAAGGAAAGATTCCAACCTACATAAGTGACCGGGAACTTCTCTTTTGTAATAGTCTGAGTGTATTTTTAATTACTTCATGACGACCTTTGAGTTATACTAACCATTCGCAGGAAGCAGATGCTACTCCGCAGGTGATTGCTAAGTATCATCCTTTTAGTTTCATCTGTAATTCTTCATGCACACATTAATTAAGTTTATAAGCTTTCTATACCATATTTATGGCAAGAAGTCCTATAAGCATCACAAACGTGCTCATCTGCGACATTTTCCCCTTAAGGTTTGGTCCAGTGAAGTTCAAATGCCGAAGGATACTATTGGACATTGGCTAATGTTTGCGTATTCGCGTCCTATGTTTGTTACAACGTTTGCTGATCAAGTCTAAGATATACATTCGCAATAATAAAATCAGGTTTTTGCTTTCGTCTTAACGACACATGACAAAGAACGAGTTTCGATTCAGCATTATTGTAAAGCCTCGGGTGAGATTGTAGAGATGCTCAAACTTTCTACAGTGGCACAGCGATGCATTATGTGTGAAATAGATTCCAGATATTATGTGTTGAATGTCAATGGATGCATTTTAATTAAATCGCTGTCGTATCAATCACGAATTACCACTGCGATCACTGGAGTGGTACTTTCTCTCCCGTTGCGCTTACACTTCTCATTACTTAGTTTATTTTGTGGTTTGCATGCTATAGGTAGCACTTTACATAAGCAGGCAAAGCCAGGTACGTTTGCGGATCGATAACAATCAACTGCATAGGTCACACCGGCGACGCGCAGCTCAAAATCACAAATTTATGAGGCATACGCAATTTTTGCACTTGGCTATGACTAAGCATCAGTAGAAATTTGCTGTTATCACATCATGAGATTCAAATCCGATAATTTAAGCAAAATGCACAAAATAACGGTTAGCAACATTGACTCATCCTAGCCAAATGTCCCGAACTCCGAGTTATCCTGTCAGCGCAAATATTCTTTATCTTGCAATACATTTTGAGCGATGGTGGCATGCATGTCAGCTCCACATTATTGGTAAGTATCATGTAGAATTGGCTACTCCGCTTTTTTTATGTAATCGCGCACAGGTAAATAAGCAGTTGCATTCAACAGAGCGGTCATGGTACAACAAGGTATAAGACAAGGCACTTGGATCGGTGGCAGCAGCTGCTTGACGTCGACGCACAAGTGCATACAACGAGGTCGCACCTTCGAGTTTTTCAGCACACCCCAGATGGTTGACGTATCAATAAGAGTCATTTTGAGCGAATAAATTGATTATGCAGAAAAAAACCAAAAATACAGTCACTAACACAATATAATGTCAATAGTCCTTATAATAGACTTATTTTAATACAATACTGTTGTAATTGCTGCCAATAAATGAGCATAATTTGAATTCCGTAATATACAGTGAGCGTTGATGTTAATTGTGCAGCTTTGTGGTACGGCGACGCGAAAGCGGTACTTTAAAATTGTCAAGTAGCAGTTTCGCTAATTCAAATTTTTGCGGACAAAATGGTATGATATTGAATGGAAAGAATATATATGTAAGCTGGCAAGGCAGTAAACAAGGGATGTCTCGCTTTTTTCGGAATATCTTGTATAGGATTTCGCACAAGATGCATACAGCGTTTTTTGGTTACCTAAGTACTATATCCTTCGTGCTTTAGGCAAATTTCAATAGCATGATTAATTGCAAATTGTATAGTCACGCTCTTGGCTACAATTTCTCTAACCATTTTTTATAATCCCAAAGCAATTACTACAAATCCTGTTTTTATCAAATCTGGTAAATTATATTGAGTTCTGGCTTATCATTATGGACAAACCTATGCATCAGAAAAAAACGTAGGACTATTAGACCGTATGATGCTGAAATATTTCGGATCTTTTAGTACGAAACTCTTCATTTTAAATCACTTCTCTCAAGTGAATCCTTTCATTAATTTTAAAATAGAATTTCAGACACTGTGTGTTCTGTCTCTCTTTTAGTCCACCGTCCTGATTGTTGCACATAATAGTCTGTTGAATACGCAACGTAAGTAAATCGCCTAGAGCAATACTGCGTACCCTCTCCGGCCTGACACATTGGTGGACTTTCACATAATCCTTAATTTTCAATCTGCGACTTATACGACGCAACGAAGCAGCATGTATATTGCATCAAACGAAGCATTCTCCGAATCTGCTACAATTCTCCCCAAAACATGTCAATTTTAATAGACATAGGTGTAAACTTACTATATTGGCCAATTTGATGAAACAGCTACCAGCAACTTTTTAATAATTAACCGATAACAGATGAAGTTAATGACGTTCAACTTAAACGCAAAAAATAGTGAACAGAAATCAGTCTACATTTACGTTGATAAATGTTATAGTGTAGCACCAGCCAGTTACTGCGATAAGTGCGTGCGAAGAGTGTACATCGATTAAGTTTAGGGCAGTTGACATCGAGGAGCTCATGGTTTCTGGCAGTTCACTGCTGATGCGATAAAGATCAAGGCATTGACGTGGCAGAACACGATAGCTGGGCAATACCCTCAGTGTCAAATTTGCAGAGAGGAATGAAGAAGAAAAAGCTCAATGGGTCAAACGTACTAATTCCAAGTATTCAATCCAGTATTTATTTTTGTTAGCTCCACAAGCTCTCAAAATCTAATAGGGTTATGAGCCCAAGCAATCCATCCAGGGAGAATAAGATATTCGAGTAGACCGGTAGCCCAGTCCTATAAAGTGGACAAAACTCGACATACTGTGGAAGGATGATATGCTGGCATTCAGCCAAGAAGAAGTGTTTTGAACCGCTATTTGGGCTACGGATTTTATTCGAATTGGACCCAAATGCATGTAGCTACTTGGAGGATTTTACAAAGATCTGTACAGCGAATGATATTCGCGTCAGTCCACACATATGTTGGTAAACACCGCATGCAGTTCTAAGTGGACTTGCCTATGCGATCGATTTGATGGTACGGTGAATGACCGGGATTGAGCCCTGACGAATCGACTATTGTACGCATAACTGAAGGCTACACGATGTAGATATAACAGCGATATTGAAGTCTACTTATACACTACAATTTGACTGTGCACACGAATGAAAACGGTCGGTATGGCACTCGATAATTCACTTTTAAAGGGATGCTATAATCATCTCGCCCCGCGGGTGATTTTGTTGACACCCCAAAAAGATTGTAGAAATTTTAATTACTTACTATAAGGCCAATGAGATTGAAAAGATGTTGTCACGGGCTTTTAAAACCTCATATTGGACAACACACATACTGCCGCCAAGATGGTCAAATAGTGTAGACGTTAAGGGGCTTCAGTAAACCTGATGTAAAGAAGCGGGTGTACTGGTACGACAAAGCAAAAAAGACAAAACAATAGGAAATCGCTTTGCCTGTCATAAGTTTAGACACGCGCAAAGTGACCGCCTGAATGAAGCAGCAAGAAGATCAGGCCGAGCGAACATGTCTTACGCAAAGCGGAATGATGCAACTGTGATACAACAGTCGAGAACCAAAAATGCTGGGTGTGCTAGAAAAATTTCGGACAGGTGAAACAAGCTTCGGCAAGTACAAATAGCAAACAAAAGGAAGCTGAAGGAGCTATAAAAATGCAATGCCAATCGCCCACAGCCTTACTTTTAGCAGAATCAATGGATGTACCTGCCTGACGGTTGGGTAAACATTACTGGTGCAGATTGACACTTTCAAGGAAGCTTGCGCGCATGAGCAAAGCGCGTCTAGCTTTTTTGACCAGTTTAACTTATCACAAGAATTTAGACGTAGTGACTTATAAACCCAGTAGTTACATTCTTAGGGTGCTACAGTATATAGATAGGTATTTACGCTGCTATTTGCCGTTAATTTGGCTACATGTGCCTAAAAATTAATTTATACAGTTTGCTTTTATTATACATTATGCTCATTTTCGATAAGTGTCAGCTAGCAGGGGGCAAAGCCCTAAACTTTCGGTGCTGTCCATCGGCCCCAACGCACTGAATGGTACGCATTCGGTTGGTGGCACTAAAAATCGACGAAAGCATCGGGATTAGCGTGACGAATTGCGTGAAAATGGCATCGCCCGCTTGCACGCACCTTCACGCGCTGCCCCGTGTACGTAATTGCAGTCCAGTCGGTAAAATCTGGTATTAAATGTAATTTTACGACAGCTCTTAAACGAACTGCTGATGGGTTGAACCAGATTGGAGACGCTAACCTTCCTACTAGCAGATTTCTACTGCGTGCGGGTTAGCCTGGAAAGCAAGATTCCCGCCCATCGGATCCTATAGTAGCGGTAGGGGGCGTTGACGCCTGTGACATCACACCAAACGGTAAGAGAAAAAAATCTACGGCTGCGAATTCGGATACGTTGTGCAGATTTATGAATCAGCACAAGAAGTCAACACATTGCATAACCGGCACGATCACTGCCAAAGAGTTACCGACCGGTATGTCAGACGCAAAGCGTAGCCGGGTAAGTGCACACAAAATTTACAAATTCGGTGTAGTGCTTCATCGTTGTCAGTACTTTGTACTGCATCTTCTGCTCTTCGGTTTTATTACGTCATCGAAAGCTGTGGTTGAAGTGAACGCAAGAAGTCCCAAGAATAGCTCACAATGCTGTGGCAGCAGGTGTCGGCTGCCGCCTATCAAAGAGACAGCAATTGAGATCCCGCCGAAAAAAGTGGAGTATCCCTGTATAAAGCGTATGTCACACTTTAAGCACGACATCGGGGCTTCATTTCCACTAGACATACACCCGTGGCCTAAATATCAAATACAATGACCTGACAAGAAGCCCGTGACGCGAAGAAAGGAGACACGAGTTGATGAACATGTGTCCACAGTTGTATGGCAGGCTCACACTATAAGAACAAGTGCAGCTCATTTTCGATATCATCGCGATCCGCGCAAATGGATGCTTGGATGTAAGTGTCGAATACTTCGAGGAATCGGAATCGGGAACGATCCGGTAGCAGTCAAAATCTCAGACGTAATTGGAAGTCTTATTATACCAGCAACAAGATACGCCGCACATACTTTGTGGTTGTAACGAGACCACGTGTCTTCTAGAAATCGATACACGTAGAGTGCAGTAACACCGGACGCACTTTTACTGGCACTGGAGGTGTTTCATAGCACGCTTAAGGGAGCATAGATTGGTATGGATGGGATGTAATACTACAAGTTACCGCTGTAAGACTAAAATGGGGAAGTTCTCGTCGTTCCCTAGGAGAGGGCGGTATGAAATGAACTGCCGCATAAGCCGAACGTCGATTTGAAAAAAATGTTATGGAGAACGCGAAGCCATCGCACCTGTGTCCAATGTGTCACAGATGCTAGCGTGAAGTCGATAAAACGCTGGACAAATAAATTCTGCGGCGGCCAAGTCTTACCTGCGCCGATGAAGTCCGAAAGCGATTAAACTTTAAAGACATGGGGTACATGTAGACGAAAACTGTGTTGTGGCTCAACACCCATAACGATGCAACGCCGATGTGGGGAAATGGTCTCCGTCCGAGGTGATTGCTCATAATGAGAGTCCGGTCGGTGTGAAGCCACATTAGTTGATGAAACCCATACCAAGCGCGGTCATCTAAAGGAAGGTCATGCCACGTGCCACGGGATAAATACAATTTCCACGTCGCCTTTCAGCACGCATTAGCCAGTCCTCCCTTGTTCATTTTACCATAGCGAAGCGGTGAGATAGTGAGAAAGTCCAAGGCGTGCCGCCGACCCTTAGATGGGACGAACATTAGAAGCAGCTCTGAGCTGGCCGTCGTCTAATCTTGTACCAATGGCGTTTCCGATCTTCTTATAAGCTGCAAAAGCAATTGGAGATGTTGACGCTTGAGATGAGCAGCGAGGTAGGGAACTCCTAATTCTCTGCCTACCCCCACCCCGTCACTGCAGCGCTAGCAGAGAAAGCACTGCAAAATTCGCTGAATGTGGGACGACTCGCGGTCATGTTTCCAACTTAAGACAAACGCATTCAGCATCAATTGCCATTGCCGCATTGTAGCTTGTGGAATGGGCAAATGCTGATTGCAATGTCACAACCGAGAAGGAATCATCGTCTTGGATACCATCATTTGACCCCGAGGTGTGCGGAACCGTCCTTATTACTGTTGAAGCCTTCATAGAAGCGCTGCTCAAGAAAGTCATCGATTGGGGTATCAACAGAAGACTTCCCGAACGGGATGCCAAGGTATTTCAGCGTATCTGTCCGACCGAGCACGCGCACATCTGGTAGCAATGGGCACTTGTGGCTCCGGTTGAGCGCGAGCAGAACGAACTTGTAAAGGTTAACCTTTACCCAGACCCGTTACAATAATCGTGGAGAATCCCTAGCTCCATTATCGAACTGCGCAGCAAAGCTGAGTCATTAGCGAAGGGGGTACCCGTGGCAGTGTGGTAGGCGTTCAGGCACACACCATACTCTTCATGGGATCGTAGCAAATTCCCGAGCTGTTCGATAGTCAGGATGAAGAGAAGATCTGACCACGGATTCCCTTGTTTCACATCGCGTGTCGGTAACAGCGAAGGCTGGATGTTCTGATTGAGGATTAAGTGGGCCCGAGGGTAGATGTGAAGAAGGCGGACCCGTTGGGAAAACGTGGATCCAAATCCCATTCGGTCAAGAAGTCGAAATATGTAGTACCAGTTGACTCTGTCTAAGGCTTTCCTGAAACCTAAAAACAACATGTACGCTTCCTCATCTCGTCCCGTCACCAGGTACTGAATATCACCAAGAAAGCGCACGTGGTGATGAATCGATCTTACCTTGACAAATTCTTTCTGGCCGGGTGTATTAAGTCCGAAATAATCTGTTGGAGGCGATACGTCAGCGCCTTCGACAGCACCTTCACAGCCACTTGCACAAGAGCAATCGGTAGGTAGTTGCCCGGAGATGTCCGCGATGCTTTCTTGTGCAATAGTAAAACAGCTGATTGTCTCTGGGAAGGAAGAAGTTATCCCCACTCAAGCTAGTCATGAAAAACAATGCGAAGGCAATCTCCAAATACTATGGAGCAGCCTGGTAGAAAGGAGCCGCCAACCCGTCCATACCAGGAGCCGAAGGAGCCTGTATATGGCGGATCGCATCCGACAAGTCCGAAGCTTTAAATGGAGCGTCCATGATGGAACAATTGGTTAAAGAGACCTATCTAGTGAAAGACTCGAGAAGCGTGCGTTGGAGGGTGATATCCGGAGGGACGGTTCTTCCGCTCGGACTGTCCGAGTAATCCATCTCTGGACCCTAGTGCTCGAGAAACTGAAGACAGATATCGTGTGAGTTTTTCGAAAGCGCATTACACGGTGTTACCACATCCTCAACAGAGACACGACGCAAGCTGGTATCCAATGACCGGCAGAGGTGTTTTGTCGACTTTCAGAGCGGCTAGCTTGAAATTAAAACGCAGTGTCGTGGTTATTTCGACTCGTGCGCTGAGCTGCTTCCTTGTAATACTGCATAGCATTGGCGTAGAAATCCTAATGCACAATACTAGAAGAATCGCGATAGCAAGTAGCGGCGATATCAAGATGGATACGAGCTTCGTCAACAGCGTGAGAGTATTTAAGACGTAACTTCTTCTGCACTGCTTGAAGCTGTTTCTTGATCGTCGTTTTTCAAGTTTTTTCATACCTTGCTTGGTTTCGATGTTGAACAGAGAGCGTCCCAGACCAGTTCTGCTTCTGTTTCGATTTCAGACACCACTATAGGGCACTCAAGAAGGTAGCGAGGGAGCTTCCAGTACACATGGCCATGCAGTTGAGACCCAGATCGGAAACCTACACTGTGAGCGAGATGGTAGCCGGCATGTTGGGGAAGTGAGTACCGAGAATATCGACAAAAAGGTTCGAGAAGGACTCCGACATAAAGATGCAATCCACACGGGTCTTTCGGGAGATAGAGACCAGTAAAAATTCGCATGGAGTCGAAGTGGATCCACCAAGCGTCAACAACACCAAGTTTGGCCATCCGTTCAATACAGCCAGACTGACCCGGGTCACAGCACAGGTCTGGAGTCGAGGGATCGAGTCGAGGGTCCAGGGGAGTATTGAGATCCCCCAACACAAGATGGGTCGCTCGGACCTAAAGGCAACCTCTACAAAATTCGAGAGAATTGTTTTTCTCCTTGTGATCCACTGGTGCGTACACGTTGTGAAGGTAGAGTGGAAAACTGTTAGCAATCACGCGCATGACAAGATAGCGCCGATCGACTGAGATGTGGGTGGCTTCAACCGCTGAGTCGAAACTCGATGGGTCAGAGCGAAGCACTGTGACAACCACGTTGCTCCTTCCCCGCGTTGGACGATGAAGATGGGAGTTGGGGTCACTGACGAAGACCTTGTAGTGAAAGCTGGAGTTAAGATGGAACTGGAAGGTAGAAAGATGGGTGGCGCCGCCCATCTTTCTATAAAAGGGAAGAGATCGAGTAATTGGAGAGCAGGTTCTCAGTCAGCATATGGTCGTTCTGATTGTTTTCGTTAGTGTTCACTGTTGGAGCACTGATGTTGCTCCAGGATGTCGTTCCAAGGAGACTTTGGAAACGGGTCGCCAGCGGACTCGCTAATATCACAACGCCGCCATTGGCAGCACGAATCTGCAATACGGACGAGTCTTCTGGGTAGAACCCGTCCGGTTTTTGAAGAGCCTCGAGAGTATCTAGCATTGTTCCTGACACTGCACCTTCCTCCATTGCTTCATGCAGTAAGCACTTAACCCAGACTGCAGAAGGTGGGTAGGGTGTTCAGGTGGGCATGCCGCGTATGATGCGCAGGGATCCAATCAAACTGGTTGGCCAGTGATGTACTGGATCCAGTGGTCATTGGGAAGAACACGAACCATTAGACATGAGCATGAGCTCAAACATGCCTACGGCTTTGGATGCACAAGACATCTCTCCAATGGTGGGGAAAGAAGTCACCACTTGGCACACATCGTGAACATCTTACCGCGTTTATATAAAACAGCCGTTTCCATAGGCATCTTCCATTTCGTGGTGAAAGTTATATCTTTAGTCGGATTGATCACACACACACCACTCGGTCGATCGCATGCGGCTGAGCGACCTCATTAATGTATGACCCATCGTCCACCATCGTCAGCGCAAGCTCGATGTTGAGGCCAAGAGGACACTCGACCGCTCTCTTTGTGAAGTGGTCGGGATTCCGGACATTTTGGATAATCTTGCGCCTGCCACCGACCTTGACTTTCGCGTCGACGATACAGTCGAGGACAAGACTAAGGAGTGTAGTGTTTTCGTCATCAAGCATGGCCTCAGCCACTTTAGGCACAAGCAAAGCCGTGGTAGATTTCTTGATCTCCGTGTGGTGTTTCTCGAAGAAGACGGCGGACTTGGTCGAAGTCTGCAGCGCATCTGGACGCTTCACACCCAAAGGTAAAATCTGGTGACGAACACCTAATGATGGATCCTCCGTCAAGTCGGTTGATGCAAACCGGAGCTCCATCGTCTGGAGTTCTTGGGAGCAGTTGGTGGTGGAAATGCCATCGAATAGAAGCTGCGATTGCTTCACCACCATGTTGGAGAAGTCGATCGCGTTGCGTCCGCGTTTTTCCTGTAAGTTGCAGCAACAAAGCTTTCATTCTTGCTACTAGTAAGCAAGTGTGGGGGTGTCTTCTGAGCTTTCGGTCTCCCAGGAGGAGTGATGGTGCTTTGAGATTTACAAAATGGCAAGACTGACAAAGTGTACGAGTTGCTGGAAGAAGTAGGGACGAGCTGAGTGGCTGCCGATGTCTAGTCATGAGGAGCCCGATGGCAGAGCTGACCTTCCCGTCTCTTGGCCTTTTCAACTGCCTTTTGGAGTGAGGGCTTCTGGGTAATCTTCATAGGAATCTCACTGCAGGAGCTTTCACAGCTTGCGCAAATGTCTTCCCTGGCTCCTTCTGATTCATCTGACGCGGTAGCGGGGCAGAACCCGGCACAGTAGACGGATAGACGCTAGTGATCGTGTGGTGAAGCCGATCTCACAAAGTTACTTTAGTGAGTGTCGATCTTTCTTTTGCCCAGACTTGCCGAATTACGGAGGGGGTAATCGATCCGTGCCTTGCTGTTTAACCTTGTGCTCACCTTGTGTACCCGTCGATTGGGCTGGATTGATCTCTTCGTAACGGCCTTGGAGGATGTCGATCCCGCTGAGAGGTTCGGTTTAAAGTTCGCTTCCGGTGCGGAAATCTTCACACCACGAACAGGGGTTCTGCGATCTTGATCTCGAGTCGCGTCGATCTCTGGATAAAGATGTCGCGATCTCGATCTTGAATCGCACCGATCTCGATTTGTCTTCGGGATCGGGGTCTTTGCTGTGCGGAAATCTTCACTCAGCAACTAGTAGTCTTGCGTCAATCTTGCCTTGGGATCGGTCCGATCTGGTCTTGGGATCGTCCGATCTTGCTGGAAGTGCGCAATTTGGGCAGATCGGTCCTTGGTTTCGCCAAAATGAAACACGCCGATCTGTCCAGTGGATCGCTTCAATCTTGCTCAGTCCTGTCTTGAACGCCTTGTCCAGATCTTCTGACCACTTGAGTCGTCTCGCGATCTTGTGTCCAAAATCCTTTTTCTTTGTTGCTGCTACCCTAGCAGTTGAGTTGAGAGTGAGTACTTGATCGATCCGGGCCAAACTTCTCGAGATCGGTCTTCTGTGTCCTTGTAACACGCGTGCCTTGACCCGCCGGGGAAGACAAATCAATCTTGCCCGGAGAAGAGGGGAGGAGAACGTGCGTCGTGAGCAGAAGAAGTAGAGTTCAAGTCTGTTTATTAACCTACCAAATTAATAGCCAACCTATCTTTAAGCCTATTCTCAACTGTAGGTAACTCTCCAAGTCGATATCACCTTTAAGCTTGACCGCCTCCTTGAACACGTGTCGAAATTTCATGACCTGTACTCCAAAGATAGCGCCAATATCCCCGAAATCGTACCTAAACGCCGAAAGAGGACCAAATCCAAATTGTGGTACCAAATACCCATTTTCGGTACCCAAAAGCCCGAAATAGTGCCCAAATGCCGAATGCTTCTAAATCCATTTCGCGACGTCAATTTAACCGGTTTCCACTGGCTCTTTCGATCTGAACTTTTAAGACATCACTCATGGACCTTCAACAAGCATGTTTGTCATGATCCAAGAGTCTCATCATCGATATATCCACACCCAGCAGGAAACATGACCGATCTGATGTCCAATTCGAGATTGTTGAGGATTCACATAGTACAATCCGGCCATATCTGTTCTTCCGTTCATTTCGTGCGTACTCCGATGCCTTTCTCAGAAAGTTTCTGCTTCAACATCCACATCCCTGCCTTTGATCAGCCTTCAGAGCGGTCGTTTGGTCCAATCCAGTCCCTCGTCCCAGATCGCACCGTGAAAATCACCCCTTTCTACGACCGTCTCAAATCACGTCGCATCGCCTGGTCCCAGGCATCATTTTCATCATTTTCCGCCAGTGGGTGACGTCTTCACTGGGTGGACACCGATTCACGTCCCATCATTTGATTAGTAACTTCATTACAATTGTGCCCAAGTCGAGTCCGTGATGTGATCGATAGCCGAGCGGAAAAATTCGACTGGAAAGGTGCATATTTCCCATGATCTGGGTATAGCTTGTTGTCGAACAACACCTGATAGCAGACACTGCTATTCACGATCATCGTACTGTGACATGAGCATGTCCAGAATTATAAGCGCCAGGCGGCAGACGTAATGCCATTCACGAGGTTTACCTCACGAAAGGTGTCGTAGACAAGCTTGTAGCCAAGCAGAAGCAGGCGCTGAAGAATCAGGTGGGTGTCCATGTCCGAGCCCATGTTGGAGATGTTGATGAAGTACTGCCACCGAGCACATCAAGCTCCTTAACAGTGTAGGCGCCACCCAGAATGCTCACTTTCGTGCGCTCAAGCCGGATACGGGCTTCGTCCAATTTCACCCTGATGCGGAGATCGCCTCCAAGCAGCTTAGAGATTTGGCCAATCTTATGGCTGTGATTGGGGTCATTAAGAGAGTCATTCCCGTAGTGTTTGCCAGAAAGGGACACCAATATCTTCTGGAGCGGAGTCTTCGCGAGCGTCCGACTAGTAGCAATCATCATGTCGTACTTGTCATGAGGAAGAGTATACGGTCTCGCCTGGTTGATACGAGAATCGATGAATGAACAATTACCACCAGCGGCGTATTGGCGCTCGATCCACTCAATGTCACTAGAGAGAGGCTTGGGAGTATCCACCCGACGACGCGCAGCGTCAGCCTCAGCGTGGTAGCGACGAAGATGTTTCTACTAACGAAGCACGTCATCCATCGTCGGACGCAGATCAACGCGCGGAGGCAAAGAGCCGGATGCGGCAAAGGGAGACGGCTGGTCCATCGGAACTTCATCAGAACCTGGCGGGGCGGTGGGAGAGATAGAGCCAGAAGGCGGCTCGTCCATGACATCATTAGCACTACCGTCGGTGGGCAGAACTGGCGCAGTGTCAGTTGTGGCCACCGTCTGAGAGTCGGATGGCCCGCCCCAAATCGTTTGAAGAGGATGATCCAACCAGCGTACCATCTATTCTTGCAGTCAGAGCACGTTTCGAGTCATAAGCACCACGTAATGTCTGGTCAGGAACGAGAGAAGGGGCTTACTGGAGTTTCCGTGGGCAAAGACGGGACAAGGGTGTGCAAGAACGCGGATAAGAGAGGGCTCTTCTTTATTTGACATGCGCAGTAAATAACAAACTGAGAATTTGTCCGTCCAGCTCAGTTGGTAGTGCTTAATAGTCCTAATATTGTGGTCGTGAGTTCAATCCCCACGTTGGGCGACTACCAATGATGTTATCGAAACGGATGCAGTCCCGTTCTCTTCTAGAGCCGCACTTTTTCCGTCTCTTCGTCGCAGTGGTTTATCAGCTGGATTTGCTCCAGAACAAGGCGCACCATTCTCGACCACTCGAATCGGGCAGGCTGCGAGTCGGGCGTTATCGCGTGTTCGCAACCTAGTCCATACTATCTCTTCTCAGATAGAAACCAATGGGCAGTACCATGGTGATGTAGTAACACAACTGGGTTGGACTGCCATGTGACTCGTTCAGTATGGTTGATTAGCGACATGACATCGATCGGTAGCACCCCTTTCTTTCTTTCTTCCGGACCTCTTTTCATGGACATTCAAGATGATCTATTTGCCATGAGACAAGTGGATGAAGGAGGCTGTGGTGGAGGACAGGTGAGCATGGCAAACCCCGTGGGTGTTTGTTTGCGTGAATTTTTTTGAGAAATGTGCATGCGTGTGCGAAGCCCGTCTTGCTCAGTTGGTAGAGCGCAAGACTCTTAATCTTGTGGTCATGGGTGGGTTCGAGCCCCACGGTGGGCGACTACCAATGATGTTATCGAAACGGCTGCAGTCCCGTTCTCTTTTAGAGCCGCACTTTTTCCGTCTCTTCGTTACAGTGGTTTATCAGCTGGATTGGATCCAGAACAAGGCGCACCATTCTCGACCACTCGAATCGGGCAGGCTGCGAGTTGGACGTTACCGCATGTTCGCAACCTAGTCCATACTATCTCTTCTCAGATAGAAACCAATGGGCAGTAACATCGGATTGACGTGATCACGAGGCGAATCAGAGAGGCTGATGGCACCATATGAGTCGCTGGACGCTTCTATAAAAAGGTCTGAGCGAGATGCCTCGGTCACGGTAGGAATAACAGGATCAACCGAAGGTGGAGGATCGCGTGAAAGGCTCGGCGTGTCTATGACAATCGGATCCGGAGAATGCCCAGCCGAAAGTTGTGCCGCCGGATTGGACGCTCGACGACGACTGGAGGACGGCGAACCCGATAAAGCCGCTAAAGTCTCATCCTCACCTGCCGATGTACCCTCCCCCTCAGACGAGGTTGAGCTCGGAACACGGCGCTTCTGCTTGCCCAGTTTCGGGGTAGCTGCAGGCTTAGCTGGATCATGGCGATTCTTGAGATCGCGACGACCCTTAGGATCGCGGATTCTCTTGGGAGCGGACGAAGGCTTGGGATCGCAAATCTGAGACGGCTTAGCTTCAGCAGTAGCGGATCGTGCCACCTTGGGATCACGAGCTGGGGACGGCTTGGCTTTGGACGCAGCGGATCGTGCCGCCTTGGGATCGCAAACTGGGGACGGCTTGGCTTTGGACGCAGCGGATCGAGCCACCTTGGGATCGCAAGCTGGGGACGGCTTGGCTTTAGACGCATCGGATCGAGTCACTTTCCTTAAAGGCGGCAAAGCTGACAATGGTCGAGAATCGCGAGATCGCTTGCGACTCGATCCTGAAATGTTCGACATCGGCTGAGGAGTCGCGGGAACGGGCGTGTGGGTAGACGATCCCTCTTTGTAGGTGTGGCTGAAATATCCCCAGACACCAGCGACGCCACGCGATCCCGAAGGGTCGTGTCATCTCGTATTGCGCGATCATGTTCGGTAGCCACGTCCGCGAGCTGAACTCGCATCTGGTCCAACGTAACGTAACGATCCGATGCGATGCGACGCAATTGATCACACCCAGCAAATCGGGTAGATGGAGAATTCTGCGCCTCGCCCAGTTCGGCCTGAAGCCCCGATACCTGCTTAAGCGCGCGACACAGCTTTTCCTGGTCGGCCTTGAGCCCCGCTACTTGTTTGAGTGCACGACGCAGCTTCTCTTAAAGTTGTAGGCCGTTTTTTTGTACTTCGACTTCTTGCTGTTGGCCTTGTCCAGGCTGTGGGACAACTTGTCGCATTCAGCCACCAACCGTTCTCCCGCCTCGTCCATCTGCTTGCGTATCCCGGCGATCTCACACGATCAGCTTTCTCCTGTGCGGCATGACGTGCTCGCACAGTCCGGATAATTTCAGATTTTAGATATTCGATTAAGACGGTCTGGTTGACCCGGTCGGCTAAAGCCTCCCGAAAGGCTTCGGACCGCTTGACCTCGTCTTCGTAGTGAACGCGCAAGCGGTCGTACTTCGATTGGACAAACTGAATGAAAGGGGACGCGGAGGTGCGGAGCTCCTGAAGATCCTCATTCAGCTGGCGATTCTGGATCATTTGCTGCTCCAAAGTAGCCTCCATACTCTGGTGCCGACCCACTACAGTCTGTTGGAGTTTCAATCGAAGGTAAAGCGAATCAATCTCTGCGTATAACGCGGCTCGATCGACCGAGACCGAGGCTTCGATCCGAGTACTTGGGAGCAAGATGGGCTCACTCGGATCCGTACTTGAATCGTTTTGGCCGGCGAAGGTCCTGTCCAGAGCAGGGATCAAATATGATCGCGACAGAGGGATCGCTATGGAAAACCAACCAGATCCTTCCCCCATCTGGGAGGACTTTACCACAGCCGAGAGATCACACTCGGTCACCGGCACGGTGGAGGCGTCTGGGATCGCAGGACTGGAAGGTGTCGAGGATCCGACCTCCGAAGTTGGGATCGAAGAGGGCGATCCGAGTGGCCCCGATCCTGAAGCAGGAGGGTGTACCTGATCCGGTTAAGCTGGATTTGACATCGTTTCAGAAGATGCGAAAGTGCGTGAAAAGGAATAAAGCACACAAGGTTGCACAGACAGATCAACACCGCATGTTGACTGACGGTGCAGGGTACGGTTGTGGCAAAGCGGTCACAAGGAAATTTCTAGTGGGACTTGGATCGGCGATCGCACGGATCGCACGCTCCAGTCAAGCCGAGAATGCTATGGAAGGTGGATACAGGCCGGGACGGGTGGCTGGCAATAGCGTACCCAAACCCCAAGTGGACAGGATTGTACAGCCTGGGACGAGGCTATAGGGTGGTCACACCCGTTTTAATTACGCAATCCGTCATGAGACGTGGCAAGACAAGATCCTCGATCTCACTGGAAGACCGCGATCCTTATTTAGGATCGCAAGTCCGATCTCAGCTGCGATCCGCTTGTAGGATCCCGCTAGTGGGATCACGATCCGCTAGTAGGATCACGATCTGCTAGTAGGATCACGATCCATTAGTAAGATCACGATCCACTAGTAAGATCAAGGTCCGCTAGCGGGATCATGGGGATATCTTGGGTGGGCCACAAGAAGATACAACTGCTGATATGCTGGGTATGGACCACACAAATGCGAGGGGACGATCTCTCTAGAAAGGCGACGCGTGGCATCTGGTTAGGATACACGGATAGGCATAAGGGTAGGGTTTAGGTTGGTTGGTTAACATTAAACAGAGTTCGATTTACCTCACAAGGCACACGTTGTCTCTTCCGGGTAGAATATTTTGGCCCCCCCGTCGAATAAAGAGTCGCGCTACACGTCTACGCAAGTATCACACCTGGATTGTTTTGGCCAGGTGTGTTCAAGAACTCTCAAGCAACATCAACTGCGATCGGACGCAGCAAAACACGTAAAGGCAGGGCGCAAGATCGCGAGACGGCTCAAGTGGTCAGAAGGCTCGCGGATCAAGCAATCACACAGTGGACAAAGCGATCTCGTTGAGATCAGGGTAACTTATATCAGTACCCACAAGTACTCCGTGATCGCGTGAAGATTTCCGCACGATCACAACCCCATCCCCAACACAGTCAAGTTTTCCTTCGACACGAGTCCACCTGAAAAAGTGCAACCCGCCCTACCGACGGGTACGCAAGGTGAGGAAGGCAACACACGCAGAATCGAAGTACCCCCTCTGTTAGACGGTCGTCCAGGCACCGTTGGGAATTTGGGGTCGCCTCATAAAATGAGCGATCGCCACTCCACCACATTTTTATGAACAGATAATTAGCCTAATGGATACATTTTATCTGTATTATGCGATACATAGAAGATCAGATGTGCGGAGACTAAATAGCTTCCAATGACTGGATCTACTTCCCTCTATGTCACCTTTACACCAGTTCAACATGATTCATTTGGTGTAGCTGACCACACCAGGATCAACCGACCCGCAGCAGGGCTATGTCGGCATTGGGAATAGACTAGGTCTGTCCATGCTTATCTCCAGCAATCAATTCGCTTTAAAATAAGCGGTCCTAATATTAACACTAATGTACGTCGAAGACAATATCTTATCTTGATCAACATCCCCGGCACGAAAATCAGAACGAAGAATTCAGTATGTGAAGCCTTTCTTTCTTGTGTATTATTTTGTTACTGCAACCCAGTCTGCTATTTTGTTAGATACATCTACCCTTTCATTTGTAAACCATCACGACCTTTACCATCATCCTATTGAAAATCTATACCTGCTTTAGCGCCCGGTTGGTTCGCGTAGCACAGGGCCAGCAGCTTCAGTACCCGAAATACCGCGAGGAAGACAAACACGTAGCAGAAGCCAGTCTTCATGTTGCTGTGTTTGATATTAAAGGTGTCGTCCAGGTAGTCATGACCGTCGTGTGACACAGAGACGGCAGTGCATTCCGTAGGGGTTAGCACGCGATTACCGATCGCGCGTTGATTTGCCCCTTTATAACCTCATCTAACATCGGTTCTTCAGGGAAGCCGCTGAACACAAGCAAGACGAGTATTGAGAAGGAATAGCGCCACGGATGAACTCCATAGAGTCATCAGTAACGGTTAAGGATAGCAGTATCAGGCGGGTTGGACCCAACAAAGAGCTGGAACATGACTTTAATGAGGACGCCCACAACGGCAACGACTTTGCCACTGGACAGCTAGCAGATGAGCATCTGGTCTATGGCGTCTGCATGAACACGAAGAGGGAGATGTTGAGCCAGTAAAGCACAGCCGAGCTAATGGACCAGAATCCGAGGAGAGGGGGAGAAGATAATGGTGAAAAGGAGACTGCTGCCAAAAATGTTAAAGATCTTGACGAATGTGATTTCTAGGAAATATCAAAGCAAGATGTTCGTCTGTGAGTCACACTCGCGGTAGTAGGTGGCTCGTTCTTGCAGGTTTTGAGGGCATATTTTCACCGTTCGTCACGTATCCTTGATACAGTGTTGTCATGAATTTTATATTACCGGCTGAGTTCAGCCCTTGGTCCGTCGTGTAGTCGGTGTTGACGAGCACAAGGCTAAAGATGATGACCAGGATAAGCGTGAGCCAACACCGAGTCAATAGTATGATTGTGTTCGCCAGTACGTGGACTGGATAAGCTGCATGATTAATCAGAATTTTATCCAGTAAGTAGCAGTTCGCTTGTGCTAGAACACATGCTTCGGTAGAATATTGGGCGCAGGTATCATCGCACCAGATTCAGCTAGACGAGTCCGCAACACTTAGTGCTTCAGAGATGGATTTGGACATGGGTAATCTTCCAGCTGAAGATATTTAACCCATCCCTAAGGCTCAGCACTAATTCCAGTCAATGGAAGCTCTTTGATCTCCGCACCCCTGACCTTCTATGCATAGCATAATACCGATCAATGCAACTATTAAGCTAACTACCTGTTCATCAAAACGTTTGACGCCGTTTGCAATACAAAATAGCAAAATTTAAAGTACGGAATAGCCGCGCCGGGGCACGTAGCCCTTGATATGCTACAACTAAAAGTAAATTGCACAGTGAATTTCGTAGACAACAAGAAGGCGCAAAACGAGGATAACAGCTTGACTTCAAGTTCGACGACAATCGAATTGCAAACTTAAACGTGCTCTGCTTTCTTTTGTGGTGAATCTTAAGATTCGATCACTATACTTGCCTCGAACATTTTGGTCCACTTTTTTCCCGAGCCAACTGATGATCACGAGAATTGTGCGCAGTTGTTACTGCTCGACAACTGCGAGTTTACAGTATATTGCCGCTGCCACTACGGTGACTGTGGTCGCAAAAGAGCCAATCCAGCCAAATTTGGCCGGCAGGGCTTTTATTTCTGGGGCAACAGACAACGACTCTGGAGTATTCTCTTCCATTGCAGCGACCCATTCTTCATTAAGAATTGTAGCCACGTCGGCTGGCACGGCTTTTTGATGCGCAACGTCGACCTCGCTAACAACTTCACCCTGGACGACATATTGGTCCGCTGTAAACGAAGACTTCAAATAGCTCGCAAATTCGCTGGTAGTAAGCCTCCTGCATCAGATCCGAATGCGTGCTACGTTCAAATTGAAGCGATAGCGCTTTGATGCTGTGGCTTTTAATCGATCGGACCTTTTTGCAAAATTCATCACATGGGAACGTCCAGTTTACTGCTCGAAAAAATCCAACTGCTTCTTGGGTTTGGGAGACCCTGGGCATATGTGGCAATGGTGTATCGATCGGTTCTATCGTCACAACATCACGTGCGAAACTGACCGACCCATTCTCATACAATCGAGCACTTGTGAGGACACGTGCGCGTCGCTTGCTGTGTTTTGCTTGCAGCTCGAAACCATTGCTATCCTCCGACCATTCACGCGCATACTGTACGTCCACTGCTTGAAAAATGATGTGTTTAGCCACCTGCTCAGGATGACGGCTAGTTCTCAATTGTGCAGCTTCGGTATCAACGGTTGGCACTGTAAGCAAACTTTGCACCTTGTCCAACACGTTCAAACGATGTTCCTCCCATGGCTGCAATCTTTGCCTCGCCAAAATGTGCTCTGGCGTGACTGCATCTCATTTTGCTGTATCAACCGCATGTTGAAGAAGGTTGCTGCTATTGTCAACGGGAGCTCCACTATAAAGTCTCTTGCCGTGTTTCGTGTTTGTTGAAACACGAGTTATACCTTTTGAACTTCCAGCAAGCGTGTCAATGCGTCGTCAATGCCCATGCTTTCTACTTTAGCGTCCACGGACGGATTACCTCTCTCGCACAGTTCCTCTTCAGTGTAATTTTGCACGCGCGCTCTATCGAAAAAAGCATCGTGCACACTGTAGTTCAGTTTGTCGTCATATTCATCAGTAGCTCCAATGTCGCTGTCATAGCGAGACTGACAATAATCCAATCGATGATATTCCGACACAGCGTCAAGCATGTTTCCGGATCTCCATCACGACACCATTCATATCGTTCACGTTATGCAGTCAGTTTGGCTTTGACATCTCTCTCCAAAACAACGCCATCATATCCCCTCAGGAACTGAATACATTTTAGTCGATGATGATCCAGAATATCATCAAACTCTGTCCGGTAAATGTCATCTGCACTATCGAGCACTTCGTCAACACACTGTTCACTCATTAAATATCGTGCCGCTTCTTCGTAAGGCCGACTGCCACAATGGATAGACGGTGGTGAAGCCTCTTTAGACAAATGTTTTGCAGAATTGTCCACTGTCGGCGTTTCAAGAGACAACATCAAAGAGGCATCAATTTGCGGTGCCAAGTTATTACCTTGCTGTTGAACAAGCATTCGTCACTCAGGTCGGTGCGTTACATCATCTAAAGACAACGCGGACAATATCGGGGCAGCACTCTAACCCGGAATCGGCTTGTTAAGCAGCTTGTCGCTTGCACCGAATAACTACATCTCGACCTTGTGCACTTCGACAATGTCACTGCTCACATGTGCAGACGGCTTGGTGTATCCTCCTGAATGCGTCGTAGCACTTTATCGAGAAGCACTCAACATGGTCGTATATTCCGGAAAGTTGTTAAATCTGGTAAGCGATTCCGGGTTACGTCCCCTAATAAAATTGGACTGCAATTCAAAGGTCTCAAAGTGTTTATATCCATGCGCTGATAAGTTTTTGGCTGCTGCATTGTTTGTTTTTGAACACTCAGTCCTCTTGAGGATCGTTCCGTAGTCACTTGACAGCCTTCATTAGCTTGGGAGCAATAAGTCTCGCTGCCAAAGGACGATTGTGGCTGTGAAGCTATCTGCGTCGCGTAAAAGGCAAATACGTCAGGAATATCACTATTCCGCCTATCGGCAGAATCTCCATAAGACTCAAGAGCGTCGGATGAACGCTGCACACTTTCCGTTTTCTCCAACACCACAGCGTTTGAATTACAACCAGGTCACTGAACACTGTAATTGCCTTGATGGTTTGTGTTATTAAGAAAGTACAACGCCGCGTCAGCGTTGTACTTCCTAGCGCTTCCGTTTAGGTATTTCAATCACGATTATTCTGAGTACAGTACACTGCCCCTGTGTGTATAGAAGCGCTTTTGTGTAGAAGTGTCTCAGAGGTAGTGGCTAGGCCAGGATGTTTGCCCGTAATAGCCATAGCCAATGCAGTACCATGATAGTGACGAACACGCAATTTCATAGGCTGTTCTACAAGCATTTCCACTAATGCATCCCCGCGATCCTTCCTATGACATCCCAGAGAAAAACACACAATACATCTGGATCGAATAGAAAGTTATCGCAGTTTTCCATCGCTTAACTTTACCATCCCAATGTAAACTGTAGGGGAACATCACGTGCTGTCTTTCGGACTCTTCATAGCGATCAACTGATACTTGATGTATCAGATCCAGTAGCTTTTAATTCCTTGGCAGCAATGCACACGGTAAGCGATTAACGATGAAGTTTTCGCAGCGTCTGTAGTCCCGTTCTCTCTAAGAGCCGCACTTTTCCGTCTTTTCGTCACAATGGTTGATCAGCTTGGTTGGCTTCACAACCAGGCACACCGTTCTCGAATCGGGCAAGCTGTGAGTCGGGCGGTACCACGTATTTGCAACCCAGTCCATACTATCTTTTCTCAGATAGAAACAAATAGTCAGTACCATGGTGACGCAGTAACACAACTGTGTTGGACTGCCGTGTGACTCGCTCAGACTGGTTGATGAGCGAAACTACATCGTTCAGTAGCACTTCTATCTTTCTTAGGGACCTCGTTTGATGGACCGACAAGACTATCGACCCGCCATGATACGAGTGGATGGAGGAGGCTGTGTTGGTGGACAGGTGAGCATGGAGAAATCCATGGGTCGTGTTTGCGTGATTTTTTGGAAAAGTGTGCTCGCATGTGCGAAGACCGTCCAGCTCAGTTGAAAGGTTTTCTCTATCACAATAATGTGGCCAATGTGACTTCTCAGCCTAAGCAGCTAAATAAAAAGGTAATACGGGTGCAACGAAAAGACAGAGATACACAGATGGATATGCTCCAGCGCATACCCCTTCCTTTTTTCTGGTATTTTGCTTTTGCTTTTTAATTGTTGTTTTTGTTTTTAGAGTTCAGATTCTGACATAACGCAAAAATGGACAACGAGAACAACAACAGTGTAAGGCGACCAAGTGTACGTGGAGAGAACTGGAAGCCGACGCGTGTGTACAGTGTCCAGTGGGTTAATACCGCAACACCATTAGTGCGGGAGAAGACAAACGACGGGACCCCTTCACAGCCCCGTCCGGAAACCGCTACCGCGTGTACATCGCGCATTTTCTAATTGTTTAGAAATGTTTAATCGATTCTGAAGATATTAGAATATTTCTAAAAGGATTTTGTTTTGGAAATGTCACAATATTTCCGGAAATATCAGCGAAGTTCTGACATTTCAGACAATTTCCGAACATTTCAGAATATTTTAGAAAATTTCAGGAAACTTCAGGAGAATTCTAATTCCTCCCCTTCCTCTCGTTTTTTGCAGCCTTCGTGAGCACGGGCTGCTGCAAATTGCTACCCAGGTTAGCAACAAAACCATGTTGTCGGTTCAGTTCGATGCTAGCGCATCCCAGGACCCGGGGTCTGCGAAAGCGCCGCATAAGACGGTGGCTGCTGGCCGCGGGCCAGAAAGGGCTGCGTCGGAGGAGGGGTTGAAGGCCGCATGGTGGTCGCCAGCTTGGGTGATAGTAGTTCAGAGGGTACAAAAGAGCCAACTCCGAAGTGCACACGATGCACGGGATAACAGAGCCATGGAGTGCCGGTTCATACCGAAGTCGGCGCAGCTCAAACCGGACCATGTGTCAAGCGCCTCATCCGATGGTGGTTGTGGAGACTCGAGGCCGGAAAGAGCTGTGTAGGGGAAGGGGTGTTCGACCGAATGGAGGCTGCCGGCTCGGCGAAAGCAATTCAGAACAGGAGAAAGGTCCGACACCAAAGCGCAGACGTGTGCACCGAGAGAATACAATCACGACGGACGACGCAGACGAGAAGGAATTAGATTATCCAAAGTACACAGTGGCCCGCATAATCGATCGCCGTGGGAGTAAGGGCACACGTCAGTACTCGGTCCAGCGGGAGGACAAGATGGCAGAATGGAAGTGAGCAGGCAAGCTGAGTAACTGCGCGGACTTGATCAATATCTGTGATCGGTACATGAAAAAGCGCCTGGATCGGCTCAAGTCGTATGTTGAGTTCATTTCCATGGACTTGTCCAGCATCAAGATGACGGTCAAAGACCAAAGGACAATTGCAAATTTTATGCTCTCCAGATGGATTTGGGGTTGATGGGGCGCTTGGACAGGAAGGCCGGGGAGATGGGGCGGTAAGGCGAAGATTTGCAGATGCGTATGGCGATCAGCGATAGCGGCCGGTTCGGGGGACTGAACTTCGTACAGCTGACGAAGTTCCCATGGTGCGAAATCTCCCGCACAGGATGGGCCGTTTGTCGAAACGCCTTCATGAAAAACTGGTACATTGTGGGGAGACGGGCCCTTCGACATCGTCCGACTAGCGTGGCGCACCAAAGATTCACTCGAAGATGGAAAACATCTCGAGTATGCGCTCGAGACCTCACAACGCGGACATTGCATCACCATGCAAACGACGGGGACACGATTTTCGTGGAGGAGGAAGAAGTCATCTACGGAAGCATAATTAAAATGTACATACAAAGACTTAGCTTTGTGAGACGCACCCTTTTCCGAATAATTACGAAAACACGACTCACGGCGGTCTCCATTCTCACCTGTCCACCAACACAGCCTCCTCCATCCACTCGTATCATGGCGGGTCGATAGTCTTGTCTGTTCATCAAATGAGGTCCCTAAGAAAAATAGAAGTGCTACTGAACGATGTAGTTTCGCTCATCAACCAGTCTGAGCGAGTCACACGGCAGTCCAACACAGTTGTGTTACTGCGTCACCATGGTACTGACTATTTGTTTCTATCTGAGAAAAGATAGTATGGACTGGGTTGCAAATACGTGGTACCGCCCGACTCACAGCTTGCCCGATTCGAGAACGGTGTGCCTGGTTGTGAAGCCAACCAAGCTGATCAACCATTGTGACGAAAAGACGGAAAAGTGCGGCTCTTAGAGAGAACGGGACTACAGACGCTGCGAAAACTTCATCGTTAATCGCTTACCGTGTGCATTGCTGCCAAGGAATTAAAAGCTACTGGATCTGATACATCAAGTATCAGTTGATCGCTATGAAGAGTCCGAAAGACAGCACGTGATGTTCCCCTACAGTTTACATTGGGATGGTAAAGTTAAGCGATGGAAAACTGCGATAACTTTCTATTCGATCCAGATGTATTGTGTGTTTTTCTCTGGGATGTCATAGGAAGGATCGCGGGGATGCATTAGTGGAAATGCTTGTAGAACAGCCTATGAAATTGCGTGTTCGTCACTATCATGGTACTGCATTGGCTATGGCTATTACGGGCAAACATCCTGGCCTAGCCACTACCTCTGAGACACTTCTACACAAAAGCGCTTCTATACACACAGGGGCAGTGTACTGTACTCAGAATAATCGTGATTGAAATACCTAAACGGAAGCGCTAGGAAGTACAACGCTGACGCGGCGTTGTACTTTCTTAATAACACAAACCATCAAGGCAATTACAGTGTTCAGTGACCTGGTTGTAATTCAAACGCTGTGGTGTTGGAGAAAACGGAAAGTGTGCAGCGTTCATCCGACGCTCTTGAGTCTTATGGAGATTCTGCCGATAGGCGGAATAGTGATATTCCTGACGTATTTGCCTTTTACGCGACGCAGATAGCTTCACAGCCACAATCGTCCTTTGGCAGCGAGACTTATTGCTCCCAAGCTAATGAAGGCTGTCAAGTGACTACGGAACGATCCTCAAGAGGACTGAGTGTTCAAAAACAAACAATGCAGCAGCCAAAAACTTATCAGCGCATGGATATAAACACTTTGAGACCTTTGAATTGCAGTCCAATTTTATTAGGGGACGTAACCCGGAATCGCTTACCAGATTTAACAACTTTCCGGAATATACGACCATGTTGAGTGCTTCTCGATAAAGTGCTACGACGCATTCAGGAGGATACACCAAGCCGTCTGCACATGTGAGCAGTGACATTGTCGAAGTGCACAAGGTCGAGATGTAGTTATTCGGTGCAAGCGACAAGCTGCTTAACAAGCCGATTCCGGGTTAGAGTGCTGCCCCGATATTGTCCGCGTTGTCTTTAGATGATGTAACGCACCGACCTGAGTGACGAATGCGTGTTCAACAGCAAGGTAATAACTTGGCACCGCAAATTGATGCCTCTTTGATGTTGTCTCTTGAAACGCCGACAGTGGACAATTCTGCAAAACATTTGTCTAAAGAGGCTTCACCACCGTCTATCCATTGTGGCAGTCGGCCTTACGAAGAAGCGGCACGATATTTAATGAGTGAACAGTGTGTTGACGAAGTGCTCGATAGTGCAGATGACATTTACCGGACAGAGTTTGATGATATTCTGGATCATCATCGACTAAAATGTATTCAGTTCCTGAGGGGATATGATGGCGTTGTTTTGGAGAGAGATGTCAAAGCCAAACTGACTGCATAACGTGAACGATATGAATGGTGTCGTGATGGAGATCCGGAAACATGCTTGACGCTGTGTCGGAATATCATCGATTGGATTATTGTCAGTCTCGCTATGACAGCGACATTGGAGCTACTGATGAATATGACGACAAACTGAACTACAGTGTGCACGATGCTTTTTTCGATAGAGCGCGCGTGCAAAATTACACTGAAGAGGAACTGTGCGAGAGAGGTAATCCGTCCGTGGACGCTAAAGTAGAAAGCATGGGCATTGACGACGCATTGACACGCTTGCTGGAAGTTCAAAAAGGTATAACTCGTGTTTCAACAAACACGAAACACGGCAAGAGACTTTATAGTGGAGCTCCCGTTGACAATAGCAGCAACCTTCTTCAACATGCGGTTGATACAGCAAAATGAGATGCAGTCACGCCAGAGCACATTTTGGCGAGGCAAAGATTGCAGCCATGGGAGGAACATCGTTTGAACGTGTTGGACAAGGTGCAAAGTTTGCTTACAGTGCCAACCGTTGATACCGAAGCTGCACAATTGAGAACTAGCCGTCATCCTGAGCAGGTGGCTAAACACATCATTTTTCAAGCAGTGGACGTACAGTATGCGCGTGAATGGTCGGAGGATAGCAATGGTTTCGAGCTGCAAGCAAAACACAGCAAGCGACGCGCACGTGTCCTCACAAGTGCTCGATTGTATGAGAATGGGTCGGTCAGTTTCGCACGTGATGTTGTGACGATAGAACCGATCGATACACCATTGCCACATATGCCCAGGGTCTCCCAAACCCAAGAAGCAGTTGGATTTTTCGAGCAGTAAACTGGACGTTCCCATGTGATGAATTTTGCAAAAAAGGTCCGATCGATTAAAAGCCACAGCATCAAAGCGCTATCGCTTCAATTTGAACGTAGCACGCATTCGGATCTGATGCAGGAGGCTTACTACCAGCGAATTTGCGAGCTATTTGAAGTCTTCGTTTACAGCGGACCAATATGTCGTCCAGGGTGAAGTTGTTAGCGAGGTCGACGTTGCGCATCAAAAGCCGTGCCAGCCGACGTGGCTACAATTCTTAATGAAGAATGGGTCGCTGCAATGGAAGAGAATACTCCAGAGTCGTTGTCTGTTGCCCCAGAAATAAAAGCCCTGCCGGCCAAATTTGGCTGGATTGGCTCTTTTGCGACCACAGTCACCGTAGTGGCAGCGGCAATATACTGTAAACTCGCAGTTGTCGAGCAGTAACAACTGCGCACAATTCTCGTGATCATCAGTTGGCTCGGGAAAAAAGTGGACCAAAATGTTCGAGGCAAGTATAGTGATCGAATCTTAAGATTCACCACAAAAGAAAGCAGAGCACGTTTAAGTTTGCAATTCGATTGTCGTCGAACTTGAAGTCAAGCTGTTATCCTCGTTTTGCGCCTTCTTGTTGTCTACGAAATTCACTGTGCAATTTACTTTTAGTTGTAGCATATCAAGGGCTACGTGCCCCGGCGCGGCTATTCCGTACTTTAAATTTTGCTATTTTGTATTGCAAACGGCGTCAAACGTTTTGATGAACAGGTAGTTAGCTTAATAGTTGCATTGATCGGTATTATGCTATGCATAGAAGGTCAGGGGTGCGGAGATCAAAGAGCTTCCATTGACTGGAATTAGTGCTGAGCCTTAGGGATGGGTTAAATATCTTCAGCTGGAAGATTACCCATGTCCAAATCCATCTCTGAAGCACTAAGTGTTGCGGACTCGTCTAGCTGAATCTGGTGCGATGATACCTGCGCCCAATAGTCTACCGAAGCATGTGTTCTAGCACAAGCGAACTGCTACTTACTGGATAAAATTCTGATTAATCATGCAGCTTATCCAGTCCACGTACTGGCGAACACAATCATACTATTGACTCGGTGTTGGCTCACGCTTATCCTGGTCATCATCTTTAGCCTTGTGCTCGTCAAAACCGACTACACGACGGACCAAGGGCTGAACTCAGCCGGTAATATAAAATTCATGACAACACTGTATCAAGGATACGTGACGAACGGTGAAAATATGCCCTCAAAACCTGCAAGAACGAGCCACCTACTACCGCGAGTGTGACTCACAGACGAACATCTTGCTTTGATATTTCCTAGAAATCACATTCGTCAAGATCTTTAACATTTTTGGCAGCAGTCTCCTTTTCACCATTATCTTCTCCCCTCTCCTCGGATTCTGGTCCATTAGCTCGGCTGTGCTTTACTGGCTCAACATCTCCCTCTTCGTGTTCATGCAGACGCCATAGACCAGATGCTCATCTGCTAGCTGTCCAGTGGCAAAGTCGTTGCCGTTGTGGGCGTCCTCATTAAAGTCATGTTCCAGCTCTTTGTTGGGTCCAACCCGCCTGATACTGCTATCCTTAACCGTTACTGATGACTCTATGGAGTTCATCCGTGGCGCTATTCCTTCTCAATACTCGTCTTGCTTGTGTTCAGCGGCTTCCCTGAAGAACCGATGTTAGATGAGGTTATAAAGGGGCAAATCAACGCGCGATCGGTAATCGCGTGCTAACCCCTACGGAATGCACTGCCGTCTCTGTGTCACACGACGGTCATGACTACCTGGACGACACCTTTAATATCAAACACAGCAACATGAAGACTGGCTTCTGCTACGTGTTTGTCTTCCTCGCGGTATTTCGGGTACTGAAGCTGCTGGCCCTGTGCTACGCGAACCAACCGGGCGCTAAAGCAGGTATAGATTTTCAATAGGATGATGGTAAAGGTCGTGATGGTTTACAAATGAAAGGGTAGATGTATCTAACAAAATAGCAGACTGGGTTGCAGTAACAAAATAATACACAAGAAAGAAAGGCTTCACATACTGAATTCTTCGTTCTGATTTTCGTGCCGGGGATGTTGATCAAGATAAGATATTGTCTTCGACGTACATTAGTGTTAATATTAGGACCGCTTATTTTAAAGCGAATTGATTGCTGGAGATAAGCATGGACAGACCTAGTCTATTCCCAATGCCGACATAGCCCTGCTGCGGGTCTGTTGATCCTGGTGTGGTCAGCTACACCAAATGAATCATGTTGAACTGGTGTAAAGGTGACATAGAGGGAAGTAGATCCAGTCATTGGAAGCTATTTAGTCTCCGCACATCTGATCTTCTATGTATCGCATAATACAGATAAAATGTATCCATTAGGCTAATTATCTGTTCATAAAAATGTGGTGGAGTGGCGATCGCTCATTTTATGAGGCGACCCCAAATTCCCAACGGTGCCTGGACGACCGTCTAACAGAGGGGGTACTTCGATTCCGCGTGTGTTGCCTTCCTCACCTTGCGTACCCGTCGGTAGGGCGGGTTGCACTTTTTCAGGTGGACTCGTGTCGAAGGAAAACTTGACTGTGTTGGGGATGGGGTTGTGATCGTGCGGAAATCTTCACGCGATCACGGAGTACTTGTGGGTACTGATATAAGTTACCCTGATCTCAACGAGATCGCTTTGTCCACTGTGTGATTGCTTGATCCGCGAGCCTTCTGACCACTTGAGCCGTCTCGCGATCTTGCGCCCTGCCTTTACGTGTTTTGCTGCGTCCGATCGCAGTTGATGTTGCTTGAGAGTTCTTGAACACACCTGGCCAAAACAATCCAGGTGTGATACTTGCGTAGACGTGTAGCGCGACTCTTTATTCGACGGGGGGGCCAAATATTCTACCCGGAAGAGACAACGTGTGCCTTGTGAGGTAAATCGAACTCTGTTTAATGTTAACCAACCAACCTAAACCCTACCCTTATGCCTATCCGTGTATCCTAACCAGATGCCACGCGTCGCCTTTCTAGAGAGATCGTCCCCTCGCATTTGTGTGGTCCATACCCAGCATATCAGCAGTTGTATCTTCTTGTGGCCCACCCAAGATATCCCCATGATCCCGCTAGCGGACCTTGATCTTACTAGTGGATCGTGATCTTACTAATGGATCGTGATCCTACTAGCAGATCGTGATCCTACTAGCGGATCGTGATCCCACTAGCGGGATCCTACAAGCGGATCGCAGCTGAGATCGGACTTGCGATCCTAAATAAGGATCGCGGTCTTCCAGTGAGATCGAGGATCTTGTCTTGCCACGTCTCATGACGGATTGCGTAATTAAAACGGGTGTGACCACCCTATAGCCTCGTCCCAGGCTGTACAATCCTGTCCACTTGGGGTTTGGGTACGCTATTGCCAGCCACCCGTCCCGGCCTGTATCCACCTTCCATAGCATTCTCGGCTTGACTGGAGCGTGCGATCCGTGCGATCGCCGATCCAAGTCCCACTAGAAATTTCCTTGTGACCGCTTTGCCACAACCGTACCCTGCACCGTCAGTCAACATGCGGTGTTGATCTGTCTGTGCAACCTTGTGTGCTTTATTCCTTTTCACGCACTTTCGCATCTTCTGAAACGATGTCAAATCCAGCTTAACCGGATCAGGTACACCCTCCTGCTTCAGGATCGGGGCCACTCGGATCGCCCTCTTCGATCCCAACTTCGGAGGTCGGATCCTCGACACCTTCCAGTCCTGCGATCCCAGACGCCTCCACCGTGCCGGTGACCGAGTGTGATCTCTCGGCTGTGGTAAAGTCCTCCCAGATGGGGGAAGGATCTGGTTGGTTTTCCATAGCGATCCCTCTGTCGCGATCATATTTGATCCCTGCTCTGGACAGGACCTTCGCCGGCCAAAACGATTCAAGTACGGATCCGAGTGAGCCCATCTTGCTCCCAAGTACTCGGATCGAAGCCTCGGTCTCGGTCGATCGAGCCGCGTTATACGCAGAGATTGATTCGCTTTACCTTCGATTGAAACTCCAACAGACTGTAGTGGGTCGGCACCAGATTATGGAGGCTACTTTGGAGCAGCAAATGATCCAGAATCGCCAGCTGAATGAGGATCTTCAGGAGCTCCGCACCTCCGCGTCCCCTTTCATTCAGTTTGTCCAATCGAAGTACGACCGCTTGCGCGTTCACTACGAAGACGAGGTCAAGCGGTCCGAAGCCTTTCGGGAGGCTTTAGCCGACCGGGTCAACCAGACCGTCTTAATAGAACATCTAAAATCTGAAATTATCCGGACTGTGCGAGCACGTCATGCCGCACAGGAGAAAGCTGATCGTGTGAGATCGCCGGGATACGCAAGCAGATGGACGAGGCGGGAGAACGGTTGGTGGCTGAATGCGACAAGTTGTCCCACAGCCTGGACAAGGCCAACAGCAAGAAGTCGAAGTACAAAAAAACGGCCTACAACTTTAAGAGAAGCTGCGTCGTGCACTCAAACAAGTAGCGGGGCTCAAGGCCGACCAGGAAAAGCTGTGTCGCGCGCTTAAGCAGGTATCGGGGCTTCAGGCCGAACTGGGCGAGGCGCAGAACTCTCCATCTACCCGATTTGCTGAGTGTGATCAATTGCGTCGCATCGCATCGGATCGTTACGTTACGTTGGACCAGATGCGAGTTCAGCTCGCGGACGTGGCTACCGAACATGATCGCGCAATACGAGATGACACGACCCTTCGGGATCGCGTGGCGTCGCTGGTGTCTGGGGATATTTCAGCCACACCTACAAAGAGGGATCGTCTACCCACACGCCCGTTCCCGCGACTCCTCAGCCGATGTCGAACATTTCAGGATCGAGTCGCAAGCGATCTCGCGATTCTCGACCATCGTCAGCTTTGCCGCCTTTAAGGAAAGTGACTCGATCCGATGCGTCTAAAGCCAAGCCGTCCCCAGTTTGCGATCCCAAGGCGGCACGATCCGCTGCGTCCAAAGCCAAGCCGTCCCCAGCTCGTGATCCCAAGGTGGCACGATCCGCTACTGCTGAAGCCAAGCCGTCTCAAATTTGCGATCCCAAGCCTTCGTCCGCTCCCAAGAGAATCCGCGATCCTAAGGGTCGTCGCGATCTCAAGAATCGCCATGATCCAGCTAAGCCTGCAGCTACCCCGAAACTGGGCAAGCAGAAGCGCCGTGTTCCGAGCTCAACCTCGTCTGAGGGGGAGGGTACATCGGCAGGTGAGGATGAGACTTTAGCGGCTTTATCGGGTTCGCCGTCCTCCAGTCGTCGTCGAGCGTCCAATCCGGCGGCACAACTTTCGGCTGGGCATTCTCCGGATCCGATTGTCATAGACACGCCGAGCCTTTCACGCGATCCTCCACCTTCGGTTGATCCTGTTATTCCTACCGTGACCGAGGCATCTCGCTCAGACCTTTTTATAGAAGCGTCCAGCGACTCATATGGTGCCATCAGCCTCTCTGATTCGCCTCGTGATCACGTCAATCCGATGTTACTGCCCATTGGTTTCTATCTGAGAAGAGATAGTATGGACTAGGTTGCGAACATGCGGTAACGTCCAACTCGCAGCCTGCCCGATTCGAGTGGTCGAGAATGGTGCGCCTTGTTCTGGATCCAATCCAGCTGATAAACCACTGTAACGAAGAGACGGAAAAAGTGCGGCTCTAAAAGAGAACGGGACTGCAGCCGTTTCGATAACATCATTGGTAGTCGCCCACCGTGGGGCTCGAACCCACCCATGACCACAAGATTAAGAGTCTTGCGCTCTACCAACTGAGCAAGACGGGCTTCGCACACGCATGCACATTTCTCAAAAAAATTCACGCAAACAAACACCCACGGGGTTTGCCATGCTCACCTGTCCTCCACCACAGCCTCCTTCATCCACTTGTCTCATGGCAAATAGATCATCTTGAATGTCCATCAAAAGAGGTCCTGAAGAAAGAAAGAAAGGGGTGCTACCGATCGATGTCATTTCGCTAATCAACCATACTGAACGAGTCACATGGCAGTCCAACCCAGTTGTGTTACTACATCACCATGGTACTGCCCATTGGTTTCTATCTGAGAAGAGATAGTATGGACTAGGTTGCGAACACGCGATAACGCCCGACTCGCAGCCTGCCCGATTCGAGTGGTCGAGAATGGTGCGCCTTGTTCTGGAGCCAATCCAGCTGATAAACCACTGTAACGAAGAGACGGAAAAGTGCGACTCTAGAAGAGAACGGGACTGCATCCGTTTCGATCATATCATTGGTAGTCGCCCATCGTGGGGCTCGAACCCACCCATGACCACAAGATTAAGAGTCTTGCGCTCTACAACTGAGCTAGACGGGCACTTCTCAATTTGCCGGCTTCCTAATACGTCGTCTCATTCAGAAGAACCCTATCTCCTCAGATTTGTCTGCCCCTTTTTTCCTATGGAAAATCCAGCTTCTTCCTCGTCTCTACCTCGCGAGCACACGAGTCATCTTTCGTCTGCTCGGAGCTCTGGCGTCCGACTGGACGTTGACCCGGATACGTCAGGATCCATGGAACTTTCCACGGAATCAACTTTACTTGATCCTTCGGAACCGGATGGACCCAACGACTTTCAGGATACCCCTTCCCTCCCACCTGCGTCGTCTCTTCTCTGCACTCTGGAGAAGGATGATCCGATGGAATCTGCGATTCCAACCGCTCATATCGGCGTCGCATCGCGTGGAAAGGATACGAGACCGACGATGGCGGATGTGATTGCGCGACACGAGCGCCTTCGACGTGACAACGCTGAAGAAGATGCTGCTCGTCGTCGTGTGGAGACGCCAAAACCCCTCGCCTGCGACATCGAGGCGATCGAGCGACAGTATGCCGCTGGCAACGACTGGTCGTTCATCGCCATGCGCATAGACCAGGCGCGTCCGTACGAACTGCCACGTGCCAAGCACGACATGGTGATTGACACCGGAAGGACCTTCGCGAAGACTCCGCTCCAGAAGATCATGGCGTCACTGACTGGCAAAAGCCATGGTAGTGATGTCCTTGAGCGTCTGTATGCGTCGCACGAGATCGGCCAGATCTCAAAGCTCCCTGGAGGCAACCTGCGCGTCAAGGTCAAGTCGAAGGAAGCATGTCTACTCCTAGGACGCACCAAGGTGAACATTCTTGGTGGTTGTTTCCTGTTCAAGGAATTTGACGTACTGAGCGCAAAGTACTTCATCGACATTTCAAGCATTGACTCCGATACTCCCACGGATCTCATTCTGCAGCGCTTGTTCCAGCTAGGATGCCATCCCGTGTACGACACTTTCCGTGACGTTAACCTTGCGACAGGTCTCACGTCCGCGACGTGGCGTGTGTACTTCCTTTCTACCACGTGTCCGAGTGCGTTGATGATCAATGGCTTGGTCTGCGATCAGGTGCTCTTCGACAACAAACTTCACCCTGCGCACGGCAAGAACGCACCGTACCAGTCGGAGCGACTGCCATTTGGCTACCGCTCACACCACGGTCTCGACCTGGGTACGACTGACGGCCAGTTTCCACCGCCGGAAACAGCGGCTGGGTCAACTCCATCTTTCACATCGTCTTCGCATTCTCTACCGAGGCAGCCGATACCCTCGAAGTCGTACGCACAAGCAGCCCGTGCGACGCCAATTCGTCAACTGACTTCTCTGCAGAAAGCAGTCGAGGAGGAAAAAACCAGGACTTCTCAGCCCCAGCGTGGTGCTCAGCATGGTAAGCATTCTGCTGCCAGCCAACTGGCTAAAGTGCCACCAACATCCACTGATACGCTCTCAATTTCGTCATTTAACGACTCCAACGGCAAGATTTCCCCTCCCAGTAGTCCAAAGGCGCCAAAGAAGCTTCTTTTGCTGACCAACGGACCAGAGGACAATTTTGTGACCGCGTCAAACAAGAAGAAGAGATCGCGCAAGGCCACTGACTTCTCCAACCTCATGGTCAAGCAACAGCCGACCCGTCTCGACGGTATTGCGACGGCCAACTATTTCCAGGCTCTCCAGTCGATGTCGGTCACGTTTGAGTCGAAGAATGTGACGGCGGACAAGACGTACGGGGTCCGGTACCATGTGGCTCCGGTTGATGTGAAGCGTCCAGACTCGATAATGACCTCGACTGAATCAGCCTTTTTCGTTGAGAAGCACCATACGAAGATCAAGAAGGCCTCCAAGGCGACCCCTATCATGGAAGTAACGGAAGCAATGCTCGATGATGAGAATACGGCGCTTCTTAGCGTCCTTCCGGATCGTCTCGCGGAGGCGGACACGAAGGTGGATGGTGTGTGCAAGCTCTTTGAAAACGCAACGAACCCTGACCATATCACGAAGAAAGCCATCGAGTGTCCGCTTGCCTTCAATAGCACTACGGCTCTCAAGATGGCCGGGGATGGTCACGAGATCGCAGAACTGGCTCAGATGCACGTAATTAACCGCGTCTTCAGTGCTACGTGCCCCGGAGATGATACGACATTCAGCGCGAAGTGGAAAAAGCTTATGGGATCGAGTGTCCCGTCGAAACGTGGTGATATCTTTAAAATGTGCGCGAAATGGTGGACATCGTCCGCCTCGATCACTGAACTGTCTCGTGCGTCGAAAGCCTTGGGAATTTTTGAGCTTATTCTCATGTCCATTGCGCCGACAATATTCACGAACGACCACTGGATCCAGTACATCACGGGCCAGCCGGTCAAGTGGATTCCGGCTCACCACACAAGGCTCCTACATCCGAATACTCTCCTCCGGCTTCTCCGTTCGGACCTCGGTTCCCTCTGTATGCAGCAGTGGCGAGAAGTGCAGTGGCAGGGTCACCTATTGGATGACCTCGAGTCGCTCCGGACGCTGGATGGATTCTACCCGGATGATTCTTCGGTTCTCCAACTCCGGGTTGTGGATGGTGACGTGGTGATGGTCGCGAGCGACCTCGCCACTCGCTGCTAAAGTTTCCAAGATTTCCACCGCTCTATGGAGCAACGTGAGTGTTCTCACCGTGAACACAAACGGCATCAAGAATAACGGTCACCTCTTTATCGAGAAAATGCTCTCCAAGTACTCATTGGCGTGCATCCAAGAAACCAAGTTCGGTTGTAGCTCGCATCTTTCCAATTTCACATTCCACATGGATTTAAGCTTTACGAACAAGGTATTTGTGGATGATCCTAACTCTCTGTTGCATCGACCCACGCGTGGTCGGTGCAATGGAGTGCTCACAATGATCCGCTCCGACTTCCCTGGCTTTGATACAGCCATGATAGTTCCCTCTGTCGCGGTCCCGGGTCGCTATCTCGTCGTGAAGTTAATGGTCGAGGACTCTCCTGTTTACATCCACAATGTGTACGCCCCTGTTGATCGCCGCGAGAAGCATCAATTCTTCTCACAATTGGACACGGCGGAGTTTGAGGACCACGCGACGCACTTGGTGCTGGGAGACCTCAACACGCCGCTCGATCCTCGTCTCGACTCTTGTTCATCCGACCGACGTCATGACCCTGGACGGTTAAGCTGCCTCGAGTGGCTGTCACAGCTCGGGGTTGTTGATGCCTGGCGGATACATCATGACACCAAGCGCGTCTTCACTGGTCCCCTACCCCGGAGAAATCGATTGGACTACATTTTACTATCGGACGACTTCTGCACGCGCTTCTACGGTGACTCCAAGTACTTCCTACCCCAGCATGCGGGTGATCATCTCGCCCAAAGTTTGCTCTTGCATTCAGGAGAGCAGCTACACGGCCACGGTTACTGGAAGTTCCCGCGTTATTTACTGGAGTATCCAGTTGTTGTACAGGCCATCGAGCGCGAGGCTGACATGGTCCTTGAGCAATTGCGTATCGCTCCTAACCCGGGCAAGGTCTGGGAGAAATGGAAGGTCCGCATCAAGCGTCAACTACAAGATGTTCAAGCGAAGCTCCGGCAGCAGAACTCGCAAGCAGTACTGGAAGCTCGAAGTCAGCTTGACCGGGCCGCGTCCGTATACCGTGTGTCTGCAGCCGTCTCCGACCGCGAAATCTTTAATGAGGCACTCCGAAATTACAAGGATATCGTAACTTGGGAGGGCCGGCACAATCAAGACAAGTCGTTTGACTTCCAAGTGGCCAAATCTGAGAAGTCTACTCGCCATTTCTTTCGTCCGGTCGACACGACCTTGCGGCGCGTCTCCATCGAAGAAGTGGACACACCAGGCGGAGGTGTCTCCAATAACCCGCTCGAGATCTCTCTCCGTTTCCTCGAGCACTGGGGATCAATGATGGGAGACCCATGCAGCCCGACCGGTACAGCCCCTCCTCCTGACGACGTGATGCAGCAAAAGCTGCTCAACTCGATCACCCGCGTTGTTTCCGACGTTGATCATGCCATTCTCAATCCTCCGGTCACACGTACGGACCTGGCGGCAGCGATTCGCCACATGAAGTCCACGTCAGCTCCGGGTATGGATGGGCTGACGGCTGGATTTTACCAGGTGGCTCCGGATGTGTTCGGCGCGTGCTTGAGCCTTGTGTTTAACAATCGCCTACTACATGGTACACTGCTTCCATCGCAGCGCAAATCAGCGGTAGTCCTACTACACAAGAACGGATCCCGTGCTTTCCCTGGAAACTACCGACCCATCTCACTCGTGCAGGTTGACGTGAAGGTGCTTTCCAAAGCTCTAACGTACCGGCTGCAGCACGTCATTATGGACCTGATTCATCCTGATCAAAAGGGATTTGTCAAGGGCCGTTCGATACACCATCATGCTCGGTTTCTTGCGGATCTACAAAATCTCGTGACGGCAATGGATGACGACGCGTACGCTTTATTTTTGGATTTTGAAAAAGCATTTGATCGCGTAAACTGGACGTACATGTTTTACTGCTCGAGTGCATGGTACTCGGCGCGGAGTTTCTCCAGTGGATTCACCTACTGTATCATAAACCGCAAGCTCACCTAGTGATCAACCAGAACATCCAGCCAGCGCATTTTCCGACGAGGGGCGTCAAGCAGGGGGACCCACTGTCGGCGCTGCTCTTTGTACTAACGATTGAACCACTAGGAAACCTTCTCCGGTCTCATGAAGAATATGGCGTGTGTGTGAGCGCGGATCACACCTGCGCCAGCACGTTCTTTGCGGATGACTCGACACTTCTGGGAAGCTCAATCACGAACATACAAGCGCAGCTTGAGCTTGTGGATGAGTACTGCCGTGGATCTGGTGCAAAGCTTAATTTATCGAAGTCTGTCTTGTTGGCGCTTAATAGGAATCAAGACTGTCCGATCCTTCCAGGAGTGAAAGTGCTCGGTCGCATGGAGTCGGTGAAGTATCTCGGAATCTTGGTCAGCCAGTCGTGTGTTAATGATGAAACTTTGGAGTTCCTTGATCAGCGCTTTTACGATGGATTTAAGGCTTGGTACCGGCGTGCAAGAACGCTTCGTGGCAGGCTTTTGATAGCTCAAACTATGGTCCTCTCTCGATTATGGCACTATACACAACATGCGTCGATTTCCGCAGCAGTGGTAAAGAGGTGGCAGTCAATGTTGAACAAGTTTGTTCTGAGTCGTCAACATGACCGTCACGCTTCATCCGTGCGGCTCATTTCACAGGAATTCTTATACATGCGACGAAGCGAAGGGGGTCTAGGCATCCCAAACCTCGAGGCGCTGCTCAAACGTCAGCGTCTCCAATTATTGCTGCAGTTCATCACTGCCGCTACTGCCAAAGGTGAGCGTAATTGGACCACTTCAGGCTCTGAGGTCCTCATGTTAATTCTTCCTCACACTGGCAACCGCCACGCACTCGACTTCCTCACCATCTCCCTACTACGTCACGGTGAGATGATCAACTGGCGACTGACTTCACATTGGTGGCGTGTGATGTGGACTTGGTGGTACAAGATCCGCTGGGACATCACGCAACGCGATTAACCTTCCTGCGATCGCGTTTTATATAACCTTCACCAGCCGATCTGGTATCATTCGGACCCAGATCTGCACTTTGAACGGGCAACACGGAGTTGTACCAGACAAGCGCATCGTCGCTGCATTGGGATGGTCCCGGAACCCCAGCGGAGCTTTCGCCTACATATCGCCAGAGTCTTCCGCATCCGATCGCTCTCCGACTTTGTGCGAAGTGGATCTTCCTGGCCGTCTCAGACAGACTTTGTTTCGCGTCTTATGGACTTCACGCTACTGTCCACAGCCCCTGGTCTCCAAATCAAGTGGTTGCGCGTGCTTTACAAGGAGACGACACAGATTGTTGAACGTCTGAATGCACGTTCGATCGTATGGCCCGCTTCGCCTCCTTTAACTCAAGTGGCTCCCTACTTGGGCTGCACGATTGGTCCAAAGACATTTCTGGTCCCTGCAATTCCGCGGACCGCGCTTCTCGGTGTGGTTTGGCAGCCTGTGATGCCAGCTAAACCGCATCCCATGACTATGCACTCGCGACACGTCGACGATGAGCAGATCACCTCGGTCATCAAGCATGGTAAGCATTTGCGCAAGATCCTGCTTCCTGTCTTTGAAGACCTGCAGTTCCGCGTGACCTTTCGTCTTTTGCCATTGCGCGCTCGATTTTGGTTTCTTATCGCTTCGAACCCGCGTATTCAGTATTGTGTGCGCGATGGATGCAATGCGATCGAGACAGAGCAACATTTGTTTTTCGACTGCACTCTCGCATCACGTCTGTGGGGTCACTTGAATCAAGTGATGTCCTTCTTCTTTCGTACGAGGCCGACATGGTTGGACATTGTTTTGGCGAAAAAAATGCGCGTGCGCGGTAAGTGGAAAATTAATGTGGGCGCCATTCACGATATCTGGGATGCTCTTCGTACGGCAGCTCTTCACTTTATCTGGAAAGACCGCAATCGATGCTTGTTTGATGGACGGTTGCCTACACCGTAACTCCCTGCATTGTCGGCCATCTTCACGACTTTGGAGGCGCACATCCGGTTTTTTTTCACGACATGTTTACGAGCGAGACCAGTTGTCAGCCTTGTTCATGATCGTGCGCGTGATGAAAACTTACTCTTTACCCGGACTCTTTACGCATATGGACACTGAATTTACGGCCGACTTCCACGGTTGCAAGTGGCTCGAGCGGGAAGGTATGGCGGTACCATCCCAGAAGGTCACTGGTTCGATCCCCGGCAGGGACGAAAGTTAAGCCTTAGGGTCCTGGTGTTTGGGGTTAACCAGCACTGTGCCGCCACACAGTGACGACCCCCACTTTTTGTTTCTGCACAACAACGTCCACTACCAACCTGTAATGGTACGGTTTCGACAGATATGAATCACAGCGACTCCGATCGATGGCGTCTGCGCCTCACCCATCGTATCAATAGAACGTTCTAGACGTCAGCACAGAACATGATAGGTAAGTTGGGAAGTCACATCGTCTAAATTATTGTAATATAGACAACCTTTCAACTGAGCTAGACGGGCTTCGCACACGCATGCACACTTCTCAAAAAAATCACGCAAACAAACACCCACGGGGCTTGCCATGCTCACCTGTCCACCACCACTGCCTCCTTCATCCACTCGTGTCATGGCGGATCGATCGTCTTGTCTGTCCATCAAAAGAGGTCCTGAAGAAAGAAAGAGGTGCTACTGATCGATGTCATTTCGCTAATCGACTAGTTAGAATGAACCACATTGTAGTCCAACCCAGTTGTGTTTCTCCATCACCATAGTACTGCCCATTGGTTTCTATCTGAGAAGAGATAGTATGGACTGGGCGAACATGCGGTAACGCCCCACTCGAAGCCTGCCCGATTCGAGTGGTCGAGAATGGTGCGCCTTGTTCTGGAGCCAATCCAGCTGATAAACCACTGCGACAAAGAGACGGAAAAAGTGCGGCTCTGAAAAAGAACGGGACTGCAGCCGTTTCGATAACATCATTGGTAGTCGCCCACCGTGGGGCTCGAACCCACCCATGACCACAAGATTAAGAGCCTTGCGCTCTACCAACTGAGCTGGACGGGCTTTGCACACGCATGCACACTTCTCCGAAAAATCACGCAAACAAACACCCACGGGACTTGCCATGCTCACCTGTCCACCACCACAGCCTCCTTCATTACACCTATAGGACAATATTGATGGGATGTTTCATCTTGCTGTAGCTCTATGGGATTAGTGTGGCAGGCAACATGCTTGGCATCACCATTTGATCCTGAAGGGAGGTGCTAAACCTTCTGGTCCTCCTGTGTTTGGGGTTCACCAGCACTGTCTTGCCAAGGCAGTGACGTCCCCCATTTTTGTCACCGAAGGGAAACCGTTTATGGGAAAGGAACATGAGGAAAGGAAGAACCGTGTATAGGAAAGGAACATGAGAAAGCGACATTCTCTGATTTGATGAAACAGTTGAAAAGATGGACGGACCAGGAAAGATGATAGGCAACGGTAGGAACGTGATTCAACGCATAACACAATCCACTTTGTCAACAAAGCCGCTGTCTTCAGCGTGAATCGAACACGGCAACTCTGGGTAGTACTGAACTATCATCAGCAGCGCGACAACGCTGGCCTTAATTCCTTCACAACCGGGCGCACCTCATTCACAACGACCACAATCGTCGCGTCCCTCTTCGTAATCTTGATCACAGGATCCGGAAGATCAAAAGAGCTGTCAAAAACACGTATGCCGGCAGCATTGATCCCGTACTTATTGCCTACTCGGGGATAGGAGCTGCCGGACAGTGTTCGCGAGCCACTTCTTTATCTCAGCTACATATGCCAACGAGATAAGCACGGTTCAGCCACTCTTTGTCGCTCCCCGATGAGGCGAGATCAGCAAGACACTTATCAGTGGAGGGTACAGCACTCTTCCATCGGTACGACCAACTCCACTCTACCGTCGCTCTTTACAACTTTTATGCCGGCAATTGTCCAGGTATGCCGGACCGGCAAAGGTTTGACAGGAGCAGGTACTCCGCCCTCCTTTACGACACTAGCGAAGCCAGTTGCTATGTCGCCTGGGATGTCCGTAACGGGCTCATCCATGAGTTTGATATAGCGGACAGCCATAAAGGACCGAAGTACAAACACACGCTACGCATCGCATTCCGGAACCGCGTCCAGATTATTTGATTACCACAACGAACCCTTCATGAGGTCATGTTACGAACCCGGTATCGATCACAGGCACAAACTTTATGGGATTGCCGCCAGTGCGGTACAACTCTAGGAAAATATCACAATCCGGGACAGACAGTGGCGTCGGCACGGTCTTTATGGTACTTCGCGACAAAGAAACTTACAGCTGCCCGCGTTTTTGTCCTCAGCTCCGATAGGTCGAAGACGTCGCCAAGACTTTCGCGGCAGAAACGCTCCTCTGAACGCGTGAGGAACTTGCTCACACACGAAAAGAAGGTATCGTGCAGCCAACGAGATGGCTTATTTTCAATCTCTACGTACATAACTCGATCATACGCGCCAAAACTTCACCATATGCATTTTCGGTAGATCAGCCGGGGCGCTCTCACCGGTTTTATCTTTGCGTTTGCGACCGAAACAAGGCTTTTGGTAGTCTGCGTTCAGACCAGCACTAAAGTCCTTCATGTTGAGGCGAAGGACTAGGATTCTAATTAACCACGCGGTATGGCACAGTACTTGTCATCAAATATCTTCCACAGCGCAGTGGTTCGCCACTACGTGAATAGCTCGCCCAGCTCTGACATAACCGTGACTACGCCGTCCACAACGCCCGTATAGCGTGTTTCCCACTCCAGCTGGGACTCAAACCATAAGGGTCAACGAGCAGCTGCTTTACTTCCGGTACAGCCGCAGCCTCATTCGCAACAATGACAAAGAGCCCATAAAAACATTATTCACAGGCATCTTGTGCACGTGTCCACAGAGTTATACTCCATTCACCCGTAATGTAATGTTTAGAGTCCTCCAAACTACCTACGCCAGACCCGACAACAAGAAGCACATTTGGCACGCGACATATTGCAGCGTGCGTCACCTCCATCGGCTCGTGGAAGTCCTCGGGGCTGAGGGAACTAACAACGCGGCTGGCTGTCCACTGCAACATAACGTTCATGCTCGGCATCATCGCAGCGATCTCCAACACGGCGTAGATGCCGTCTACTGACTCCGATTTGACGCCCACCAGTCTGATTCCGGCATTTTATGTAGCTGTGACATTAGTTAAAGCCCCCGCTCCAGGCGTTGGAATGCCTACGTTAATCGTGATACGCAAACTGCTTTTAAAAATTGTTGATGCGACATGTGCGTTATGGAATGGACATGCGTCGGGATAAGCGTGTTCATGTAGTTGCTCTAAGTAGTATTACACCTGTAGGACAATATTGTGTGATGTTTGCTCTCAGTAGTATAACATCTATAGGACAATATTGTGTGATGTTTGCTCTAAGTAGTATTACACCTATAGGACAATATTGAGTGATGTTTCTCATCATGCTGTAGCTCTAGTGGATTAGTGTGGCAGCTCTATACCAAAGGTCACCGGTTTGATCCCGGCAGCGAAAGTTAAACCTTCGGGTCCTGGTGTTTGGGGTTCACCAGCACTGTCTTGCCAGGCAGTGACGTCCCCCATTTTTGTCACCGAAGGGAAACCGTTTTATGGGAAAGGAAAATGAGAAAGGAAGAACCGTGTATAGGAAATGAACATGAGAAAGGACATTCTCTGATTTGGTAAACGGTTGAAAAGAAGGACGGACCAGGAAAGATGATAGGCAACGGTAGGAACGTGATCCAACGCATAACATAATCCACTTTTGATTTTGCTGCTTCAATCAACAAGTCTTCTTCACTTCAACGCTCCGCTAACATTGGACAAGTTATGAGCCCAAGTAACGACTCCGCGCCTTAGGTAGCACTGTTTAACGGTATTAACTATCCGTTGTGGGCGTTCAAGATGAAGGCGTACCTCATTCCCAAAGGTTTATGGGAAGCGGTAAACGCCGCATATGGCGTCTCCGAGGCTAAGGAGCATCAGGCGCAAGCGGCAATCGTGCTCAACTTGAGCGATACTCAGCTCATGCATGTCGTAACAACGGATAGTACACGCTAAGCATGGAAGGCCTTGCACGAGTTCATCGGACTCAAGACAAGGCAAGTCGGCTTTGGCTGAAAGAGAGGTTTGCTACATTCAAGTATTCCGCGACGGACATAAGCACTCACATCATGGAGCTAGAGCGACTCGTGCTAGAGATGAATGGAGCTTTGTGTGGACCGAGTGAAGAAGATACGTGTGCAACATTGCTACAAAGTCTTTCGGCACATTATGAGAGTGTAGTGCAGGCTTTATTCATGAACGTCACGCAGTTCAGCTTTAAAGATCTGGTGAGCAACCTGATCGCCGAGGAAGTGCGCAAGAAGTAACATTGCGCATTGAAGACGAGAGAGCTCTACATGCCGGAAATCGACAGGAGAAGAAAAACTGCAACAAAAGGAGCGGTGGTCAGCGACAGACAGGGTCCGGTGTTCAGTGCTATAATGGTGGAAAGCGCGGACATTACGCACGCGACTGCCAGAAAAAAAGAAACATGAAAGTAGCGAGAGACAAGAAGATCACTCAAACGTGGCGTTTAACGCCACTCAAGAAAATACAAGTGACTGCTGGATCATGGACAGCGGCGCAACGGCACATCTGGCGTCTCCGAGGCGAATGAGCAACAGGCGCATGCGGCAATCGTGCTCAACTGAAGCGATACGCACAGTATGTGCAAGGATAGAGACGCGTTTATCGAGTACGCGGACTTGTCGACAGCTCGCAACGTGAATAGCGCGAAAAACAATGCTAGCTCAAAGGTGCTTGGGCAAGGCACGGTGGTCTTGCGTGTTTGGAACGGCACATTCTCGACATGTGCACGACTGGAGAATACACTTCACGTGCAAGACCTCAACAAGAACCTGTTCTCGCTGACAGCAGCTACTGCGCGCGGGATGAAGATTGAGATCAACAGTGCAGGATGTATTGTATTCAAAAGCGGGCAAATCGTCGCAACAGGTGTGCGACGTGGGATTCTTCTAACACTAATTGTCGAAGAGGTTCCACAATGCCATGTGCTCGAAAACGAAGCTGAACTGTGGCATCGCCGACTTGGACACATTTCATACTCGACCATAAACAAGCTGATTAAAGACGGCTGCATCAAAGCATAAATCATGGACCAGCCTGATTGATTGTCGAAAACGAAGCTGATCTGTGGCATCGCCGACTTGGACACGTTTCATACTCGACCGTGAACAAGCTGATAAAAGACGGCTGCATCAAAGGAAAAAGCAGGCACCTGAAAAATTTCTGTGACTTTTGTGCGACAGCTAAGCAAGTACGCAAGACGTTTACCATGTGCGTTATGAAATGGACATGCGTCGGGATAAGCGTGTTCATGTAGTTGCTCTAAGTAGTATTACACCTGTAGGACAATATTATGTGATGTTTGCTCTCAGTAGTATAACATCTATAGGACAATATTGTGTGATGTTTGCTCTAAGTAGTATTACACCTATAGGACAATATTGAGTGATGTTTTTCATCACGCTGTAGCTTAAGTGGATTAGTGTGGTAGCACTTGTTGGCAAAGGCTGCCAAAAAGTCGCAGTACCTCAATACGAGGTTTGCGCTTAAAGACCATCTTGATACATCGCACTGGCAAAATATTTAGTCTTTCATTCGAGAACAAAGCATATCGACATAAAGTTTTACTTTCTTTCGAAAGAGTATTGGAAGGCGTCATCCAGCTTGAGTACAAGCCAACAGACGAGATTATTGCGGACGACTTGGCGAAGGCTCTTAGGCGGACCAAGCATGCAATTTTTCTGCAAGGTCTGAACTTACAAGGGTAGGAAATTCGACACTTGTATGTGCGCATCATGGGAGAGTGTAAAGAATTGGTGATGCGACATGTGCGTCATGTTTCTTGAACTTGTGAGAAGCCACGTGCGACGAGACGAGCCTCGAAACGCTCGATGGAACCCGTGTGGTCGCGTTAAACCTTGAACACGTATTTGCTTGGTACAACAGTGACGTCCAAAGGGCGATTTGTTACCTTCAACGTTCGCAATCAGAGCTTCCAACTCGGTCTTGATCGCTGCTTTTTATTGATCGCATACTGGGGATTCGATTGATTGTCGGCGATTGACTGGATCCGTGACTGAATAGGATGCATATAAAGATCCTTGTTCGGAGTGTTAAGATCATTTGGCGATCGCGTTCGGGATGACGTCGTATCTCAAGTCGCTTCTGACCGATACTCCTAGACATTTAAAATATTGGCACCGGTCTGAGTTCCTTCAAATTAGTCACGGCATCTTGCTGGAATACGATGAGATCGACTGCTTCGCCTTGTTACTGAAGGCGCCTGTGAAGAACCAGTTGTGGTACCCGTATCTGACGCTTGAGTCGGTGGTACTTGCACGTTCCGTACAAGGGTTTCATAATCGATATCAGCAGGATCCTCTGCTTCATCAATCGCCTCGCCGATTAGTGTAGTAAGTAAGATAAAATAGTGCAAAGGTCCTTTTATTCAGTTTCACCGGTCTCGTGTGCTTGTATCGAGAGGGTTTCTGGTGACCGGTGGATGATTCTTACGTGTTGCGTTATAATTACCTTCCGCGACTTCTTGGGGTACACCATGCAGCCTTTCCGCTCAACATCATACCCAATGAATATGCCTTCTTCACCCATGCGGTGTGTGCCCATGGTATCACGCCTGATATGTGTACTGACACGTTGTCTCCATGGCACGACTGTCGACAAGTTTGGTCTACGTCCGGTCAGCATTTCAATCGGTGAGACTTCCCCTGGATTGGCTCGTGTTGTGAGATGATTCGACAACCACGATATATGCTTCAATGTAGCAACCCATAGTGTTTTTGGAGCACCTAAAGTGTCGAACATGACCGCTCTCGTGCCATTTAATATGATTCGATGGCGTCGCTCAACCTTGCCATTCGACGTCAATTCATCAGTTTCTGTAAATAGCATTCGAATCCATGTTCACTGACCGACCCACGTGCGCATCTTCTTCGTCTCAAATTTGCCGTCACCACGAAAAACCTTGATTGTAAGTGCATGTTGTCGCTTAAACTGTGTGATGAACTGAATGAGTAGTGGTAACCACTTGTCTTTGGTCTTCATGGCAAAGACGTCACCGTAATTGCTGGTGTGATCCACGATGTGTAGCACATGTTCATTACCTTGCCAGTCGCTTGGTTTTAGGTAAACCGTTTAGTCAATATATAGTACTGCACGGACTTCGTCCGTGGGTGCTTGTGTTGCGCTATCAGCACTTGACTTAATATATCGCGATTGTTCGGCCTTGATGCATACGTCGCATGGGAGGACTTTCTTGTTTGTGGCACGCGTTCCGCTCACAATGTCATGGCTGTTCATGCGCATCACAACGGTCGTATTTAGATGATCTAGTCACTTGTGCCATCGCATCAGAGTGTCAGCCGTCGTGTTTGACACATTGAATGTACCTGACTGGACGGAAGTCTCCACGAGGTAGCACAATTCGCGAATCCAGGGTGATTTGGCCACCACTCTCTGTTGTCCATCAGCATTTGGCTTATTTCGTACTGTAGCGCCACTTTGAGTGAATTCAACCTTGACATCACGCTCTGCCAGTTTCGATACTGAGAGAATATTAACGCTTGCTGATGGGATGTGATGAATATTCTTAACAGTTATTTTTCAAACCTAACCATCAACGAGTAGGTTGATAGTCACGCCACCAACCTCCGTCGCACGAACGACCATCTTGCTTGCAACTGTAACGTCCAAGCAGCAGGACCGCGCACCTTATAAAATCGTGTGGTCGTTCGTGATGTGGTGGCTTGCTTCAGAGTCGAGCAGACACCTAGCATGTTGGCTTGCTGGTACTTGGGTACCTTGGGCTGTCTAGCATGACGCGACAAGAATAGTATCTTCACCTGTGATTGTCGTGCTGACAGCGTAAAGTTTTCCTTGGGTTTCTTAAACTGAGGCCACCGCGTCTTACTGGCGACGCCTGTTTGGACAAGACCTCTTAATTAGGCCAGTCTTGTTGCATAGAAAACATTGACGTCCTTCTCCCATGTTGATATTAGCTGAACCTAGTTCATGGTGTCGTGTCCTGGTAAAGTAGTTCTTGATATTCTTGCCATTCTTCACATGCGTCCTGTTGCCAGAGACATTGTGAATCTTGTCATTTAAGACTCCATCACCCTTCACACGGTACAAAAACAAGAGCACCTTTTCCAGTTCAGGTCGTAGATTTGTGGCGTTGAGAGTCACTAAAACGAGAAGTGTAGACTTCTCCTTAAAACACGCGTACAGTGCAAAAGTTTCCAATACCAGACGGCCGTCCGCATTCAGTAGTCTCCCCACTTCCAGCAGGTATCCCGCGTAAGGTAGCCATGTAAATTGTCTCTCCTTTGGCTTACGCAGGCGGTTGACGAGTTCGGGACCACTTAGGTGACATCCGTACTGATTAAAATACTTTTGCTTACAATCCTTGTACGAGAGCATGGGATTTTCAAGCTTCCAGATTTTCGTAGTTGTCGTGGAACAGCTTGGCCGGCCTGGCGGCCATGAACTTTACCATCAGCATCATCTTCAGGAGGTCTGTCCAGATGCTGCCGTAGATAGCGATATCGATTGCAATCGCGTGCTCCCAACGTCGCTCAAAGTCTTCAAAATTGAATCAGAGGCTCTGTCCGGGATAGCGTTGCTTGGCGCCATTCCGCTCACACACGAGAGCCTAAATGTTTGGTGGCCGAGGTGCCATTTAAAATGCAGGCGCCACAGAGTATGACGCACCTGGTGACGCCGTCCTCATACTCACATCTGAGGAATGGCGAGGTTCTCCCTACCTGCGTTCCAGCTCCACCTAATGTAGGTCACACAGGTGTATTCAGACGCATCTGACCCATTTGAGCCGTCAGACCGTCGACTTTCCGCTGGAGTCGCTCGATGTTGGCACCATGACCGGCGCCAGCAGGACGCGCTTGACCGCACTTGACCGCGCATCACCCGAAGCTCATCCTGTACCGCAGCATTTGATCGCGCTAGTGACTGCAGCGTCGACGCTGGAGACACCTCCTCGTCGAAATCCCTGCTGCTGTCATATGCGTGCGTGCCAAAGCCGAAGCTAGGTTCGTTAGGAAGAGTTCCTCGGACATAACGCTATATAGCATTGTAGTCTCAGCGCTAAGATCTTGGGCTCAGAACCTGTTGCGAGTTTCTATACACGGTTACAGGAGTGACAACTGGTAAGTGAGAAACTCGGCTTTATTGACAATTTAGTAGCATTGGGAATGACTAACTTGGCGCTACCCGTCGCGTTTTACTTACTTGTCTTCTTCCTACAAATGTACGCACATCGATCTTACCTTCGTCATCCGAGGTCTTGATGTGGCTTCGATGTTACCCCACTTATGTGGTATAGATTCCTGTTGCAACTGAAGGTCCGCTCGAGCGTGTTGACCCCAGTACCGGCCATCGTAATTGAAGTTCTGTAGCACCTCATAATGCTGCAACAATCACAGGTACCACGGCAACCACCTTGCAACAGAAAGACGCATCACTGGCGAGACTGAAATGGCTGTTCGTAGAGCCTTCACTGTCCCTTGATAGAGAGCGCTCTCGGGGCTCCCAACCCGGCCACCAAATTTGCATAGAACGTGCGAAAGTAGAAAGGCCAGAGCAGAAAGTACAGGTGGACGAATGGTAAAGAACGAACTAAAAGCTAGAACGAACTAAAGTAGAATAAAGTTTAGTCGTAGTCGGCCTCACGAGGGTTAGGTGTAAGCCACTCGAAGACCTTCCTGACTAAGTATCGCTACTTATACAGGCACTTAAAAAACAAATGTGAAAAGAGCCGACAAAAGTCGAAAACCAGTTTTTACACTGAATTGTAATAGAAGGTTTGTGTGCATTACCATTCCATGACCTCTCCACGACTTTAGAAAATGGGTAGTATGCATGTCACTAATTAGAGGGTCTAATGGAAATTACCTGGGTTTTGTGGGTGGTGTCCTACCTGTATAGTGCCCTGTCGGTCGTTCAGACCAGCTTCTCACCTTGCACATGGCGGCTGAGTAGCCCGCGGGGTCCCCCCAGACCCGCGAGTCAGTCGTGCAGCCACCCACACCATTGTTGATCCCTGAGTTGCTTGCAGTGCCAATTCCATATCTGGCAGCTAGTACAAGCACAGTGACGAAAAAGTTGAAGATCCAGTCGACGAGCATCACGCTTGAGCAGGTGCATCTTATCCATGTAGGTCCTGAAATCAATCGTTTGGACCGAGCCCAGTGAGCCAAATACAATCGCTAAAGATTCCACTTTACACCCCTTCAACCTAAGCTCATCAGCAATTAGCTTATACTTGAGCAGCTTGAAGTCATGTCTGGCTTTTGGCAAGGAGTGGCGAGCCCAGCAGAATGAGTTTAAGCGTGTCGGCCATGTCAGCTATCACCATATTATCAGCATCCACGTCCCGCAGCACAGAATCCGGGCGCAGAGCCGCACTGGTATACTCAGGTACTGTCTGATTCAGTTGTAACTCTGCACCCGACTTGGTCCGAAGCAGGGCTTGTCTTATCACATTACCAATCTGCTCGAGCGCAGTATCGTGACGTTGGCGGATGGAATCCAAGTTGGAGGCACAATGATTTATAACGTGTGCCAACGTCTCAGCACTCGAGCAGTTCGACTGCCTGCAATAAGCATTCGCTCGGATGTGGCAAGGCTTCAGCACCGAGTTCGTGTCCACTTGATTAAGCCGGGCGTGGATGCCAAACCGGTGTTCAGCATTTGACAGACCCACACTCTACATCACAAACTTGGACCCGGGGCCACCATGCACCCGGGTCGTCCTACTCAGGTCGACCAGACTCTTCCACCGAGTTTGTTGTCGAAACTTCACTTGCAATTTTACGTGCCGCAACACTGAGTTGTGGTCAAGCCAGTGGGCATGGCGCAACACTTAACCGCGCGGTCCATATAGCTGATATGGAGAGCTTTCAGCACCCGCTGTATGTGCACCCAAAGCGACACGAATATCCCCGACTTGCGATGTTCAGTGGCGTGGGGAGACGACGTAAGCTCGGCATTCAGAAATAAATTTATGAGCTCGTCGTCTTGATCCGTCCAGTGACTTCAATGAGGCGGTAGCGTTTGCGTGCAATCTGACACACCTGGGCCGTCGCCACTGCTACAATCGCTGGGTCCTTAAAGTGCAGCATCTGCCACGCGTGTGCCACCTGCAGCGCTTGGTGCATCTCTACCAGAGACTGCAGGCCCAGTCCACCACTAGAAGTAGGCGCATAGTAGAACTCATTGGTGGAACACTGCGGCAGGCGAAGTAGGTGGCGTAGTCCACGTTTTACGGCACAGTCAAATCCTTCAAGCTGAGACTGGAGTGGTCGCAAGTGGCGAAGCGCGTACACATCTTAAGACATACATCAGTCTTGAGCTCCTTCACCACTTGCCAAGCTGCCAAACCAGACTGCATTAGAGCATTTGCCTCTCTTGTGATTTGTTGCAACTTGGGTTCAAGCTGAAGGAGGTGCTGGACATGATCAAACCCATCATTCACCCTGAGATAGCGATAGCTTTTACTGAGGGTAAGTGGGGTGATGAAATCACCTTGCACTTATAATCGGACACTGTCATCACGGACGTGGTTGCCACGGGCATTAGTAGGAGCAGCAAGGCTGGCACACATGGCAGGATTTGCTCGCAGACCCGTCCACTGAAATAAACGCTGCACCACACCATGGCTTCGGTGAATACCGTCGGAGCTGTTGCTGATCTTTTTTTTGTCGTCCGCATAGGAGGTGGTGCACGGACGCACACCGTTCGCCAGTGGCACACCGACATCCTCAAGCTGCTCAAGGCGACGCAACAACGGGACCAGCGTCGCGATAAACAGGAGAGAACTCAAAATAAACCTTGGTAGACACACACTTTTATTTGCTTTTATTCGGTCGCACCGTCCTTCGCATTCACTACCACGAATGTTGACTCACGGTAGGTGTCCTGGCAACGGTTATTAAACCTGGGCTCAACTATTATACAGCGGAGCACACGCCACATGAGAGCCTGGGATAGAGAACCGAAGGCGTTCCGTAGTTCGTACCATACTTGGTACAATTTCCGGTGCGACCGCCGAGACTGATCCAACACCGTAGTTGCCACAAAATTGTGTTCTTCAAACCGTTGAAAGGTCAAGACCCCTTCTGTGCCATCGGCAGCGGGTTGTTCAGTAGTATCCAGCACGATAACCGATGCGCCAACAGCCCGCTGTAGAGTTTGTAAATCGCAGGCTGCAGGCATTTCGGCCGCCAGTTGCTCGTCTGCATCGGGTCAGCCTTTTGTGGACCAGGCGAACGATGCCCACCTTCCACAGAGAAGGCACCAACCGATGCAGCCAACAGAAGTAAAACGCGGCATGCAGAAGGGATACCAATTGCGGGGCAAACCGGCGAAAAACATCATATCCAACCCCATCATGACTGGGACTGGATGCCTTGGTAGCCCGCAATATCTGTACTTTCACTTCATCCATCGAAATTTCTCCATCGAGACAATCACCGCATCAAGCTTTTATCATTTAATTATTAAGCACGGCGTTTAACTCGTGAACTTCAGCAGCATCGTAGTTAAAAGGGAGATGGGGCCGTGCAGATGCCCATAAAATGACGGTGGAGATCCTCCCCTGCCGATGGGGCAGGAGTCTGGGTGCTCGGCACCCGCAGTCTCCGCTGAGGCACCATCCAAAATCTTGGCCACGCGCTTGGCTTCTTCGTTTTTGGCAAAATCCCAACGCATGTCCAGCTGAGCTATCGAAGCACGAACACTTCCGCTTGGCTTCTTCGTTTTTGGCAAAATCCCAACGCATGTCCAGCTGAGCTATCGAAGCACGAACACGCCCACCTGACGCCTTGCCTTCCGGACTGCTTTTCGGTTCACCTGGAGCCGCCTGCTGGGTTGCCTGCATGTCATCAAGCGCCTCGTCAGCACCGGTGCTCACGCTGAGTGCGCGTCATTCGAGGCGGACGTCGGCGCTTCTAGCGTGGCTTAGTGTGGCTTGGAGGCGCAGCATGGACATGTACCACAGAGTACGGCTGAAAGACTTCCCGAAGGCGGTCAGGTATGGCAGAGGTGTATCCCTTGTCTGTTCCCCAGCTGTCAGCATCGACAATCTTGCTCGCCAAGACTTCAGCAAACAGTTGCATAGTGGCAGCAGCGGAGTCGTGCTCTGCATCAGTCATTTGACGCAATCGAAGCCAAGGTTGCCGCTCGGGAGATGAGCCTGGGTAAATAGACAGAGTAGTAAAGACCTCAACTCCATCACGAGTAGCAATTTCGGCCTCAATGTCAATACCGGGTGCATGCACCATCATGCTATCGACACAAGAGCTATTAGCAGGAGGTGCTGGATCTAGCGGTGCAGAAGCAGCTGGCATAGAGGAAGCAGGCCTAAAGCAACTATCCAAGATGCTTGAATGAGGGCCACACTCCACGGCAGTCCGTCGAAGGTTAAGCGCACGGTTAGCAAGGCGGTCGGCGTGGGCATTGGCTTGCCTGTCGGTATGTCGAAGCTGATGCCAGTCAAGGCGCGTTAACTCCTTTCACACTTGACCTCGCAAAAAGGTCTGAGCCATCGGTTGTTGCAGCTGAACGAGCCGCGCGTCTGAGCCAGCACCAAGATCTTTTCTCCTTCAACGAGCAATCGCGTGGTACCATGGCGGACTGCACTCTGCACCCCCACCAGCTGTGCTGTGTACTTAGCAGTGTTTCTCGTCTCACTGCTGGAGGGGATAAAGTGAGAGCACGTCCACACCAAGGTACCGCTCGAGTCAAAGATAGCGGCACCAGCGCCCCCTTGTCCAGGGTTCCGTCTGCAAGCAACATCAGATCGTAGATGCCAGGGCTCAGAAACCTCGTGGTTAGCATCGGTATCCACCATTGGTAGGGTTAATGGAGAAACCAGCGGCTAAGCAACAAGAAAAAGGTAGATGGAGGTGCAGTGCGTTCGACGGAGGGTGTCCGTCTATTGCGAGGCCTTCGCCCAGTGATGGGTTGCGTCACTACCAATCGGGAACCCCAACGAGTCATGGTCTGTCGGGGCGCAGCATAGCTCTTTTGGTGCAGGAACAGCTAACCGAGAGGAAGGAGCAGTAAAACCAAAAATAAGCGACAGGTGGGCCACCCACAGCAGACCCGATCGTGCCGTGACGTGGCCCCCATCGCGTAGCACGAGTGCTGGACGCGACAGAGGTCAGCGGTCGGGTCACTGCCAGGGCTGGGAATAGTTCCGCATTCGTCGCAGGTCAACCGGAGACAGCAGCACCCTCCGCAGTCAGAGACTCATCTTTATCCACAGGTAAACGAGAAAAATCCACGAGAAAAGCCAAAACATCATCACCAACAATGCCCATATAATGGCTGACCCCGTCCTGGTATCGAGCAGGGTCGACATGCACAGAAGCAAAAGGGCCCATGTCCCAGTCTGGATTGGTAAGCACATCTTCAGCACCGTTAAGCGACCGGTCTTCCCAGCAACCCAGATATTGGGTGGCGAGGTCGATGGGCACCGCACGGGGGGACATGCAGGTGCCAAGCTTGTTCGCCAACATTGAGGGCAGGCACGGTGCTCTAATATGGGGTAAAATCGGCGGGCACAGTGCTGCTTGATGCAACTGCCGAACCCATAGATGTAGCCATGACGAGGAACCCGGTAGGTTCAAGGGACACCTCGACAGCCAAAGCAGACAACACGGAACTGAATCGAGAAAGACCGGGTGTCGAAGACGGAAAGGGAAGACCACCTGCAGCCTAAGGGGTGTACGACGGACTGTCGCGACACCCTAGTGCATGATTTGTTGAAGCAGCAAGTGTCCTGTGACCGATCCCTCACATGCACCCGCTGTGATAGTGGTCCACGAAGCAGGTGCCACGGTGGGCGTCCGTCGGTGACGTGCTAGCACACTCATGTCACATGCAGTGTACGAACACAACGTGCAACCAATGCTGAGGCGTTGTAGGCGTATACTGATAGTACCGGGTCCGTCTGCCTGGTTATAGGCTGGGTTTATTCAATGCAAAACCTGGCATGAATGAGCGACAGCGCGCTGGAAGTTGTCCCATACCTTGTCCATGGCAACGGCACTGGGCATGGCACCACTACAACGGACGCGTGTTCACCATACCCGACTCGGTCAGGCAGTATGGGAGTCTGCCTGTCGAGTCGTTCGTCAAACGGTAATGGTACATATAGAGATACTGCAGTGGGCGTAGTCTCGTGAGGAGTCGCGGCCACTGCAGCGGATCACGCTTGGTCAGGCAGATCGCCGGCCATCGGGCCAAGCCAATCGTCATCATAGGCATTTAAGAAGTACTCGTCGGCAATGCTGGAGTCATCGATTCCCTTCTCGTCGCTTGTGCCGACGGAGTTGGGGTCACTGGGGTCGTGGTTGGCACCCAGCGCGCGAGTAGTAGCGGCTACAAGCGACGACCCCGCGAACAGCATGCGACCGCCCTGCAGGGTGCGTAATCATTTCGCTTTTGGTCAGTAACGGCGGCGAGTGTGGCGGGGGGGTGAGAGGGACAGCAAGGGGAGGCGTCGTGTACGTGGCAGGACCAGAGAAAATTCTGTCAGCACCCAAGGTGCAAAAGCTCTGAAGTCCTAGCATTTCTGGAAGCAACACCCGGTCAGGCAGCGTAACGCCCGCCCTGCCGGGTGTGAAAGCAATCGCAGCTTCGTCATGTAATCCAACGGCGCGCGTAAAGGTTAATGATGGTCGTGAAGGGTCGTCAGGCATGATGTCAGACCTATGCAAGGCGTCTGTGTGCCCGGGAAGCCATTGCTCTGACAGTCAGGGAAGCAACGCCCGATCTGGCAGCATGCCTGCCACCCTGCCGGGTGTGCAAGTAAAAATTGCGACTTCGTCAGATGGTTCACGAGATTCCTGGGGCTGAGGGAGACTAGCAGAAGACGTCCAACACGGTGTTAGACCCGGTCAAGGCATCTGTGCACCCGGGGAGTCACCGCTCTGTAGTCCAAGCACGTCTCGGTCTTGCACCCGGTCAGGCAGCATTTCGCTCTCCCTGCCGGGTGCCGCAACAAACAACGGGAGTATTCTTCGACCAAAAAGCGGTAAGGGGACGGCAAGGACCCCGAAGAAGCCTAACGGCGCGAAGACGGCGTGAGCGGAGTGCTTAATAGCCGGTCTGTGCCGGAGATGAGACGTCGAACGAGGTCTTGGCCCCCAGTAGTCACGGGGTAGACGAAAGTTGAATGGAGTAGTGGTGATGTTACATAATTACGCCCGTGTGACCAGAATGATTGTTCTTCAGGCTCTTCCCGATACCCGAAAGTACGCGATACCGAAGAGGAATGGCGGGGAATGCCCTCGACGCTAGAGGGCTCCTCCTGCAAATCCCTTGCACGCGCAATCACTTCACCGTGTCGTGAGATGTCTCTCCGTCTTGCAGTGGCTGCGCGCGTGGGACCACTTGGCGGCCATGCGCCGACGGATTCGGGGGCAAAAGGGATATGAAATCACATTTCCCCGTTCTGGCCAATCGGCTTCGAGATAATGGCCAGACCCAGAATCAGCCGTTTTTAGGTCGGGGGTCGCCCGTTCGACACCCATCACCAACGAAACAATGTTTTTGGATCGCCCACCAGCCCTGTCTCGTCATCAGCAGACGCGTCATAGAAAGACGCATCGCTGGAGAGACTGGAATGGCTGTCCGTCGAGCACTGACTATCGCTTGATCGAGAGCGCTCCCGAGGCTGCCAATCCGGCCTTTAGAAGCGCATCAGGATGCGTTGGTGTAGATCCGGTGCAGAGGGCATAAAGGCGTAAAAATCAAACAAAAGGACGAAAGTAGAAAAGAACGAGTGTATTGATTGCGTATCGTTGGCCTCACGGGAGGAAGGTGTAGGCCCTCGGAGATCGCCCTTCTTAGCAGTAAGCTACTTCGACAGGATGTCCAAAAATGAATGTGAAAGACCGACAAAAGTCGGAAACCAGTTTTCACACTGATTGAAACAGAGAAGTGTATGTACTACCGTCCGGTTAATCCACTTCTGAAGGAATAGAAATACCATATCGAAACTATGTGGTGTGTGAGTTAGGTACAGGTTGCACCACACAGAGCTAGACTATAACGTACCAGAGGGGTTTGAGGGCGGTTCCCTACTTGGGTATGGCTCTTTCGGCTACTATGGGCCCGAAGTCCGACTAGCGGTGATCGTGACGTGACGGGATCCCCCGTCCCCGTCACCCGACTGCCCCTTGTATCTTGATCATGCCGCAACTGGTGCTGCCGTGCGCGATGCTGACTGCAATGCAGGTTCCAAATGCGGAGGCTAGACTGTATGCAAGCCGCAGACAACTTCTTGTCCAGCCGCATCGCACCGCGCTTAAGCAGCCCCAGGTGTTCGATGTAAACCGCAAGGTTTCCACCGGCGACCGCACCAAGCGATCCGTAAACGAGCGCTGATAGATGAACGGTTCATCCTTGACGCTCGAGGTGTCGCTTGACGCAGTCGTACTTGTCACGCTTGGCCTTGGCTGTCCGGACCAGCGAAGACGTTCTCGGGTCGTCGTTGGGCTGCTCATCAAATGCCACTGCAAGGCCTACAACCAACACCGTATGTGTGGTGTGGTTGTAGACCTGCAAGTCCGGCCGCAGCAAAGGTCTGGGGAGCGAGGGAACCGTTTGGTTGACCCTCAGTTCAACTTGGTCCGTCTTGCCGCCGGACGCGTAAGCAATGGCTCGCTTAACAATCTTAAGGTATTCATCGTGGCGTCCACGAATTGTGTCCATAGTCCCCGAGCAGTGGTTGAGCACATGCACGAGTGTCTCCGACCGCGAGCATCCTGAATGCCTGCACAGGTCATGAGCCCGGATACGCCTGAGCTTGAGCACACTGTCCGTGTCAACCTTTTGAGTCGAACGGCCACCGCAAAGCGGTAGTCGGTCACCCACAACCCGCGGGGTGCGATAGGAAGCCGCTTCCAGCACCCACAACGGTGCGTGCAGACTTGCCTTAGTCCGACATCGCGGCCCAACGCTTGCAGTGTTTGTGCTTTAGGTGCAGCTTCACGTGCCGAAGGACATCTCAATGTCCCAACTAACCATCTTGGTGGGGCACGCGAAGCTCCAATCTCTTCGCCGGTGTCCACGTCTTCTCTACCGCTGGCGCCATCTCAAGATTGTAGCTGAAGCGGTGAAGGTGACCCCGGACGTCGAACCACAGCGGTCCGATGTCAGCCTTTCCTCGCTTGGGCGGCACTGGGTCCGACGTCCCCAGCTTGCTGTTGAGGAGGAGATCGCCCAGCTCCTCCTCTCTGTCCCTCCATGCCAAAGCGTCCTGCTTGTATCTTGAGTCAGCAATCTGACGGAGCTGCTGGTGAGCTATGCGCTGGATGGCAGGGTCAGGATAGTGCAGCATCTGCCACCCGTGCGCAACTTGCAAAGCGCCATACATCTCCGTCAAGGGTAAGAACTCTAACCCTCCACGAGAAACAGGAGCGTAAAAGAAAGCTGTCGTAGTGCTAGTTAGTAGCCGTAGAAGGTGTCGAAGGCCGCGTACAAGGTGACGGTCAAAACCCTCCAGCTGCTGAGAAAACGATCTCAGGTGCCAGAGGGGGTACTCAACCCGAGGGTACAAGTACGCCTTTATGATTTTGACCACCTGCCACGGCGCCAGCCCGGACCGCATCAGCGCCTTCGCGTCGTGCTTGACCTGAGTGGGTGCTGTTGCAATCTCAACGCGACGGTGCACGTGGTCGAAGCCATCCCCGATCCCCAAATACTGGTAGGAGTTGGAGGCGCTGGAGTGCGGGGGATCGGGGTGCCGTCCAGCTGCAGCCTGAGGTCGCTAGTCATGTGTAGACTACGCACGTCCAGCTGACCGACGTGGTACTGTACTTGTGCGGATTTGCCTTCATGCCGGTCCACCGCAGGAAGTCTTGCACCGCGGCGTGCTGTCGCTTGATGCCGTCCACAGTACTGCTGAACGTCTTCAAGTCATCTGCATAAGCAGCCGCACCGGGACGGTCTTCGCTGAACACCTTCACACCAGTGTCCGGCAGCGAATTGAGCGCGAGGAGAAGCAGAGAGATCGCGGCGTTAAAGACGTGGGGGCTAAGTGGGCAGCCTTGAAACACCCCCAACTTCAACGCGATTGATGCCGTATTCCCATCAACATCGTTACCAATTGTAAACGCTGCGTCTGCGTAGAAACCACGGCAACAAGCGACAAAATCGGTCGGAACACCCTGCCGTTCTAGCGCCTCCCATAGCAAGTTGTGTGGCACACTGTAAAAAGCGTTGGAAAAGTCGTACCACACGACATGCAACTCTTGATGCTTGCGCCGGGCTGATCGACGAGCATGGCTACAAGAAAGTTGTGTTCCCCGCAGCCGTTCATGGCTCGAAAGCCCTTCTTCGCATCAGCGTGGCGGCCGTTGACGTCGAGCCAGCGCGTGAAGCGACGCGACAAGACACCGGCGTATAGCTTGTATATGGCCTGCTGCAGGCAAATCGGCCGCCAATTCGATGGGTCGAGCCGAACGCCCTTCGTGTGCAGCAGGCGCACCACGCAACCCTTCCAGCTCTGCGGAACACGCCTGGACTGCCAGCAGCGCACGAACGCTGTAGCAGAGCAAGCAGAAGCTGGGACGTTAAAAGCTTGAAAGGACGCGATTGCAGGTCTACAACCACACCACACATACGGTGTTGGTTGTAGACCTTGCAGTAGCATTTGATGAGCAGCCCAACGACGACCCGAGAACGTCTTCGCTGGTCCGGACAGCCAAGGCCAAGCGTGACAAGTACGACTGCGCCAAGCGACACCTCGAGCGTCAAGGATGGACCGTTCATCTATCAGCGCTCGTTTACGGATCGCTTGGTGCGGTCGCCGGTGGAAACCTTGCGGTTTACATCGAACACCTGGGGCTGCTTAAGCGCGGTGCGATGCGGCTGGACAAGAAGTTGTCTGCGGCTTGCATACAATCTAGCCTCCGCATTTGGAACCTGCATTGCAGTCAGCATCGCGCACGGCAGCACCAGTTGCGGCATGATCAAGATACAAGGGGCAGTCGGGTGACGGGGACGGGGGATCCCGTCACGTCACGATCACCGCTAGTCGGACTTCGGGCCCATAGTAGCCGAAAGAGCCATACCCAAGTAGGGAACCGCCCTCAAACCCCTCTGGTACGTTATAGTCTAGCTCTGTGTGGTGCAACCTGTACCTAACTCACACACCACATAGTTTCGATATGGTATTTCTATTCCTTCAGAAGTGGATTAACCGGACGGTAGTACATACACTTCTCTGTTTCAATCAGTGTGAAAACTGGTTTCCGACTTTTGTCGGTCTTTCACATTCATTTTTGGACATCCTGTCGAAGTAGCTTACTGCTAAGAAGGGCGGTCTCCGAGGGCCTACACCTTCCTCCCGTGAGGCCAACGATACGCAATCAATACACTCGTTCTTTTCTACTTTCGTCCTTTTGTTTGATTTTTACGCCTTTATGCCCTCTGCACCGGATCTACACCAACGCATCCTGATGCGCTTCTAAAGGCCGGATTGGCAGCCTCGGGAGCGCTCTTTATCCAGCGATAGTGAGTGCTCGACGGACAGCCATTCTAGTCTCGCCAGCGATGCGTCTTTCTATGACGCGTCGGCTGATGACGAGACTGGCGTGGAATCAGGCGAACTGCATCCTCTCCCAAGTGACACGCAACTGGTCACTGGCGAAGAGGCGGGGCAGTCTGATTTAAGACTGTTCCCAGAAAGAATGTCACTCTTCTTTGGAGAACGGGTGGGACGAACTGCTTCGGAACGGTCGCTGTCGGACTAGTGTTGGGGGTACACACTCGTGCCTCCAATAATTTCCTTTTGGGGCCCGAAAAATGGGCCCCGCATGCGTCCCGCGCCATCACCTCAAGACGGTGATGCAGAGTTAGGCGCCTTAACGTCGGGAACGGGTTCGGAACCCGCATTTCCAGTGCCCACTAAGCGTCAGCGCGCGCGGAAGCCCCCCTGGTCTCCGGTCCCGGTTTTGGGTACCGTCGATGACCGAAAAAAAGAGGCCCGGCGACCCCTCGTTGGTACCAGCGAAGGTACCTTCAGGCCGAATCTTGGGTTCAGAATAGGGGTCGCCGTGGCGAAAAACACTACTCAAGACCACGCGCCACTGGCTACGACTTAAGAGTGCACCAAGTGTTCCGGCCTCCATGTGTCCCCAAGATCACCATCGGCTTCCCTCCTGCGTTGCATGGCTGCTAAAGATCCCTTGCTTGCTCCTGCGCCCACCGCCGCTCAAGACTCGAGTGCGTTCGTTGGACTACCTGGCAAAGCGGGCGTCATGCTGCCCGACCGGGTAGCGCCCTGAGAATACCAAGGACCTTAGAGTGACAGCTCCTCGGGTGCTCACAGGCAGCCCTTGATTTAAAAGTGTGTGCGACAGTCCCCCTATCCCTCCCGCTCGTCCTACAAGCCTCCGTCGCTGCTTAAGACCCCGCAAATGTTAATTCTTGACCCGCCAACCCGGCAGGCATGCTGTCAAACCGGGTTGATCGTGGGTCAGCGCTTGCAGCCACAACTGCTCGCGCCCTGGGTGCCGTACATGGCCTCAGCGACCCCGAGGACAGCGACAGCAGCGACAGGATGGCGTCTTTCGACAACGACGCTTTTTCAGTTGACGACGATGCTGCCAGACCAAGTGATGACAAATCGCTCGGACAGGAAGCTACGGAGCTGCCCGCCCGAGCTAGACACACTGCAGTGGCCACGTCTCACACCATGGACATGACCACCACCTCTTACGAGGCCGTGTCCACTGCAGCAATTGTTGATAATGTTGTTGATGTCTCACGTACCTGTGACGACCGGCTCGGCTGGCAAACACCCATACTACCAGGCCGAGCCGGGTCTGACGCTCCAATGCCCTGCGGCAAAGAGATGTCTGCTGGTCCCTGCCCCCTACATGATGACTGTACACCCGGCAGGGTGGGAAGCATGCTGCCCGTGGGTGCTGCACCTGATCCAGTCACGACCGCTGCCGTCCCCATGGGCGCGGACCAGGGTTCGACGTGGCAGGCGATAGCCACACCCCCGCCGTCTCCCCATCTCGTGCTCCTCCTCGGCGGCAAGCGTCGCTGCTTACACGAAAGGGGACGGCGAGGACCCGCGCGAGCAAGCCGAGCAACCGCTGCTCGAGGACGTCGAGACTGGGCCCAAGAACTCAGCGCTTTGGCCATCCGCGGCCGGCGCACTCCCGGCCTCCGTCCCGGCCGTGTATGCACACAGCGGGCAGCTCTTCGCGTGCACGCTGTGTGCATACACGGCACCAAGCTTAGTCTCGCTCAAGCGCCACCGGGACTCAAGGCACCGCCGCATCGCCTTCCTTGACCGCTTCTCTGCAGGTTTTGCATGCGTCACACTTTCGCGTCGAGGCTGGATGCAGCTAATAACGCGCAAGCGTGCGCCAGCCTCCACGACACTTCGGCTGCGACTACGCCAGCAGTAGGGGATCTCAGCCCCACTGCTGGTGAAGTCGATACCAGCGCAACGGTGGCCGACGCCGAACCCGTGCTGCCCCCGCCAAGACTGTCCAGTGCTCGCTGTGTCCCCTCCGCAGTCAAGCATCACGCATGACAGGTCAACAGAGTCAAGATAGAGCCCGCCGCTTCCAAGGCAACTGGTCACTTCTCGCGTTGCGTCTCGTCAAGGCAATATACCTGCCCCACGCTAGGGACCACCACTGCCTCGCAGCGTGGTGGTGTCAAGCATTGCCAACCGTCTCCTCTTGCTAGATCTAACGAAGGCGGAGGAGAAAAGGATGACGAAAGCGATGAAAAGAACTTCAACGACGACCCAGACGTGGACGGCGAGTGGTAGCTACGATTTGACGGTACCTGTCGGGCAACCCTGGCCCTATCGGCGCCGGCGCTGCGCTGTTCAAGACCAGCGGCCCCGTAGTGTGGACGTGCACGGACGAGTACACCGCGCTGCTGCTCGGCACGGGCTGCCGCCGACCGCGGTGTCACGCGCCTGCAGATTGAGGGTGACAGCACGCTTGCCATGCAGAAGGTTCGTGGCATCTTCGCCACGCGTAACAAGAGGCTCCGGCAACTGTACATAGCGGTCATGGCAAAGCAGGCGCGGATAAAGCGGGCCACGCTCCATCCCATTGACAGGAAGGAAAATGGTCATGCCGAACGCCTCGCCAGCGCCGCTCTTGACCGCCGCACGACCACGTTGGAGTGCGGAGTGCACACCGATGGACAGGGATGCACCTCCACCTCCACGACGACCCAAGCACCCGCAGATGCTCCTCCGCCTGCCACACCGCATGTCGCGGTGGGCACCGATGTCCCCTTCAGCCGCGCCGTTGATGATGACATGGGGGACATCGACGATGGCGAGGTGTATGCAGCGATGAGTGTGGGGCCTGGTGTTATGCCTCAGAGTCGGTCCTGATTACGCCTTCTCAGGTTGGACGAGGACGAGCAAGAGGCTGCGCTCCGGTTGGTGGAGCGACTGGCTGCGAAGCTAGCTGCCAATATCACGGACGCTGCTGAATGGGAGGAGAAGGAGGGCTAGATCACAGCCCTATCATACGCACTGTACGATCAACTGCAGCCTCATTCCCAGGCACAGGATCCTGGCCAGCAGCCATCCGTGTGGATTGATCGGCAATGGGAGCCGCACCGCGACCACGCGCGAGTCCCGACGGGCGACCAGCATCGTTAAGATTGCCGTTTACGTCGTCGCGTGGTCGCTCTGGTGGTGGCAAGAGCCGCCAGCGCATGATTACGCCACGTGTAACACGTCTTGACCGTGAGCACAGGCTCGAAATGGCTCTGGACGCAATGCACGCAGCGATTCGGGCGACCGTAAGGCTTTGGCCAAGGCACGTCGACGTGTGGGGAGGATCAACTCTTCTATTTTGCAGCAACGCCTCCGCCACCTCTTCGACACTTCGGAGACGGTGTGTGTTGATCGCATCCTTGCGACGTTCCGGTAGAAGCGTGAGGCAGATGGGGACGCGGCTACGCCGGCCAGTAACGCTAGTGCTCTGCCGGACTCGGTGGATGTAGAAGAAGTCACCTGCCTTATTCCAGGAGCGCGTCTCCACCAGCTCTTCACGGCGGTGAACACCCCAATGGGTGCCTCTGACCCCATGGCACAGGTGGGAGCCTCGTTCCGCGCGGCACTGAATCGCCTGTACCCAGCGACAGTCGACATGGCTCTACTCACGGATGCGTCGTCGTCGCATAAGATCGAGAACCAAGTGCAGCGCGCTCGTGGAAGTTCAAGCCCCGGCTTGGATAGTTTCGGGTACGACATCTTCAGAAGTTCGCGGCCCAGCTTCTGCTTGCTCTGCTACAGCGTTCGTGCGCTGCTGGCAGTCCAGGCGTGTTCCGCAGAGCTGGAAGGGTTGCGTGGTGCGCCTGCTTCACACGAAGGGTGTTCGGCTCGACCCATCGAATTGGCGGCCGATTTGCCTGCAGCAGGCCATATACAAGCTATACGCCGGTGTCTTGTCGCGTCGCTTCACGCGCTGGCTCGACGTCAACGGCCACCACGCTGATGCGAAGAAGGGCTTTCGAGCCATGAACGGCTGCGGGGAACACAACTTTCTTGTAGCCATGCTCGTCGATCAGCCCGGCGCAAGCATCAAGAGTTGCATGTCGTGTGGTACGACTTTTCCAACGCTTTTTACAGTGTGCCACACGACTTGCTATGGGAGGCGCTAGAACGGCAGGGTGTTCCGACCGATTTTGTCGCTTGTTGCCGTGGTTTCTACGCAGATGCAGCGTTTACAATTGGTAACGATGTTGATGGGAATACGGCATCAATCGCGTTGAAGTTGGGGGTGTTTCAAGGCTGCCCACTTAGCCCCCACCTCTTTAACGCCGCGATCTCTCTGCTTCTCCTCGCGCTCAATTCGCTGCCGGACACTGGTGTGAAGGTGTTCAGCGAAGACCGTCCCGGTGCGGCTGCTTATGCAGATGACTTGAAGACGTTCAGCAGTACTGTGGACGGCATCAAGCGACAGCACGCCGCGGTGCAAGACTTCCTGCGGTGGACCGGCATGAAGGCAAATCCGCACAAGTACAGTACCACGTCGGTCCAGCTGGACGTGCGTAGTCTACACATGACTAGCGACCTCAGGCTGCAGCTGGACGGCACCCCCGATCCCCGCACTCAGCGCCTCCAACTCCTACCAGTATTTGGGGATCGGGGATGGCTTCGACCACGTGCACCGTCGCGTTGAGATTGCAACAGCACCCACTCAGGTCAAGCACGACGCGAAGGCGCTGATGCGGTCCGGGCTGGCGCCGTGGCAGGTGGTCAAAATCATAAAGGCGTACTTGTACCCTCGGGTTGAGTACCCCCTCTGGCACCTGAGATCGTTTTCTCAGCAGCTGGAGGGTTTTGACCGTCACCTTGTACGCGGCCTTCGACACCTTCTACGGCTACTAACTAGCACTACGACAGCTTTCTTTTACGCTCCTGTTTCTCGTGGAGGGTTAGAGTTCTTACCCTTGACGGAGATGCATGGCGCTTTGCAAGTTGCGCACGGGTGGCAGATGCTGCACTATCCTGACCCTGCCATCCAGCGCATAGCTCACCAGTAGCTCCGTCAGATTGCTGACTCAAGATACAAGCTGGACGCTTTGGCATGGAGGGACAGAGAGGAGGAGCTGGGCGATCTCCTCCTCAACAGCAAGCTGGGGACGTCGGACCCAGTGCCGCCCAAGCGAGGAAAGGCTGACATCGGACCGCTGTGGTTCGACGTCCGGGGTCACCTTCACCGCTTCAGCCACAATCTTGAGATGGCGCCAGCGGTAGAGAAGACGGGGACGCCAGCGGTGTAGAAGACGTGGACACCGGCGAAGAGATTGCAGCTTCGCGTGCCCCACCACGATGGTTGGTTGGTATATCGGGATGTCTTTTGGCTCGTGAACCTGAACCTCAATAACAAGCACTTGGATTTGTGGGTGGCGATAAAGGACCAATTGAAGCTGCTTGTACTCTTGGTGGTGCTAAATGCACCTTCCTATCGCGACCCTATTGTCGCCGGGATAGAGACTATCGCTTCGGTGAGTGGTCGAATCAACAGGTTGGACACTCAAAGTGTCTTATAGCGCCGGCGTCTTCGGACACACAACAAGTGCCGGTTACCTGTATGCAAGGTCTGAGACGCTGGCACATATGCTGAACCATTGTGCCGGCACTATGATCGCAGTCCGCACCCGCCACGACGACGCTCTGGAGATAATTAAGCGGGCTTTAGTGTTGTCGGCGGGTGATCAGAAGAACAAGTTTGAGCTGAGGTTGAATCAAACGGTACCCTCAATCCCCAAGATCGAAGTGACAAGTGGAATGTCACTTCGCGCCCTAGTTGACTGTGGGAAACATTGTTTGAAATATGTGCGTCAAGCACGGGAGTTTTTCCATTAAGTCTTAACATTACACGGTGCTTGCCTCTGTAGATAACACCGTATCCTTTCTCCTCGATGACCTGTCCCTAGTTTGTTTTGTGAGTTGCCCCAGGAATACTTCGGCTATGCAGCTTGACTCTTTACTTGAGAATTGTTTTAAAACTATCTTCTGCATTGCGGCATGACTTGCAGATCTACAACCACACTACACGCACGGTGTCAGTTGTAGACCTGACAGTTGCGTTCGAAGACAAAGTGACAGCTCACCTAAGGACGTCTTCGCTCGCGCGTATTGCTAAGCTGAAGTACACCAAGTACGACTGCGTCAAGCGACACTTAGAGCTTCAAGGTTAGACATATTACCTTGAAGCGCTCGTCTATGGTTTGCTTGGTGCAGTCGCCGGTGGTAATTTTGCAGTTTACACCGAGAACCTTGAGATGCATAAGCGAGATTCAAAGCGGCTAGACAGGCAATTTTCTGTCGAATGTTTAAAGTCCAGCCGCCGCATCTGGAACATGCATTGAAGTACGCAACGAGAGCGTCAAGGCCAAGGTCAAGCTTGCGGTTGTGGTCAAGATCAGGTTCAAGGTCAAGCTAGAGTTCAAGGTCAAGCTGATATTCACGTTCAAATTCAAGCTGAGGTTCGAGACCACGCTTAAAGATGCTCAGGTATTATCACACAAGGGGAAGTCAGTTGACGGAGACCGGGGGGATCGTCACGTCAAGGTCGCCGCTAAGCGTCTTTCGGGCCCATACAGGCCGACAGGGCTACACCTAAGTAGGAAACCGCCCTTCATACCTCATCAAAAGGGGAAACCGTTACATGATTTCGACACCAAACAATGTCAAAGGGGAGATTGTCCAGCGTGACAATTCACTACCAATGTAATCCAAGATGGATAATGTTGAAGGAATATCATCCTCTTTGTAGTATAAATCCATGCGCTGTTCCAAGATTGGTTGGTAAAGACATCTCATCCAAATGAATCACCAATCGCTGCTAGACGTGCGTAATGAGTGGTAAGCAGGTTGTCGTACTACGACAATGTAGTTAAATATAGTTAGATATAGATTGAAGTTATATTGATAGCTTAACTACATGTAATACAGTTCTATTTCTTACCCTTTACTCAAACTAGCTGTTTGAGCTGACCAGCTTCCTCTGCACGTACGAGTGTACGTGAAGTTTCGCGGCACTCCAAGCAAAGGGTGCCCCGTTTTACCTGGTAGCACTTGTAGTCCGTCCAACGTCTACTTAGTGTCCGTCCAACATGTTCATGTTGGACGTAGAAGACGACAGCTTTCACGTCGTACGTGTAGGATACTCTCATCTGAGTTACTCAGAATAAGAGGTGGTCGGCCGCATGAGTGCAGTCATGGGCGAACCCGCAATCAATGGATTGTTGAAGTCTCTAAGCTGAGACCAGCAATATGTTGCTATCAACAAGTTCTTACAAGAGGAACTTGCCGTCGATAGTCGAAGGATAGGCTTGCTACAATAGCAAGGCTCTCATCAGTCGATGGGCGGGCCGACGCACGTGCGTCGACACGAAACCTTATAGATAAATATCTCAAAGTACAAAGGAACCGATGAAAATTCCTTTTTAAGTTGGTTCGTCAAGTTTGACGATGCCATCAGGGCCCGTCACATTGAAGGTGACGAGCTGCAAGTCACCTTCACCCTGTCAAATTTGACAGGTTGAGCAAAGACTTGGTCCTTAGGTCTCAAGATTCACGACCCAGACGTGTTTGAGTCGTTGGAGGTCTAAAAGTTTCGGCGTAAAGAAAAGTTTGAGCCTCCGAGAGCCAAGTTCAGAGCATGCTCTGTACTCCTGAGGCTAAAGCAAGGTAAGCGTGACGTGCACGCTTACGCACAGCACCTGCGCTACCTTGCGAGTAGCATCACGGAAAATCCTGTTAATGAGCACACACTCATCAACGTGATCATCTACGGTCTTGTAGATGGGCCGGTGAAGACCTACATGTTCCGTGAGGACTTCCATACGCTGGAAAAGGCGATAGCGTATGCGGAACATAAAAACTTCGGCCTGAAATATTTTCAGGCTGACTCGTCGAACTATCGTTCGACGAGACGACAGGAAACAAGAGGTCCCGTACCAATGGACCTTTGTTACATCGAAAGCGAGAAGTCTCGCGCTCTAAGTCACAAGCGAGCGGCAAGATGCCATCGGTGTCAGAAGATTGGACACTACGCTCATGAGTGTAGTGTCCCAAGCACCACATCACGCCCGAAGACAGGACATCATGACCGCCGTTGTCGGACGAATGGTTCAAGGCGTGGGTCCGGCCATGTCGCTAAGCCGCGACAGCAAGTCGGACCTCCGAAAAATGGTCAGGGTCAGTAGGGCCGGAGCACCCTGCTGATCCAGCAACGTCAAGAGAATTTGCAGGGCTCTTGACGAAGATTTTTCCCAACACACAGTCACTGCATGTTACTGCCCCTAGTGATGAGGAGTCCCTCATCACTTTGAAGATAGAAGCGACAAGTAAAATGTCACTTTGTGCCCTGGTTGACTGTGGGACGTCGAACAGTTTTTTCGACGCCAGTCGCTAGAGGATAGCAGGCTCTGCTTTGTTGAGCGAGAGTTCCCTTAAACAAGGATGACGGTGTGCCTTGCTACAGGCGCATACGTAACAGTGAACAAACGTGTAATGGGAATCCACTACACGCTAGAAGGGAAGCAGTACAATATTGACTTCATCGTACTAGTTTTGGATAACAAATTTGATGTCATCCTCGGTCTGCCAAGGCTTCGAAAGTACCAGCCATATATCAGCTGGCAGCATCGATCCGTAAGGATGCTGGCCTGTTCATCAGATGGCCATCTGATGAACGTGTTGGAGCGTCCACGAGCCTGTGGATGTACTACGAGTGAGTGCGATGGCCTCACTTGTGGTACGGTTGTTAGTATGAATGCACAAGATCACAGTGTAGAAGGCCACTACACTGTGGATCCAGCTTCCGGCACCTGTGTAGAGCCACAGGCTGCGCCGAAGATTCACCACTTGAAAGAGATCGAATGGACTGGAACACGGATGCAAACCAAGAAGGGTGCATTAAGAAGAGAAATTAGTGAAGTTTAGGATGAACAACACGTTGAAGCAAGATCGACTAACAGAGAGTCGATTATAAATCAAGCACGATCGACTTAGAAAGAGTCGATCAACGAGGACGTGACTGTGGTAGTACACTTACAGTCAGTGCACTATTTGGAAGTAAGTTCCAGTGTTCCTGCGAGTGATAACTCCCGAGAGAGTTATGTTGAGGGTGTAGATTCTTGACCACCTGCAGATTAGTTTTCCCAGGAAATCAACGAAACAATGAATGTCTTGATGAATAAAGGATCAAGTGTAGGCGCTTATACCCGAGATCTGGTTACACCTCCAAAGTCAGATTCGGAGGTAATCAAGGTGCTAACGCTAGAATCTGAAAGATTCTTGCGAGATCTGCGTACTCGTCACAGAGGATGAGCACGTCGTCGATATTCGGTCGGCACAAGTGTTTAATGAGAACGAACGGGTATTCAGATACTCATCTATGGATGAGAGTGTGCTCGAAGCAAAGACCCGTATTTAGCGATACACGTCTCAATCTTGGGTGTCTTTGAGGACAAATCCTTTGTATTAGGATTTGGTCGAATCCAGGGATGTTTCCCCTGAAACCGTGCCATGCGAGCTACCCAGGGACAAATGCACTAGGCATGAAATTGAACTAAAACCTGGTTCGAAATACTGTGTCATGAAGCAGTTACTGCTGCCTCGTGAACAATTCACAGCGATCGACAAGTTCTTTGCCGATCGTTTAGCTGCGGGCCATGTGAGGGAATCAGCGTCCCAACACAGCTCTCCGATACTCTGTGTGCGAAAGGCAACAGGAGGGTGGCGGATAGTGCATGCATTTAACAAGTTGGATGCTGCAACGGTACCGGCTCAGACGCCGATACCGAGGAAGGACGTCATCATAGATGGTATGGTAAAAAGTACCATCTTTTCATCCATGGATTTGATGAATGGATTCTATCTTATTCTCATGCGTGAACGGGAAATCCCGTACACAGCAGTGAGCACGCCCAATTGTATGCTCTGGGATTGGCTAGTAATGCCACAGGGGCTAAGTAACGCCTAGGCAACGTTTAACAGATGTGTTACGAATATGTTGCGATCGGTGCGATACTTCGCGCCAAGTGATTTTGACGGTGTCTTCTTCCATTAACACGCTATGGATCGAAAGACGGACGTGGAGGTACACATCCATGTCCGGAAGATTTTTACACTTTTGCGTGAACATGAGCTGTTCGCGAATCTTTAAGAAGTCTATATTCACAGCGAACGAAACAACACTTCTTGGCTGCATCGTGGGTAACAGCGGTGTGCGCCCTGATATGGAGAAGAGCAAGGCGATTAACGACTGGCCTGTGACAGTCGACGTCATGGACTTCGAAAGTTCTTTGGCTTAGCGGCGAAGTTGCACAAGTACTCGCGCACCTACGCCGATATGACCGTACATCTCTCTCGTCTGTATAAGAAAAAAAGGAGGTAGTAATGAAGTGCTGAGTGTCAGCACTCCATTACCACCTCTTATTTTTCTTATACCTTCGAAGGAGTGCTGAGTGTCAGCACTCCTTCGAAGGTATCAAAAAGCCTAATACAATCGCCTGTGTTGGCGATTGCAGACCAGGACAGACTATTCCATGTGGTCTGTGACGCCGGTTTTTTTGCGACCGGCTGTGCGTTAATGCAGTACGACTCAGACGGCGTTGAGCGCGTCGTCTGATTTCAATCGCGTCAGCTGCAAGCCTCTGTTGGCGATTGCAGACCAGGACAGACTATTCCATGTGGTCTGTGACGCCGGCGATTTTGCGACCGGCTGTGCGTTAATGCAGTAAGACTCAGACGGCGTTGAGCGCGTCGTCTGATATCAATTGCGTCAGCTGCAAGCAGCTGAGCGTAATTATCAGCGCATGAAAAGGAAATCCTTGCCATGTAATATGCACTGGCCAAGTTTCGGGAATATCTCTTAAGGGATAGGGCCTTTATCGTTAATACCGACCATGCGTCATTACGCTCGGCCTTAAAGTCCACATCTCTCGCAACGAATGTCGAGGTGGCTGTCTCTCTTCGAAGTGGTTGAGCGAGTGATGGCGCACTGAATTGCAGCCAACGCCAGATTGCCCGTGGCCGTACCAAGCACGAAAAACTGTGTGGCTGGATCATAGTACTCAAAGCACTCGGCTGAGTTGAAGTGGAGCAGCATCCAAGACCACACCCTATAAATAGTACAAAGTGGGTGAGCAGGTGACAAATTATGACAGCCCACAGTCATCGCAAAAAAGTCTCTCTAACTTGATGCGGTTTGTCCCCCGTCATGTGATTGAGCATCCACTTGCTCGTTGTGTGGATCGGCACCCCATTATCTTGTGCTAGCTCCTTGACGCAACTCAGAGCTCGCACGTCTGACGCACTCTTCTTGATCGGGCGTGGTTCAGGATATTGCGGTCCCTGGCCTCTTTAGTGGTGTCAGAGCGAGCACTATCACCAGAGGCAGCTCGAACACTCGAGTTGCTTTTCTCGTGGTGATGCATAGGGGCATCACCACCATCACCAAGCGTCCTATCGTCGGATGGACTTGCGTGAGGCGAGGATTCATCGAAAGAACCGGTCAGTAAGAAGATCTCGGTCATGATGCAGCCACGTTTCCCAGACCCAGCTAATATGGATCTTGCAGAGTCCGCCCCGGACGATCCGGACGTGTGAGGTGTCGCCTTCGTGTCGTATGCATCATCCGACTTGCCAGAATAGATGATCTCAATTCCAGCCTCAAATACATTGCGATTCGCAGTACCCGCTGCAGACGCAGCGGATGTATCTGTCCCACGTGGTGACTCACCACGTGTACTGCTTGCAGCAGGCATCGCCTGTTGCTGAATCGAAATAGCAGGTGAATTATCACCTGCTGATGAAGTAAGAGAAGAACGTCCTTCGGCTACACGCGAGCGTGCAACCGATTTTCTTGCTGCTTCGGTAGCACATCGCCTGGACTTTGACACTATTCGATGAATTGGCAAATGAGTGGGAATTTGACCAATAAGTGCTCCCCTTCCCAGAGTAGTTCATCGGGGGTCACCCAGTCTCAATCAGTTAAATTCAATCAACGGGTGATTGATAGTTAAATGTTGGGTGATGTAACGGGGTAGTTCATTACTAATATTAACACCAAACGGTGTCAATGGAGAGATTGTCTAGCGTGACAGTTTCCTACCAATACAATGTAAGATTGATAATATTGAAGGAATAGCATCCCTCAAAATAATATTCATGAGCTGCTCAAAAAATTGTTTGATAAAGACATATCAACCAAATTTATCACCAATCGCTGCTAGACGCGCGTAATGAGTGGTGAGCAGGTTGTCGTCATACGACAATGTAGATTAGTATATTTAAATGAAGACTGAATACATATTGATAGCTTAATTATATTGGATACAGTTCTCTTTATACCCTTTAATTAACCGGTCTGTTTGAGCAGACTCTCTTCCTCTGCACGTACTAGTGTACGTAACGTTTCGCGGCACCCCAACTAAGCGTGCCCCATTACACCTCCGGTTCGTTTTAGTCTGGCCCTGTGTGGAGCAACCTGTGATGAATTTACACATCACATAGTTTCTACATGGAATTTCTGTACCCTTAGAAATGGACTTACAGGACGGTAAAACATATACTTCTCCGTTCTAATCATTGTGAAAACTGGTTTCCTACTTTTGTCGGTCTTTTTTACGTACATTTTTGGACATCCCGTCTTCCTTGCATGAGATGGGGTGTTCTCCAAGGACTACCTACCCTTCGCGAGGCCAGCGATACGTAATCAATGAACTCGTTCTTTTCTACTTTCGTTCTTTTAAGCAATTTACTTTTCGCCTTTCTGTCCTCTGCACCGGCTCTACAGCAACGCATCCCGATTCGCTTCTGGCGGCCGGATTGGCAGCCTCGGGACCGCTCTCGATCCAGCGATAGTGAGTGCTCCAAGGACGGCCATTTCAGTCTCGCCAGAGATGCGTCTTTTTGTGACGCGCGGGCTGATGACGAGACTGGCGTGGAACCAGGCGAAATTCCCCCTCTCCCAAGTGACAAGCAACTGGTCACTGGCGAAGAGGCGGGGCAGTCTGATTTAAGACTGTTCCCAGAAAGTTTGTCACTCTTCTTTGGAGAACGGGTGGGACGAAATTGCTTGGGAACGGTCGCCGTCAAATCAATGTTGGGGGGGTACACACTCGTACCTCCAAAAATCCCTTTTGGGCCATAAAATGGGCCCCGCATGCATCTACGCGCGTCATCGTCTCGCGGCGGTGATGCAGAGTTAGGCGTCGTAACTCCGGGCACGGGTTTAGAACCCGCAACTCCCAGTGCTCACCAAGCGTCAGCGAGCCCCGACGCCTCTGGCGTGCTCAAGGCCCCCCGGTCTCCGGTCCCGGTTTTGGGTATCGTCTGTGACCCGAAGGAGGCCTGGCGACCCACCCTTGGTACCAGCGAAGGTAAGTTCGGGCCTATACTTGATTTATAAATAGGGGTCGCCTCCAAAAACAACAACGCTCAGGAATTTGCGACCACGCCACGCCCCGACCGCTTCTTGCTCTGACATCGTCTCCGCCGGCTCTGCAGGGGCTTCGAGACCATTACCCGGCCCCTACGCGCACTGTTTGTCTTCAAAAGTGTCTTTGACTGCCTGCTCGCCCGTCGCCGTTCCACAGGACTCCCGTGCGTATGTTTTTTCACCCGGCAGGGCGGGCGGCGCGCTGCCCCATGGGGTAGCGGACCAGGTTGTGCAGGGACAAGAGAGCAACGGCCCCCCGGGCTTGCAGGCTTCAGCCCGGGTTCAAGACCGTGTGCAAGGGCCCTAATCGAATCTCCACACGCTCCTGCGCTGTAGGACGAGCTGCAAGACCCCTCATTTAAGGGGGTTTTCACCTGACAACACGACAGGCATGCTGCTCGAGCGGGTGAACGTGCACGACACTCAGTGCACCGGCTGCCCGGACACGCAGACGTCATGCCCGGGTTCAAGGACAAAGCGACGACCCTAGAAGCCCCTCCGCCTGCCTTCCCAGCCTTCGCCTTGCCCCCACGACCGGTGATGTTTGCTTTTGGACCCGGCAGGGCGGGCGGCATGATATCAAGCGGGTCAGCGCTTGCAGCCGCGACGGCTCGCACACTGGATGCCGTGCATGGCACAAGCTATCCTGAATACAGCGACAGCAGCGACGGGATGGCGTCCGACGACAACGAGTCCTCTTCGTTTGACGACGACGCAGCCAGCGCCCACCCAAGTGATGACGACCGGCTCGGACAGGTAGCTACGGAGCTGCCTGCCAAAGCTGGATACACTAAAGTGGCCACGGCCGCTCCCGTGAGCACACACGCTACCACCAGCGAGGCCGTGTACACTGCAGCAATTGTTTATGGTGTTGTTTCTGTCCCACTTATATGTGACAACCGGCTCGGCTGGCAGACACCCATACTTCCCGACCGAGCCGGGTGTGACGCTCCAATGCCTTGCGGCGACGAGTCGTCTACTGGGCCTGCTCCCAAGCTGATGATGGCACACCCGGCAGGGCGGGTAGCATGCTGCCCGCCGGTGATGCACAGGCTCCTATCACGAATGCTGCAGTCCCTATGAAGGTTGACCAGTGCGCGACGTGGAAGGCAGCAAGCCACACTCCGCCGTCTCCCCTCTCGTGCTCCTCCTCGGCGGCAAGCGTCGCCGCTTTCACGAAGGGGACGGCGAGGACCCGCGCGAGCAAGCCGAGCAACTGCTGCTCGAGGACGTCGAGACTGGGCCCAAGAACTCAGCGCTTTGGCCGTCCCGGCCGGCGCACTTTCGGCCTCCGTCCCGGCCGTGTATGCACACAACGCGCAGCGCTTCAAGTGCACGCTGTGCGCATAAACGGCAATCAAGCTTAGTCTCGCTTAAGAGACACCGGGACTCACGGCACCGCCGCAATGCTTTCCTTGACCGCTTCTCGGCAGATTGTGGGTGCAGCACACCATTCGTGACGAGGCTGGCTGCAGCAAACCATGCTCGCGCGTGTGCCAGCCCCCACTACACTTCGGCTGCGTCTTCACTAGCAGCAGGGGAATTCAGAACCACTGCTGGTGTATTCAATGCAGCCACTCCAGCGGCCAGCGCAGAGCCCGTGCTGTCCCGCCAAGACCCTCCGGTGCTCGCTGCCTCCCCCCACATGCGAAAACCACTGATGACAGGTCGATCACGTCAAGATGGAGCCCGCTTCTTCCGAGGTGGCTGGTCGCTTCTCGCGTTGAATCTCGCCTCGGCGACATCCCTGCCCCTCGCTGGGGACCACCACTGCCTAGCAGCGTGGTGGTATCAAGGATTGCCGACCGTCTCCTCCCGCCAGAGCTAACGGAAGAGGAGGAGACCAAGGCTGGTGACAGCGACGACGAGGACGTCAATTAAACACTCAAGACATATGCGGAGATTGGCTACGGCGCTTTGACGGTTCCTGCCGGGAATGCCCTGGCCCTGGCAACGACGGCGCTGCGCTGTTTAAGACTAGCGGCCCCGTAGTGTGGACGTGCTCCCACTACATGTGGAGCAGCAGCGAAACAAACAACACGGTGGAAATCATCGCGCCGTTGCTCGGCGCACGGGCTGCCACCGACCACGGTGTCATGCGCCTGCGGATTGAGGGTGACAGCATGCTTGTCATCCAGCAGGTGCGTGGCATCTTCGTTGCGCGTAAGAAGAGGCTTTGGCAACTGCGGGTCGCGGTCAAGGCAAAGCTGGCTAGGGTGGAGCGGGCCACGCTCCATCCCAACGACAGGCAGGCAAATGGTCATGCTGAATGCCTTGCTTATGCCGCCCTTGACCGCCGACGTACCGAGCTGGAGTGTGGGTTGCATACCGGTGAACAGGGATGCACCTCCACCTCCACGACGACCCAAGCACCCGCAGATGCTCCTCCGCCTGCCACACCGCATGTCGCGGTGGGCACCGATGTCCCATTCAGCCGCGCCGTTGATGATGACATGGGGGACATCGACGATGGCGAGGTGTATGTAGCGATGAGTGTGGGGCCTGGTGTTATGCCTCAGAGTCGGTCCTGATTACGCCTTCTCAGGTTGGACGGGGACAAGATGAGGCTTGGTTTAAGTTATTGCAGCGACTGGCTGCAAAGCTAGCTGCCAAGATCACGGATGCGGTGGACTGAAGAGAGGCGGAGGGCTAGATCACTGTCCTCCCTTACACTTTGTAGGACCACTCGCAATCGTTTGCGCAAGCCCACAATTTACCGAATGCTCGCTCGGCTCACCCTTTAAGAAATGAAGGCATTGCTCAGGACCAGGTGCCGCAGTCACTAAATTCTCTTGAACGGCTGGATACATGTATAAGTGCTCGTGTTACTGGACCTACTTTTCGTCCTTTATGCGGTAGTGATCAAGCTGTTCGACAACGCCGTGAAACGTTCAGGTGGAGATTCTGCCAAGCCAAACGGCGACTATCACCTTTGGTGACTCGACACTAACGGAAATATCGCTTAGACGAGGCGTTGGATGATCTGCGTGCAGTTGAGTGCGCCACGCCTGGTGACCGCTCCGCTGTTGGGAAGGCACGTCACCGCGTTGGCCGAATTGATTCGGCCATCGAATAACCGCGTCTCCGCCGCAATTTTTTTGTGAATGAGAAGGCTTGTGTAGATAGAAGCCTGGCGGCTGCCCGATCCAAGCGTACTGCTGTTTCCGCTGACCCCACACTGGTGCCCACTGTGGAGAGAAGGGGGGTCGATGATGGCGTTTGTCTCATTGCAGGCGAACACCTAAATGATTGCTTCACGAAAGTGAACACCCATAAGCATGCTTCTGATGCACTCTCTCCGGTAGGCGTACCATTTCGCGTGGCATTAGAACAACTACCTGCTGCTTCGCTGAATAGGGCGCTTCTACAGGACGCTATTTGTGCTTAAGAAATTAAAAGCCAAGTGCAGCGGTCCCGTGGCAGCTCTAGCCCAGGACTAGATGGGGCTGGGTTCGTTAAAAGGTACTGGCTGATAGGTCATCAAGATTTGAAGCCCAACTTCAAGATCAGTTACAGGGATTATGCGACGTCACCTGATTGGCCGTTTTGTTGGGGCATCTTGACAGATGGGATCGGGAGAGACGGGCGCCATGTGATGAGATGGCACATGGGATGGGGAGAGACATCCACTATGTGCGACTTGATCTGGTCAACATGTAGTACCGTTGGAAATGCATCTGGTAGTGTTGACGGACGAGATTAATTAACGCTAACATATTCACTTTTACTTCCTACACCTCTTGTACAAGTGCAACTACGACTACACTTTTACAGGCGATGAGCCCAAATTATGAAGTTGAAGGCCCGGCTTGCGGACCCACACCCACTGTAGTGGTTGAAGGTCAAAACACGAGCATAGATCTCTAACTGGAAGAAAAGTCAGCAGTGGTGGCATTGGACAAGATGATCGCCATGCTTGGTGACTTATCAGAGTAAATGCGCATGATGGAATCCTCGCAGTCCGGACAAGTCGACAGACAGCATGACTTATCCGCGGAGTCTAGCATTTTAGGTTCGGCTCTAGGAGCGGGAGCAGGCATGAACATCCAGGCGTTGGATTATGCTTCTCCTCTTAAGCGTTCGCCGAATGTCTCGCCGGCCACATACTTTGGTGTCCGTCGACCGGCCTACGCGAAAATGATGGTCGACGCACCTGCTCAATTCGATGGGAACTACAGAAGATTTTACGAACAGGAACCAGGAGGACACACACGGGGCGTACCTGTAGAACCATCTCCTGGGATGGTAATGTCAGGTCCTACGTTTCATCGACCTGAAAAGATATGCGTGGGCGTACCGGATGGCTAAAATATAAATTACGTTACAACCTTGACGGAATTGTACTCTAGCATGGCCTTGGTAGTGGTTTTCTCGAGTGAGGTAGAGATTTCGTCAGGCAAGTAGGTTTCTATAAACGTGCGAGTGGTTTGCTTGGCCCGATGACATCGGTGTTATGTACTTGGTCAACACCTTGCTGGAACACCACAAAAGTACTACCGTAGGCAGGTGAAGACTTGGTGGTCTGAGAGTCAAACCTTTGTGTATGCCATGCAGAGGTTGCTCCAGACTTTTGCCACCAAGATAAATTTTGCCCAGAGCATGAAGTTGTTAACTGCGGCCAAGTCATTTCATCGCAGCTGGACGAAACATTTTTTGTACCTCACTGCAATAATCGATTCTTGTGGACGCGCGAACAACCTTGTTTTGGACAACATCATTTATTACGCGTACCCGTCTACGCGCACGACGATGTTACCTCGTCTAAATTTGCGCAGGATTGATTTCCCTGGGAAGGCTGAAGAGTTGGCCCATTTTGCACAGTCTACGGAGATTGATGTTCGAGTAAAACAGTTCGGTCGAGATGTGGTGTACGTTGTCGAACCTACCAAGAAAATAGAAATTTTGATCATGGCAAGAAACGTCATGATTATCAAAGGTCAAAAAGGTATTACCTATGCGGAAGCACAGGTCACCTCAAAGCATCGTGCATTAAGTATATCAAGAAAAATCAAAATGCGAATTTCGTCCTCGCTGTACGTAACGCTGACGAAGAGCAAATTCCACTGTATACTACCTGGGTACTGGACAGTGTGTCTGGACGTCATTTGGCCGATGACCTGTCGCTGCTGGAGGATGTGGTTGACTGTGACCAAAAATGCTTAGCGCAGCTGTCGATGGAGAAACTCTCAGGATTACAAAGCTAGGCAATTTAATGATCAAGGTCAAAGCACATGGCCATACTAAGACTATCCGACTTTACGATGTTCATTTCGCTTCCTACTTGGGAAGTAACATTATTTCCTTTGGAAAATGGACATATAAGGTGTGCATTCTTTAATACCGTGAAAGGAGGCGTGTTCTAGTCTCCCATTCTGGTGATGCACCCATCATGGATGTTGCACGTATCAAATATATATTAATTGTGAGGTCTTTACTGACATGTCGATGAACGATTTGCACGATTTCGGTACACCAAGGAAGGCGGTTAAACGATTTTTAATGGTGATGGAAACGATGCAAAGATAAGCGTTTACCAAGTAAGCTTGATAAAAATTCATCAGTGATTGGGAAATCTATGCTACGACACAATCAATAAGATGGCCCGCGACCTTACCTCTGGTATCATATTGACTGATAGTAAGCGAATCGCCTGCATGACCTGCGCACAAGGCAAGCTGACGAAGAACATACAATCACGCAATACTAGTGGGATAAATTAGCCTATGGATGTGATTGGAGGAGTCATTTGCTCTGGCCTTAAATTTACCATGACTGTTCGTGCTACTCGGAAATCGGTACCTAATCAACTTTGTTGATCATCGATCTACCTATCGCCGGTTTTTTTTGGCAAAAACGAAGGTTGTCGCTGCAAAGAATTTCAAGCACGTCCTATCTGCATTTGAACGCCGTTTTGATTGCCGTGTCCACGTACTAAGTACGGACGGTGGAGGGAAGTTCAAACTCCTGGATGTTTTTTGCAAGAAAACTAGTGTCTATAGACAAATCAGCGAGGGTGGTAATCAGGCCAGTAACGGCAAAGCCGATAGTACGCATCGCACCATGATGTGTATGGCGCAAAGCATGGTGTTTAAAAGATGCACTACCACTAATGTTTTGGGGTGATACTGCTGAGTGTGCAGCCTGCATACTCAATCGAAGCCCCACTAAAACGGACGAAGGTGGTATCACCGATTGAGATGCTTACCAAGAAACAACCTAACTTCAGCCATATTGTGATGTTCGGTTCAACATGCAGTAAACCTGCGTACGGACATTAAGTCGTTGGGTGTGCGCGAAAAGGCGGTTTTGATTATCGGTAAGCACGATGAAATGAAGGGGTATCGCGTATGCCTATCTTAGGAACGCGTCGTCGTAGTGACTCAGCACGTCAAAAACATTGACATCACGAAAGACATACAAAAAAGCAAAGGTTCGACAGATTTGTGCAGTACTGCAGGATTCATGGAGCGCCAAGTCAAAAATTGTGAGTGTATAACAATGAAATGTTCATTAAAGTGGACCCGCTACCGACATATGACACAGTCGATTGGTCAAAGAAAGGACACACTGAGCGATGAAGATGGATTTGTTGAGGCCCATGACACTGTCAGCATCGTCAGCGAATGAGACCCAAAAAAGATTGAATCTAAGAGAAGTCAAACTAAGAAAAAGTGGCTTGTGGCCATTACCGAAGAGCTTTTAGCTTTGGTGTCGAATGGAGTGTGGGCGGTTGTGCTTCCAACGAAGACTCGCACATTCTCTATAGCATGTAGGTTATCAAGACGAAGACCGACGATAACGGCAACGTTGAGAGATAGAAGGCATGACTCGCCGCGTGTGAAAACGAACAACTCTTTAAAAATGACTATACATTAACTTTCGCTGCAATCATGGAGCTTGGTACTTTCAATTCATTTTGGTGCTATCACGTTGGTGGAAAGTCCCGGCACGTCGTTGTGATGTGCCAAATGCTTACGTTAAGGCAGAGAAGGAAAAGGACCTTGACATCTACATGAGAGTACCAAGTGGGGTGCAAGTGAGCCAAGACACCTTGGACGAACACGGCTCAAGGACACAAAATAAGTCGCTCTATCTTTGAAGAACTCACTGTACGGACTGAAACAGGCCGGGCGATTGTGAAGTAAACTATTGCACTCGAAGCTGGCCGAGCTAAGTTTCAAGCAGTTTATGACGGACATGTGTCTGAACATGAAAAGAGCAACCCCGACATTACGATTGTGGGAGTCTACGTTGACAATTTGCTCGTCTCAGGAACGTCACCTGGAATTGTCGACCACTTTTTTCGAGAGCATGTCGTCTCTTAAAATAAAGGACTAGGTTATCGTTAAAAACTTTCTCGGCTTACGGGTTCTGTTAACGGTCAAGTTCGAGTATGTGCTGGATCAAGAGGTGATGATTGATACTCTACTGATGGACCATGGCTTGGAATCAGCTAACAAAGTCCGAGCCCCAATTGATGAGGATTGCAATGATGTGGATACTCAAGGTTCAGATACATCGGTTGCAGAGCCTTAGGCTGGAATTGCAAACATCAAAGCGGTTCGGCCTCTCGTTGGAGTCTCCTTCGGATTGGACGTTGAACCCGGCCAAACATCAGTTTGCCTGTGCACCGTGCAACCAGACAGACGCAGTAGCCAACGATAACGGATTAGAAGATGGCCAAGTGAGTTGCAAGGTACCTGAGGGGATTAAAGGCATTAAAACTGTGCACAAACAGTTCAAGCAAATCAACAGATCCGAATAAGATTGGAAGTTGGAGCGACGCAGATTTCGCCGCGGACAAGACTGACCGAAAGTCGGTGTCGGGATGCGTTTTGACATTGAATAGTGCGGCGGTGTCATGGGCGTACAAGAAACAGACTAGTGTCTCGCTTAGTGTGATGGAAGCAGAATTTATTGCGGCATCACAAGCAGGACGCGAGCTACTAGGACTCAAGGAGCTATTCGGTGAGCTGGGTATGATGATTGATGAACCGATGCCCATGTGTTAGGACCATCAGGCAGCAGCAAAGCAGTTCGAGTAAGAATAGTACCTCAAGAGCTAAACGTTATACATATGAATCAAGTTTATCTACCACTACGCTCAAGCGAAAGATGTGCAGCCAAGTTCTGTCCGGCCCAGAAAAATGATCGCGGATCTGTTTACGAAGACATTTCCAGCACCCAAAATCGTGGACTTGCGCAGATTTTCGAATTTGATAGCCGTCCATGATGACGTCGAGGAGGAGTGTTATAAGGTACTAGTTTTGACAGGTCATCAAGATTTGAAGCCCAACTTCAAGATCAGGTACAGGGATTATGCGACGTCACCTAATTGGCTGTCCTGTTGGGGCATCTTGACAGATGGGATCGGGAGAGACGGGCGCCATGTGATGAGATGGCACATGGGACGGAGAGAGACATCCGCTATGTGCGACTTGATCTGGTCAACATGTAGTACCGTTGGAAATGCATCTGGTAGTGTTGACGGACGAGAGTAGTTAACACCAGTATATTCACTTTTACTTCCTACACCTCTTGTACAAGTGTAGCTACGACTACACCCTTACAGGGTACCCATCTACAAGACGTTCGCAGACCAGCTCCTACCCGCTCTCCACGCAGCATTCACATGTTGCTATAAATTTTAGCGGGTTCCTGGAAGCTGGAAGGTTGGTGTGGTGTGCCTGCTGCACAAGAAAGTTTGTCGGTCTGACTTTTTTTTACTGGCGGCCGATCTGCCTGCAGCAGGCCATCTCCAAACTTTACGCTATGGTTTTGGCACGCCGGTTCACGTTATCAATAAAGGCTAAAGGGCAGAATGCTGCTGCGCAGAAGGGCTTCCGTCCCATAAATGGCTGCGATGAGCACAACTTTCTTTCAGCCATGCTTGTTGACCAAACTCGGCGCAAGCATCAAGAGCTGTATGCCGTATGTACGACTTCGCTAACGCCTTTGAAAGCATACCACATGACTTGTTTTGGGATGCGCTGGAGAGGCAAAGTGTTCACCCTAAGTTTATTGCCTGTTGCTGTGGTCTCTACTCTGATGATTCCTTCACCATTTGGAATGCTGTTGATGGGACCACGGCACCGATTGCGCTAAAGGTGGGGTGTACCGAGGCTGCTCGCTTAGCTCTCACCTATTTACAGCTTCAATCGCTTCCTTTGATTCAGGCGCTTTCAAGACTGCAGGACACTGGAGTGACGATGTCAAGCGTTGATTGCCCCGGTGCTGCTGCCTACGCAGACAATCTAGAGACTTTAAGCAGCACCGTGGATTGCATTACGCGTCAACACTCGACGATCCAGGAATTTTTGCGCTGGACTGGCATGCTTGCGAACGCATTAAAAGTCAGCACCATGTCGGTCCAGCGTAACATCCGAGGCTTGCATAAGACCCTGGACGTTGAGCTGCAGCTGGATATTATTCCAATCCATGCGTTAAGTGCCACCGACTCATACAAGTGCTTAGGGATTGGGGATGGATTCGACCATGTCCGCCGCCGTGTGAAGCTTGATGCTATGGATTTGTTGCAGTCCGAGTTTGCGCCATGGCAAGTAGTGAAGGCTGTATAAGTTTACCTTTAACCACGCATTGAGCATGCCCTCCGGCATTTGAGGCCATTTGCTTAACAGCTGGAGGGCTATTCCTGCCATCTCATTCGTGGTCTTTAATTACTTGCTCCACCTACCTACGAACGCCACGACGGCGTTCTTCTATGCGCCGGTTTCGCAAGGTGGTTTGAGTCTGCTGTCCTTGACGGAGCTGCACGGTGCCTTACAAGTAGCACACGGATGTCAGATGTTTAATAGCAAAACGGTTGCAGCTTTGCGTACTGCACCACGCCAAGTGGTTGGACCGTCGGGATGTCCTACGGCTAGTGAAGTTGCACCTCAAGAACAAGCACTGGGATAGGTGGTCAGCCGTGTGGAACCAAAAAAAGACGGCCCGCACGCATGGCGGTTGTGGTAGTGAATTTTCACGAGGCCGCAAGGCCTGTAGGAATCCGACTACCGGCTCGCAGTGACTGCCCGCCAATTAGCCGGATACGTTTAGTGTGCTGAAGCGCCGACGTCTCCGAGCGCAAGACACATGCAGGCATCCCGATTGCTTACGATTGTAGACGTTGGCTCAAATTTTGATCCATTGATCTGGAACTATGGATGCTGTTCGTGGTCGCCACGACGACGCGCTCGAGTCTATAAAGCGGGCTCTACTTTCAAGATCTGGTGGACAGACAGACCAGGTAGAGCTTTGTGTCAATCAAACGGTGCGTGGACTAGCGGGGCCGGGTTCGCGGCCAGCTCTGCACCTGTTCAACCACAGCAGGAAGATAGTTGCTGTGGTATATTTGGCCATGGCGGTTGAAGACAAACAGCTGAAGATGCTGGAAGCTCTGCTCTTGCGCGTGTGGCTGCACAGAAGCGCACCCACTGTGTCAAGCGACACCTAGATCGTCAAGGTTGGACAGTTTACCTTTTCACGCTCGTCTATGGTTCGCTTGGTGCAGTCGCCGGTGGTAACTTTGCGTTTTATACTGACACCTTGATGTGCTGAAGTGCGATGCTTTATTTTTATTTTGTGGATCTTTATTTTTAAAAAAAAAATTAATAAATTTTTTAAAATTTAATTGACTTGAAGCGGCTGGACAGAAAACTTTCTGCTGTATGCATTAAGTTCAGTCGTCGCATCTAAAACCTGCACTGCAGCCAACACCGCGTGAGGCAACAAGGTCAAGGGCAAGATTCACATCAAGTTTTGGGTCCAGTGCAGGACCAAGGACAAAGACGTTTAAGACAAGATGCAAGGGGCAGTCGAGTGACGGGGTTGGGGGGGGAACCTGTCACATCAAGGTTGCCGCTAAGCGTATTTTCGGGCCCATTTTTGTCGAAAGGGTCATACTATAGTAGGGAACCGCCCTTCAAAACATCTTCGGTATCTTATGGTCCAGCTCTGTATGATACAACCTGTTCCAAACTTACACACCACATAGTTCCGAGATGGCATTTTATATCTTTCGAAATGAAATTAACAGACGGTAACACACACACTTATCTGTTTTAATCCGCGTGAGTACTGGTTTCCGACTTTTGTCGGTCTTTTTCACATCCATTTTTGGACATCTTGTCGAATTAGCTGGCTACTAAGACGGGGCGGTCTCCGGGGCTTACACCTTCCTCCAGTGAGGCCAACTTACATTTACCTTTTCAGTAGCTTTTGTATATTGTATTGTCGTGATTACGTTGTATCATTTACAACGTACACATACTATCAACATACACGTGTGCAGCACCAAAAACTGACGTTAGATTCCTAGTATTCGTTGCTCTATTTCACTGTTTGAAATATCACTTTTGTACTTCGGATTTAATGTAACATTCAAATTCCTATTGTCAACATTCGCTATTGTGTCGACAGTGTTGCATTCTGTCCTCTCTATTGCTTTCAAGCCATACCTTCTCGGCTTTTTAGCTAAGATCAAGTGTAGTATCTGTTCTAATCAGTGTGAGAACTGGTTTCCGACTTTTGTCGGTCTTTTTCACATCCATTTTTGGATATCTTGTCATACTCGCGTGAGATAAGGCGGTCCCCGGGACTTGCACATAATCCTCGCGAGGCTAGCGATACGTAATCAATGAACTCATTCTTTTCTACTTTCGTTCTTTAAAGCAATCTACTTTTCGCCTTTCTGTCCTCTGCACCGGCTCTACACCGACGCATTCAGATGCGCTTCTGGTGGCCGGATTGGCAGCCTCGAAAGCGCTTTCTATCCAGCGAATGCATGTGCTCCACGGACAGCCATTCCAGTCTCGCCAGCGATGCGTCTTTAAGTGACGCGCTGGCTGATGACGAGTCTGGCGTGGAATCAGGCGAAATGCCCCCTCTCCCAAGTGACACGCAACTGGTCACTGGCGAAGAGGCAGGGCAGTCTAATTTATGACTGTTCCCAGAAAGTTCGTCACCCTTCTTTAAAGAACGGGTGGGCCAAACTGCTTGCGAGCACAACTTCGTCGCAGATATGCTCGTCGATCAAGCCCGGCGCAAGCACTAAGGAATGCATGTCGTGTGGTACGACTTTGCCGACGCTTTCGGCATTGTGCCACGCGTTACTAAGGGATGCTTCAAAGGCAAATTGTTTCATCTGAGTTTGTCGCTTGCTGCCGTGGTCTCTATGCAGACGCATCGTTTACAATTGGTAACGCGGTGTAGAGTACCACGACGCCGATCGCGTTTAAGGTGGGGAAAGTTAAAGTTATCTACTTAGCCCCATCTCTTCACCTCCCCGATCGCAACGCTTTTCCACGCGCTCATAATTCTGCCGGACAATGGCGTGAAGATGTTTAGCGAAGACCGGTGCTGCTGCTGCTTCCGCTTTCAAACTAAGTGGAGATAAAGTACGATAATAAACTGCTCGTGCGCTTTGTAAGTAATATGGCCTGGACGCCACCGCTTTTTTGTAAGTTCTGGATGCTACAAGCATACTTACGTGATTACCTAATGTCAGACGAAACTGCGGCACTTTCAGGTATCTGTCAGGTAATGGAAGTTTTTAAGCTTGCCTACAGCTTCATTACGACTTCCTGGATGATAAAATTAGTTTGTTAGGGATATTGAGTTTGATTAGGAGCACTACAAAATATTAATAGCTTAAAGTTATACGACAAGCTACGCTGAATGAAGTTCGTTTTGATGTGCTGCTAAAAGACTTGACTACAACGATGACCGTTTCGTTTCGCTTTGACGAGTGGCAATGGTCGAAAGCTAGGCGTTTCAACGAGACTCTTTTATTCATAATGTAAATACTGCGAGCGCAAGCAACAGATCAAAAAAACATTGGCTTATTGCATCATTTGTTAGTGCATGCAACATTTGGTCTGTTACAAAAGCAGATCGAGAGTCGGAAGCGCAGCCTTGGGTTAAAACATATAGATTAGCCTGCTGCTCTAAGCCTTCGCAAGTCTGGCAAGCTAGTCCGCTCGAAAATTGACGATTGCAATGATGAAGTATACACATTCGTGTTAAATTTGCTATTTTCGTTGCCTCTTAATGATTTAATTTAGTTATTTAGATAGTACTACGAACGTGTACAGCAGACGTCTAAGTTTCCGCTTGATGCCTCGCCACGCCCTCTTCCTCAAATATGATTTTAAGATAAAATCGATAGATTCATCCATAGCCATCGAGCGACCGTTGCTCATTATATTAAGTAGCCAGTACCATAGAATGAATCAGAGACATTCACCAGCTCGGGGCAAAATGTCGAAGTGATGAGCTAATTACAGCCGACACGATAATCAGCTCAGATGGGTGTCTTTTAAGATTGCAAATAATATATGATGCTGCACCTGAGCCAACCTGTCCTCCGAAAGTGCTTGGCGGTGGAAAAATCCGCACCTGTAGCTCGGTGAGCAAAGTCTGATTCCTGATCGATCTCACTAAACGAGTAGAACAAAGCCGTGTCGACCCGCTATATTGGGGGAAGAATTCAAGAGCCACTAAAACCTTTGGTCCACCAGAAAGTTGCTACATGAAGTAAGAGTCCTCCTTGCCGCAACTTTTACTTTATACTACATGCCACAGTACGTGTCAACGTCCAATTCCCATTTTCCATCGCCATCGTCAACGTGGTCAGACAGGATAGTATCCTCCACAACAAATATCATCTTGCTGTTGTTCGTTACCATTAGCTCATGAACAATTCCACAAAAAGCCTGCCGCTCTTCTAAAATTTCAAACTATGGCTTCACCTATTCTCGTGTCGAGGACATCGATCGTTTCCTTAATCGAATCATACAGGTTGTCAATGTCTTTCCTTCTCTTCAAAAGTGTCGCACGATGCTCGTGAAAGCTCGTAGACTGATCCAGCGCTTTCTTGTTGACGTGGCTGCACTTCTTCAGAATCTTGGTTCGGAGCTCGAACTGTTATACCATGTCCTCACTTGACAGCTCCATAAAATTCTCGAGCTCTCACATCGCCAACGTTCGTAGCTCCTGGATTTTTTTAGTCCTATCATCACACTTTTTAAGCAGTGTCGGCGCCTATTTAAGATCTTATCGATTCGCTAAATCTCGTGCTGGACACGGTTACTTAGTAAGACCTCCTTTCTGTAGAGGGCACTCACTAGCAATGATTCCCGCGCAAATCTTTGCTGCAACGTTCCGATCTTTTCTCGAGTTCGAACAGCGATAATGTGTTATCATCTACTACACGAGAAGCGTGTATAATGTCTGTTTGGCTTTCATTGTTTGTTTTCGCTCACGTATTGCAAGCTCTTCAATTCCCTTACCGACTATTTTTACCAACTCCTTATGACGCCTCATCATGTTTTCTTTCCAATCCTGATGTACGCCTTCTTTCTAAGACCACGCATCTTCCACTCGCTGTCTTTGTTCACGCTCCTCTATATTTAAAATGAGACCTTGGGCCCATACTTAAGCAGGAACTGCTGCTTGTCAGTTGTCAAGGCGTCTTGCACCGGGGCAAGAAGCTTTGTGCTAGCGACTTGATAACTGAATCAAGATTTTCTATCCCTTTTCTGCAGCTCGCTACTCCGCTCTATCTGCACAAGGTTTTCTTTTAAGTGTAAGTATGGCTCTTACACTGAGATCTCTCGCAGCACAAATGCTTGTAAACCGACACGCCACGATGCTTTTCTGCCCCCAGCTCTTGAATCTCTGCAATCACACCAATGACTCTTGATCTGCTTGCTGGGCCTCTGCTTTTACCCTTCAAGCTCCATCCGCCGCGCTATCAAGTTCCACTTGTGCCTGTCTCGCTTTCATCATCGTTGTGCAAAATCTTGTCGAGGACCTTCAATGCCATCGTTCAAGCCACCACGGCGATGAATCACATCACCATTTTAAGTTCACGCAGTCCATGTTTGCCTTTACTGCACAGCGACCGCACGCTACTAAGTCTTGGCAGAGCAACGTCTTACCAAAAACAGCCATAATACCTCTACGAATCTCTGCCGGGTATTCCAGCTTCTCGACGAGTGTGACAACGTCATCATGACAAGGATATGCGTACTGATCCTTTACTTTTAATCGTTGAAGGGGTAGGAAAGTAATCCATTTCAAATTCTAATCGTCCAACTCTTTCATGATTCGAGCGGCGGTGTCGTCTGTATCTATAACGACGTGAAAAAGAGCGCCGCCAGAATCCTCATCCACAGCGATGCGATAACGCTCTTCGACAGGCTTCACGAGGTCGATCAAAGGTTCATAATTTCCTCGAACGCGGAATTGCAGCTCCCGTACTGTCTGTGGACTACGGCGAGCGCCATACGCCATTAAACTCTGCAAAGCAGCTTCTTTATCGCTCAGCTTCTTCTCGAGCGCGCGCTCACAATACGACATCTGGTATCCTCGCGCCACTTTCCCTTGCGCTCTTTATTTATAATATTGCGTTGCTCCTTCAGACGGAGAATTTCTGCCCCGGCAGTGTATACTCGATCGCGATGCTCACGTAGCTCTTCTGTCTATTGCCGAAGCGCCCTTTCAAACTATTCAATAGACAGCACCATATCCCTAATGGATCTTCGTAACGACGCTGTATCGGACTTTTTTCAGCACATCAAGCCCTCAATATCACTGATTCACGCTGTTGCTGAGTACGAAACTGACTCTTGTGACTCTGCTTGGCAGTCAAATGCTCGGACTGTAGTCTGCACTTCTCAAGTATTTGTACTACTTGGTCTTGCGATAGCTCTGCTTGTCGCAGTGCGGGTACATTTCAATATCGGGTAGCGCTGGTTTGCTTGACTCTCACGTTTAAGAGTTTGACTTTCTTAGACGCAGCGCATCGCTGCACGCTGTCAGTGCTAACTTGGTCTTTGGGGCCTCCTTCTCCAGCTTGTGTTTAGATTGCATAAGTCCAATACAGTCGTTCCCTCTTCTCTCCCGTTCGTCCACAAGATGCTCGAGATATTGCTGTTTCGTGCTATAATCACTTTTAATTCGATTGACCTCATCTCGACAGTGAGCGAGGTCATGCAGCTCCGTCGACAACGCACTATCTTTCTGTCTATCCTAGTCAATCACCTCGATCTCAGCTCGTACTTCCTGCAGTTCCTTTTCGTGCATCGTATAATCAAGAGCACGCTGCACATTTTTCGAGTGCCAGTACATTATAAGCTCCTCCTTTTCCCTGTCCAACTCCAACAGTCTTTCATCAATATAAGATATGATCGCTTGGATGTTTTCTCGCTGCTCCTGCTTCTCCTGTAAAATCTTGAGAGACTTAACGCGCCGGTCCTCGTACACTTTTGTGCCAGCCACTTCCTTGATCAGCTCTAGTCGCTCCGGCTCGAGCATGAAAGCAAGACCATTCACCTACGCAGCCGGACACTTTAAGATGGATTGGATCGATAGATACATGCTAATTCCTGTTAAAGACCAATTCACTCTTTGTGATGTGTGTGTGTGGTTCAAAAAGCATTCGTCCTTCTTTACGCCAACATTTTTAACTTATTGTGACTTCGTCGTCGTACAAAGGAAACAACCATCACGATTGTCAAGCACATTTTACAAGTACGCAGATATAACATGCTTGCCCGAGCCTTCGTGCAAAAGCACCTGGCGCTCGTCTGGGCGAAGGTAAGTAAAGCGAGACATGAACACTTGTATAGCGAATTGTAACAATGACATTAAATTTACCTATGCCTTTATATCCAATGACGACGTAAAGCTGATTGCTAAAAGGTCCTAATATTAATCGGTTCTCAAAGCTCCGAATTGACCACCTGCTTGATGTACATCTGGGCAGAGGAAGCGACTCTGACAGCAAAATTAACAAAAAATCTTCACGCACTAAGTGGATCGATCCTGCTTTTATTTAGAAAGCTTTTAGTACATTTGCTTTTTGAAAGCAATAACAAACTCGTTTCTTGTAAGGGAAAAATAAATATGCATCTTTTGATCAAAGACATCGAAAGTTCCCCAGATAATTAGAAATGTAAATACTGTCCCAGAATATGAGATCATTAAAATGACCCGTGTCCTCGAACACTCTAGCTTGCGTGTACTCATATATGTTTTACCTTATGCCATTTCTTACTTTCCTTAAATGGACGTGCTAAACTCATCGTTTTTCTGGCGATAACGCGTAAAAGATTCGACATCGGGCTTGCTGCATTCGCAGCCACCATATGCGGACGCAGATGGTACCGCGGCCGTAAATGCAGACAATTGGGAGAGCCTAGAACGTGTTACCTGTAATGGGCAATAGAATGCAGCTTGTGACTTTTCAAATTGTGTCACCGTTCTTAAAGTTGCACACGAAAGTGTGGTCGGCGTGGTTAACTGACGAAAAAGAGGAGCTTGGTGGTGACTTGTCCGTCTCGTCATCTGTCCCTTCGAGCCACACATATCGATGACAACATCAACGCAATTGTATCTTTTTTATTCAATTTGCAGAAGAAATTGCAACCGTTCAGCGCAAATTTCTTTTTTTTCTTTGTGTCTTAATCACGACCTCTGTATATTATCTACACTATTTCTATTGACATGGACTGGTAGGGTTGATCCATTCAGATAAATCGCTTATGTTCACGCATTCAGAAGCTCCTATTTACTAATCATTTAATTCTTCTACAATGAATGTACTGATTAGCCTTCATTATTTGAATGACGTCGTCGACACACTGCAACCTCATCTGTATAATCTTACCTGCGACTTACTTGCAGGGACTATTTAACGGCAGACTACCATTCTCAACTACCGCAGGACTGGATGAGATTGGCACCTTCTTACTCAAGCAATAACATATGAGTATGTTCTATGTTAGTTACGATTCGTTCTTTGCCATAAAACTTGATATACCAATATATCTTAAAGATTTGTTGTATCCGCAACCGCTCGTCGATTTTGAATACCTGTCGTTGTCATATTTTACGAAGTCCATTTCCGGCCGATTGAGTGTGTCAATGATTGCATATCGACCAGGTCTGGAAGCGTACTCATTCTACACGAATCCTCTTGATGCACTTCACGAGGAACATCACGCGCATTCTAATTGTAGTACATATTCACGCTGGAAAAGGGTTCGTCACCGCTCAAACAAAAAGGGTAATGTCGTTTATTTGCTAAAAGGTATAAGACGACGCAATGACTTTTTGGCAACATACATTATAATGTTGCATGCGTATCAGAAAAGCATTCAGCTGTCTTTTTAAACAGCTTACTATCCAAACGACCACATCATAATGTCTATCTAATGCAAGGTCAGTTCAACTATCACCTTTCTTGTTGACAAATTCGTCTTGCACGAAAAATATTACTTGTAACGAGGCACCCGAATAAAACACTGAAAAACCAGTGTAAAGCAACTATAACCGGTAGCAGTATTAGTGATTCCTCGCTACCTCCTAAAATGTGGTAGAAAGGGAAAAACAACTAGAAACTGACTATTTGTTGGTAAAAGTGAAACTGATTTATATGAATATTATTAAGTCCTAATTATTAACCTATGTTTTAGTTCTGACTTAATTATATTTGTCAACAAAAATGTATGCTTAAGTCTTGCTCATTACTCATTGCACGCGTCCGTCGTTGATCAGACCGCTAGAGCTGGATGATATGATTTTTCAATACTAGCCAATCGGTGAATGTTTCAAGATATCACCCCTTATGGTAATGTCCACAAATATTATCAACCTTTACGATGACAATTCAATTAACAAGTATCAAGAGTAAATTGCATGTTACAGGCTCACCCCGTTACATTACCCATCAGTTAATGAACAGTACAGCGTCAGATAGTGCGATTCGTTTTGTAATCTTTCGTCCTGTAACAGAGTGTGGCCGCATCACTTATTTGGTTTGTGTACAGCCATCAATGATCGAATCTGACACATGGCTGCAATTGCAACATAACGGTCACATGGAATTTACTGTTTGGTTGGAGTGGGGGACTGGGCGGATCGAGTACCTCAGCTCGGTCCAAAGCGTTATGATTGGTGGACACAAACTAGGACGGATGGCTAGCAATAGCGCACCTAACCCCAGTAAGCAGGATCGATATCGCTTGGTACAAGACTAGATGACAGTTAAACCAGTTAAATTGCGTGATTCATCGTGAGACATGGAAAGGAAAGATTCGTAATCCCTCAGCTAGGGACCAAGATCCTGGCTTAGGATCACGATCCGGACCTAGGATCACGATCCGGACCTAGGATCACGATCCGGACCTAGGATCACGATCTGGACCTAGGATCACGACCCGGACCTAGGATCGCGATTTGAGTTAAAATAGTAGTGATATCTCGGGTGGACCATGAGAAGATTCGACTGCTGATACACCTGATGTGAGCCACATCAATACGAGAGGACGATCTCCCTAAAACAGCGACGAGTGGCATCCGGTTGAGATATACGGATAATACAGAGGGGTAGGTTATAGGTTGATTGGTTAGCGTTAAAGAGAATTTAATCTACTTCAAAAGACGCACGCAACCTCTTCCGGGCAGGATCTTTGGCCTCCCGACGAAACAAAGAGTCGCGTTACCCGTCCTTATGCGGTGAAGTCGATCTTTCAAAATCGCTTGTGTGAGGGTCGATATTCCACTCGCCTAGACTTGCCGAATCAAGGAGGGGGTGCTCCGATCCGTACCTTGTTGTATAGTCTTGTGCTCACCTTGTGTGCCCGTCTGTTGGGCTGGCTTGATCTCTTCGTTATGGCCTTGGGAGTGTCGATTTCGCAGAGGGTTTAGGGTTGAGAGCTCGCTTTCGGTGTGGAAATCTACACACCACGAACTACATTTTGCGACCCGGATCTCAAGTCGCGACGATAACTAATTAGATACGTCGCGATCTTGACCTTGAATCACACCAATCTCGATCTGTCTTCGGGATCGGGTTCTTCACTGTGCGGAAATCATAACTCGGCAAATAATATTCTTGTGTCGATCTTGTCTTGGGGTCGGTCGATCTTGCCGTAAGTGTACAATTTAGGCCAGGTAGGTTTCCTGTTTCGCCAGAATGAAACGTGCGGATCTATCAGGTAGATCGCTTCGATCTTGCTCGGTCTTGTCTTGTTCTTCTTGTACAGATCTTCCAATTACTTGAGACGACTCGCGATCTTGTGTCCAGTCCTTTTCCGTTGTTGCTGCTACCCTAGTAGTTGAGTTGAGTGTAAGTACTTGATCGATCCGGACCAGATTTTCCGGGATCGCTCCTCTCGATCTCGGCCAACACTCCAAGATCGATATTTAGTGTCCTTGCAACACGCGTGCCTTACAGCGCCGGGGAAGCCATATAAATTTTGCCCGTAAAAGAGGGGGGACGCGCGTCGTGAGCAGAAGAAGTACAGTTTAAGTCTATTTATTTTCCAAATGTATTTAATAGCTAACCTATCTCTTAGCACATTCCAAACTGTAGATTACTCTCCAAATTGATATTACCTTTTAGCTTGACCGCCCCTTAAACGCGTGTCGAAATTTCAAGACTAAATTACTTCAAAGATAGCGCTAATATCTCCGATATCATACGTAAAAGCCAAAAGTTTTTTTTTCATTCCTTAATTATTGTAATAAATTATAGAGATCTATTTTATGAAGACTAAATACCAAAAGAGGACCAAACCCATTTTTGGTATCAAAAAGTCCATAATAGTACCCAAACGCCAAATGTGTCTGAATCCATTTTGTGACGTCAATTCAACCAGCTTCCACTGGCTCTTTTGGTCTGAACTTTAACACAGTTCTCATGGACCTTCCACACACATACTCATCCTGATCCAAAAGTCTCATCAGCGATATATCCATAATCAACAGGGAACATGACCGCTCAAATGCCCAATTCGAGATCGTTGAGGATCGACACGGTACAATTCGGCAGTAGATGTTCTTTAGTTCATTTTACGTGCTCCAACAACTCCCTTCAGGGTTTATAGGGTCCACTAGATCCTCCTTATGTCTTAGAATAAATTCCTGGGCTCCCATGAGTATTTGCACTTCCAGATCGGGCTATTATAAACCAAAATCAGTACTCCCAGTGTGAGACAATGGAAATGGCACCGATCTGCCGGATGTCACACCTTCGTCACAGAGTCGAATCGCACCACCTGATTCTATATCTACCTTTCCCAGAGTAATTCTGCCACAATATATACGACCGTTGCCGATATCGGTCAATATGATGTTCCACATGTTCGTGAATCAAGAGAACTTCGCATTCAAATCTGCGATTCAGTCTTCACCTGCTCAAATGTACGTATCCCCTCCTTAACAAACATCCAGGTAAATTGTATGACTTCGTCCCACTTCCTTGTCCCAAATCACACCGTGGTAATTATTTATATCTGCGACTCGTCCCAGATCGTTTCATGGAAATCATCCCTTTCTACTCCTCGCCTTAGATTGTCCTACGTCCATCATTCTGGTGATAGTTGGATCGGATCGGTGATCTCCGTTGGGATCATCTTCCATCTCCTAGTGGATCGCTGATTCACTTGGTACTATTTTCCACCAAAACGTGACGTCTGAATTGGGTGGTCACTGATCCACCTCCTATAAATTCGATTGGTGATTTAACCTCACATGTAAGTGTCGCGTCTGGATTATTTGGCCAGGTGCGCTCAAGAATGTTTAGGTAACTACAACTGCGATCGGACGCAGCAAGACACATTAAGTCAAGGCGCAAGATCGCGAGACGAGTCAAGTGGTCAGAAGGCTCGCGTATCAAGAACCCACACAGTGGGCAAGGCGATCGCGTTGAGATTAGGGTAACTTATATTAGTACCCCGCCGATACCCCAGTGACCGAGCGAAGATTTTCGCCCGATCACACGAACCCATTCCCAAAACGGTCAAGCCTTCCCCCGACACGAGTCCACCTGGAAGAGTGCAACCCGCCCTACCGACGGGTAACAAGGTGAGGAAAGCGCTTTACACGGAATCGGAGTACGCCTCCGTTAGTCCGTCGTCTTGGCGCCAGTTGAGAGTCGGGATCGTCTCAAGAAATATGCGATCACCAATCGACCACACACGCCATGCGCTTAATCAGGCTATATAATTTTAGCGATCGTCATGTTTTCTATAGGTATCAAAATCCATTAGGCACGCCAGCATCCTGACAAGTACGGCCCAGCTGACTAGCGTCAACGACTCCATTGTCAGCCAGTACGTTTGCGTCCTCGTCAGAACCAGCCTGCTGCACATCGCCGACCTACTTGACCACGACTAGTTCTGGGCGATATCTCTGGCTGCATGAGACATAACACATCTCGGCCAGTCATTATTCGGTATGCGCGTGCGCGATTTCTTCGGCCGCAAGATGTACAACCTGCAACAGGTCACCGTCCCGATTTTAGGCAGTTACACGAGCGAGAACATCTTTAAAATGCTGGTGAAGGTCACTGACGCGCTCAACGATCCATGGAACGCTAAGCTCATCGGCATGTCGTCTGAAGAGGAGAGCACGATGAAGGACCGTCACCGCCATTCCGATCTCGTCACGCGCATGGTGGCGACGGATATTAACCCAACTATACGGGTATGGTGTGCGTCACACCACGTAAACCTGGTAGTTAGCCTAGCCGCCAAGTGCGTGACGGAAGAATCGTAAGTTAAGATTGACTGGTCCTTCTCGGTATTTTTGCACGCTCAGGTCAGCCTCATATCGCGCACGGGCATCAAAAATCCAAAGAAAACGAACCGTTAGGACCATCTTGGTCCCTGTTAACTTATCTAAGGAGCTATCATCAGCAGTCAATTTAGTTCTGCGTTAAAAACTGACAGACGCCACTCCGACCAGCGAGTAGTGCTACAAGTTTCTATAGGCAGTTAAAGGAGCGACAACTGGTAAGTGAAAAACTCGGCTTTATTGACGACTTAGTAGTTTTGGGAATGTTAACTTGGCGCTACCCGCCCCGTTTTACTTACTTGTCTTCTTCCTACAAATGTACGCACATCGATCTTACCTTCGTCATCCAAGGTCTTGATGTGCCTTCGATGTTACCCCACTTCTGTGGTATAGATTCCTGTTGCAACTGAAGGTCCGCTCAAGCGTGTTGACCCCAGCACCGGCCATCGTGGTTGAAGTGCTCCAGCACCTCATGATGCTGCAACAATCACAGAAACCACGGCAACCACCTTGCAACAAGTAGTGGTTCACTATCTTTAGCATCGCCTCTGTCATCAGCGCTATCAACTTGATGTTCTCGATTTTTGAAGCTGGTCGCTGCTAATCGAACAGCAGGAATTACACTCGATCTTGTCGGCATACTGGCGGCAATGTTTAAAATTAATCTCGTGCACCAATACAAGTCCTACGACGATGAAATTGACGTCGTACACGAGTTGTTTAAGTCCACGAGAATCCCGGTCGGTTCGATAGTCGCGAACATTCATGACTAAGGCTCAATATTCACGACAATCTAGACCCGGAGAAGCATGCCGTAGGCGTGATAACTAAGTACACTTCAAGGCAATCACGGGCCTAATGAGCGTCAAGGCCGAGCGCGATGGCGCCAAAAAATTTCCAAAGAGCGACGCAAGACTGGTACTCATCTTCTAATCCTTGAATCTGATTTATGGCGCGTGGTTGCGCGGTATACTAACACTGCACCGCGTCCACGTGGAAAAGTTCTGGTTGAACCTACGGATCAATCAGATTGAGGCGAGTCATAGGGAGCTAATCAGGTGCTATCGCGACGACATAGTCCTTCGCGCCGCTATCTCATCGCAAGACGAGAACACGTCGTTCAACGTCGCCTGGGCCGCCTGAGCAGAAACTTGCGAACATTTGTGCACCTTACGTGGTGGCCTGCCCCCCCTTTTCCAAACACGGTGCTGTTGGTAGTAATTTATTGCTATTGAAGTAGAAAAGGACGAGAGCCGCACCAATGTGATGTATCTGTCATTGGACGGGGTCTTACAGGAAAAGCAGAAGCAGTTGGCGCCTGCTTCATTAACATCTTGTCACTTTTGCTCATCAAGCGACGACAAATTACGCTTATTTGTCACATTATCGTAGCCAAAAGTGCTAGGACCCCTGGCAATCAGCCGGTTGGTGCCAACAGCTGATTTAAGATCAATAAACGCAACAGGTAAAGATGTGTGTGAGATCTCACTAGATAATGATATTGGATTCGTTCGCTCAAGCATCGCCCAAGAACCGTCATGGCTACATTGGCCCTCCGAATGTCGATAACTTATGAGTTAAGAAACGCTAGAACCTAATTTTTATCAGTTCCGGCGGCCCACAATGCAGATCTATCCGAGAAGATGTTGCGTCTTCTCGTGCCTCACCACGGAGTGTGACAAAATTGATGCAATATACTTTTAAACATGATGCAGAACATATCAAAGTTGCTCTAGAAGACGTATTACTACATCGATAATCATGTCAAAAATTACAGTAATGGAGATTTTCACGGTGGATTTCAAACCAGGGCGCGAAAGAGGTCCACCAAATCAAGCAACTCACCAAAAAACAAGTGGATATCCTAACGCGTGGGATTGATCATGCAAAGCATAACATTAGTTAGGTTATTCGAATTTGATATAAATAAGCAAATGAGTACAAAATATACAAAGACGGATCTAAAGCAGTCGCCAGGCGAAGTATACCAGCACGAGCGTGAGAAGTCGCAGTTCTTAACACAATGTAAGTATTTATAACATAACTATCTTCGGCACAACGATGAAGGTAGATGATAAAATGAACAGCGAAACAAAGTGGATGAAAAACCGGCAGCCTGGGAAACCCAGCACGATTGGTAGAAGTGTTCGCTCAAGGTGTGGTCGCTGCCTATCGCACTGATCCCGCCCACACCTGTTGAATGTGAGTACGTAAGACAGATAGAGCACGGCGCAGTTATACACCTAATGGCACGCGGTATGGTCCTCTTTTCATTATTTGACTAAAGAACAAACACGTAATACGGCTCACTCCAATTCTTGACCGTTTTCCGAGGGCCGGTTCTTCAGATGATCAGGTGGATGGTCACCTACCTCCTGAGCACGGCGCATCCACACCGTCCTTAAACATGGAGAAAATCTCATTATGCATATCATTTTATAGCAATCGCAAATCCATTCTATCATGCACAGGCGTGGGCAGATTTCTTTGCGAGCTCTAGATCGTAATATGTTTCTGCTAGAAAAGAAGTGGCGAGAGGTAAACTAGAGTCGCTCATTGCGGTTGTACAAACGAATACGTTCGTAAGGCTCGATGTGTAGAGACAAGGATGTTCCAAATTCGCGAATGGCTGCGGTACAAATATGGCTATTAAAAGGATTATTGGAAAATGTTATGTTTTGAGAGGCCGTTCTTACGCTTTTTGTAGGTTATCCGCTTCTTTAGCGGCTATCCACTTGTTTCTTAGACGAGTGCTTGTGTTTTCAGGATCCCTCTTTTTATTTTTGTCGCTAGAGGTAGTGTAAATGAAAGTTCTGGTGGGCCCACATAAATTATGCAAGTTTTTGCTAGCCCGTAGGGTGAAGCTATTAGTGGTGTGTGCCAGGTTGAATGCCGAACTTCAATCGCGCTAATATGTGTGTGTAAATAACGAGGTTCGATGTACTTTACTCATACTAGGTTTGATCTAGCTTGTCCCCCCTCATGGCGTGATAGGCACCACTCTTTGGTTAGGTCACTATTTTAGACGCACGTACATGATTGGCTTATAATCGATCAATATTCAATATGATCACACAAGGAAATGCTGGACGCTCAAAAGAAAGGCCAAACGCATTGCCCTAGCATATTGTAATTGTGAGCACGAAGGTTAAATCTGTTAGTGACTGTGCGCAAGGTTGAATGCCGAACTTTTTAATCGTACGTATCTGTGTGTGTCTGTCTGTAAACAACGCGGTTAGGCATACTTTTACGTTCTAAGTGCAATTATATATGTCCTCTTCCCACATGTATATAGGTATATGGCTCCAGCCCAGAATCATTGGTCCGGGTCAGACCTCGACCCATTGAGTCGCCCTTGTAACGGCGTTACTCGCGGTTATTGAACCGGTTTTGTTGTGTGTCCACACCAAGTAAAGATCGGTGGATTTAAGTGGTACAGTCTTGGTATCACGTACTTACGGTAATACCCCACCTTATCGGGCAAGGATAAGGGATAAGACTCCTGTCATAGTATCGCAATGTAGAAGTCAGTCAGACAAGGTTTCAGGGGTTTATTACCGTAGTTAAAGAATATATAGAGTTCAGTTCCCTTTTTGAATCGCTGGGCACTAGTGCCTAGTCAAGGCATAATGAGTTGTAAAAGGTTTAGCCTAATGAAGGCGCTTACTCTAGTTTTACCAGTAGTGACTAGTTAATTTGTATTTCTGTGAATCGTTATCCCTTAGGAACCGGGATTGTTACGCTTGTACGCTTGAACGACTGTACGTCATTATCAGTGTGTTACAACTAAGAGACTATTTGAGCCTAAGTCTCCCTCGTTTAAGGAGCGCTAAGTAGCTCCGCTACAGCCCTGGTCCAAAACACTTGTGTGCACCACAAAACCCAGAATCGAAATAAAGCCCCCCTGAAACGCGTGTAAAACCTTTTTTTAGATGAAGCTAGCAAGCCGAGAATTCATGTGGAATAATACTTTAAGGAAAGCGTCAAACAGAACGGCATGTACGTCTAAATATATGCACTAATATTGAGTAGCATCGTTTATGTGGTTGGCGTTTGTACATGTGCATCGGCATGACATATCTTTCTTCTGACATAACTCTGCTCTTCATGCGCTTCTTTCAAGTAAAATCTTGCCTAATCCATGGATCATCGGATATAAATTGTTACACGTTCACATTGTATATACGCATGTACATCTTCCAGCTTGTATATGTCATCGACCGTGTTTAGCTGCCATTTTTAGGCGACTGCAAAGAGCTCGTTGCAGGATTGCAAAGCTTGGAAAGATCACGCAGCTGCCTATATTTCACAAACGGATAAGGCGACCAATGCTCGAGAATAAATTTGAGCAACGCCTTTGTGTAATACCAATCACATTAATTTATGTGATGCACACACCTTCAGATATTATGATTGTAAAAATGCACGTATTGCACCTTGTTCAGGTAGCTTATCATGTATCTGACGCTTGCTCTTCAAATACTTGGCCAAATTATTGGTACCACGCATAGCTGTACATACAGACGTAGCTCTGCAAATACTGATTTGTCACGAAGCTTTGGGACCTGACAAAAGTTTTTACTTTCTTCTATGAGCCTTACAAAGTACGCCCAAATCCAGCTAGTCTTTTTGCCGCCATTGGTACTGGCAGCATCGTCTGTTTGCTGGGTGACATTGTCGGCGGAGGCGACCGACGATGCCGTTTCTGGTTGCATTGGTTCTTTATCCATTTTCACGGAACGATTTTTATACATTAGCTAAACTATGCACAATATAAAATGCTCACCGGCAGAATCGTGAGAGACTGACACAAGCCTCCCCAATCAGTAAAACGGGTGCTAGATTTGGAACACAGAGCTCAATACAACACGCTTAAATTAGCTAGAAAATATGCTATTTGAGTTGGTTGCAATCGCAAAAACATGGGGAGAGATAAAAAAAGAGACCAATGGGTCGTTGATCCTGGTCGACCCAATTAAACTGGTCCGGGTCGGAGCCCTGCATAAGGTTATTTAAAGTCACTCTTTGAATACTTGTGATTGGCTTAAAATCGATTTAAGATGAATATTATCACATAAACACACACACTAGACGCTCACAAGCAAAGGCGGTCGCGTTGCATGAGTATATTCTGGGTTAACTAGATACTGACAGCATCAGACTCCTCTTCAGTGACTGTTGCTCGTGTAAATCCCAACGCGTTACTTCATCCGCTATCTCCCTCCTCCTCCTCCTCCTCCTCCCCACTTCATCCCGCTACTTTTGGCCATCCTGATCCCCATCCATCTCTCTCTTTGCACCGGGCGGGGCCAGCCACCGCCATGGGGAGCGAGGAAGACGCGGACAACAGCAACGCGGCGCGCTACGCCGAGCGCGCCGAGCACGTGGACATGCTCCGCGCGACGCAGGAGGAGCTCGCGACCAAGATCAAGGAGCTGCAGCTCTACGAGGGCAACTACGTCTCGCTCAAGAAGGACCTCGCGCGCTGGAAGAAGAAGTTCGAGTACGTCTTCCGCGAGAACGAGCTGCTGGCGCTCGAGACGGGGAAGCTCGACGCCTCGCACAAGCAGATCGCCTTCCTCCAGCAAGAGCTCAAGTTCAAGGAGGAAGAGGGCGCGGCCTTGCGCGGGCTCGTGAGCGCGCTCGAAGCCGCGACGAAGAAGCAGCGCAAGAAGCAGCTGGACGCGGCCAAGGCGCGGGACTCTGAGCTCGAGGCTGTGGCTGCGCTCGCGGCCGAGCGCAAGAGCAATGAAGACGTCGACATGGCGCTCCAGACCGAGCGCCAGGCGCGGCAGGACGAGCGCGCGCGCGCTGACGCGGAAATTGCCGCGTTGAAAGCAGAGAACGCGCTCTTGCTGAGGGACGTGGACCGGAAAGACGACGAGCTGCAGCGGCTCGAGGAGCAGTTGAGTGCGCACAAGAAGCGCATCGACGGGCTGCAGAGCGCGCTCGAAGAGGAACAAGCCGCGGGCATGACGCGGCTCAAGGAGAAGCAGGACAAGGTCGTGCTCTTGGAGAAACAGATGCAGCAGCTCATGGTGCGACGCCGCTCGAGTGTTGCTGCGGCTTTGGCGCAAGCAGAGGAGCTCGGGCAAGACACGATTGGCTTTGGCCCCGTGCATCGACGCAAAGCCAGTCAAATCCATGAAGGTGATGAGAACGCGAGTGACAAAGACGGCGAGGAGGACGAGCCGGATACGCCACCGGGCACGCCGCCGCCGATCTCGTCGGGTGGGTTGCTCCCGCCGGAAGATCCGACGGCGGATCAGACGATTCGAGACTGGACGGAAGACCGGAAGATCCAGTCGGCGCGCAGCTACGAGGAAATGCTCGATCTCGATCGACTGGACGAGCTGATTCGGAAACTGCCGTATGAACACCAGGAAGGCGCGATGCGCGTACTCATGGGGGCTCTGGATCCTGATACGAGGGATGAACCCGTGAATGAGTCGCAGATTGTGCTGCGACACTTGTCGGCGGAACGTCAGGCGGAGCTGCGGGAGTTCCTCATGCCACTGTTGAAGGCGCACCCGGCACTGCGCGTCTCGTACTCGACGATGGAGCGTCGTACGCTCGTGACGGACGTGCGCATTCAGATTGAACGGCGTCGGGACTCGGTCTTGGGTGGCTTCGTGCCTGGTGAAAAGCGGTTCGGCAAGGACCACATGTTCTTGGGCCCATCGGCGGACGACGAGAGCAAGCTTGTGCCGCACATGCCTCGTACTATCAGCACGAGCAACAAGGCGACGTACGTGTCCAAGCCTAAACACCTGAATGGTCTCGTTAGCGTTGCCGCTTCGTCGCCTCTCGAGAGAGGGAGCGAACATACGGAAGACATGGACACCTCTTCCGAGTCGGCGGATACGCCTACTATTGCAGAGGCAAAACGAAAGTGGGGTGGGCTCAATGCTGCCAAGTTTATAGGCACGATGGCAGCTGGGGCCAAGCAGCGCGTGGCGGCTACCTTCAAAAACGCCAAGTATAGACACGAAGGCACATCGTGCCAGTTCTGTAAGATGACGCCTATCGTGGGAGACCGGTACTCGTGTGCCACTTGTGTGGGCTTCGATCTCTGCGAGAACTGCTACTCGCTTGGAGGTCACGGCATGGAAAACTCGGACGAGTTATTCTACCGCGTGCAGGAGCTAGTGCTTGTACGTTGTCCTCGCCTGAACGAGGAAGTGGATCTGCTTGAGTTGATGCGGTTTGAGATTTGTCGCTCCAACCTGCGCAAATTCAGCTTTTGTCTCAATTGGCTGGCCGACATTGTGAACGGCAAAACATCACGAGATTTGCAGGCGCGTGCGTTGGAAATTCCGAGCATTCGGCGTGATGTCCGTAAGGTGTTTGTGCCTCTGCTGATGCGTGTATGCAGTGACCGAGAAGATATTGAGGTCAAGACCGAGTGGGAGCTCGAGGATGATAATCAGGCACCAGTCCGCAGCGTGAATGGCGGAGTAAGTGAAGGCGACGGTCGCTTTCTCGAAACACTGCGGATTTGGGTGGCGGATCAGTACCGGACCACATCGCCCTTTGTGGAACGAAGTCTTCTTAAGTATCGGGAAGGCGAAGAAGGTGAGGACGGTAGCGAAGACGGTGATGGTAGCGATGGTGGGCATCCGCCTGACAATGAAGGTCAAGCTGACGAGCCTAATGGCGTCGCAAGCAATTCTGCGGAAGAAACACTTGGCAGTATTGAAGGACCCAGTAGTCAGCCAGGGTTTGTCGAGCGCAGTCGCATTCACAGCGACCAGTTCTAGGAGGACTACCGTTTATGCATGTTTGAAAGAGAGAAAGAGTGCCAAGCTAGGAGACGTAACGCAAGAACAAATAAACAGTCAGCGCACAGTCGTGTTGAAGCCATTGCAGACTGCTGATAGTTGATATCTTGCACGAGTGCAGCACTTGTCTGTCCCGAGTTCTACCTCACATTGAGTATCAATTCGTATCGAAGCTTCGGTTACATTTTGTTGCAAGGCAATCAGCCTCTGCTACTGTGTCGATAACTAGGCGGTGTGCTGCCATTAACAATACAATTTGTGCGACTACGTGATGCCTTCACCGACAAGTTCCTATCGTCAGAAAGATGTTATCGTCATGAAAGTTGATGGATCTGAGAACACGTAGGCCAGAAGCGCGAAAAGGTCGTGATGTGCTCGGCAGACCCGGCCGTGACTTGCCTTCTTTCGTCGCCATTGACGACGCTCGATGTTATTGATGTTTGTGACAACTAACTACCGCTGTGTCAATGGGTTTACAAGATCGTTTGTTCGTCGGATGAGTTTACACTTGAGGTGCGTAGCAACAGCGTCGGCCGATTGAAATCTACATAAAAATCGTGCGCTCACATGAGACACGCGAAGTGCTCGTCGAGACTTGCATCAGTCGTGCACACGCTATTCTAGCACAAGACTGTGGCCTGGCAACGAGAAGCTTTGTGTAGGAATACTGCGACAACAAGTCCTGGATTTCGTACAGATGTATACGAACTTGGTAGGACATGCGGTGACTTGCATGTTGAATCATCTCCAGCACTGAGCCATGACTGTCGTAAACTAAGGCCAAAGCTCGGACATATTGAGACTTGCCGGTGAACTCTTCAGTAATCATCACCTCGCACTGTTGCCCTTCTAGATGAATTGTTTTGATGCTCGTCGAACCTTTGAAGTCAGCACACCTCCACGCGGGGGCGCTAACTACACGCCTATTCCCGTCTTTTGGACTTGATAATACGAGTATATCCGATCATACGATATCCTTCAGCACGCTGTCACTTCCCTCCGCATCCTTACAATTCCTGCGTCTATTTGCCACCTTCTTTCTCCTTTGGTAGTATCTGCAGAACAACACGGGCATAAACAACAGACTTTTCTTGCTACAGCAGCCGGAAGACCAACATCTTGCACATAGTATGCATACATGCGGTATATACAGCTCGCTGGAATGCTCTCAACTAAGTACTCTCTACCTATTCGTTTCTGATACCTCGCTTCAGATATGTCGAAGACCTGTCATTGACAGCATGCGCTGTTGGCAGGCTGATCCCGGATCAGGCTTTTTGTTTCTTCACAGCTGCGCGTCTCTCATGGGTTCAGCGATTCACTGAGTAGAAAAGCAGCTGTCGCGTAAGCATCAATTCCTCCTTCAGTGGATAAATGACTGGCATCCTTCTTCAATCGCCCTGTAGCTCGTCTTCAAGACGATGCACCATCGCCGTCATAACTTCAAGTCCTAACGTCCCATGACATGGTTTGTGTATCGATATGACCTGCGAGACCATCCTTGGATTGCACCAGACGAAAGAAGATTGCGCCAGACGAAAGAAGATTGCGCCAGACTGGATATGATGACACCAGACTAGCCTACCAAGTTTAACACTCCTCCTCAATATATTCATTCTCCATTTCACTACATTAGACTCGAGCCCCTCTGCAAGCCACGGGCCGGGTTTGTCATTTTGATATATCAAATTTGGCTAACTTAGTCACATCTCATCCCGTACGAGAATCCCGTCGCCATCATCATGGGACGGAATGAGGATGAATACGTCACTTACACCATCGTGACGTGCCAAGAAAGTGCGACTTCACCAGCTGACGTCGCCACAATGAAGATAAAGCGCTTTCGCGGTGGTTCATCGAAGGACTGGCTCACATGGAGCATGCAGTTTCGAAGCCTCGCGAAACGAAAAGGCTGGAGAGCTGACCAACTATCCGTTCAACTTCTTACGCTGATTGACGGTGATCTGTTGCGCGAAGGAGAGCGCATTGCCAGCGATGCTTCCAGCAAAGGCCTGACATTTGAAGACTTTTACCGGGAGGTTGGACTTCTTCTGGTCCCAGCGGATTACTGTGAAGACCTGGATGAAGAACTATGGACACTCACCAAGCGCAGAGAAGAGACGGTACAACGCTGCGCGGCACGGCTAAGACAGCTTGCACAGATGTACGCCGAGTTGCCCCAGGATTCGCAAACCATCTCAGAGCTTCAACAATGTCGATATTTTCGCCGCGCCATGCCGCCGCACTGGCAGGACAAGCTCGCGTGCTGCGGAATTTCGTATGAGACGGTGAACGAACTGGCGATGTATTTCGAGCGCCTCGAAAGGCGCGAGAGGCAGACTGGCCGGGATCGCCTAAATGGTCCAGCTACCCAGGGTGGTGAAAAGGGTCAAGGTCGACGCGACCAACAACGCCCTACCGCTGACCAGCGCAGAGATCGGCGCAACCCTCGCGAGCATCGCGACACGCGTCAAGATCATCGAGACCGACCTGGTGTACTAGGCGGCAAGAAGAAGCATGACCGTCACCAAGAACACGGCAAGTGGTGTTCATTCCACAAATCAAGCTCTCACGATTCCAGCGGATGCTTTGCCCTCAAGAAGCAACGCGAAGAGCACAAGCCTGCCGAGACGAAACGAACTGCTCATAAAAAGAGTAATTACCCAAGATTCGAAGAGGAAGAGGCAAGCGACAGTGACAGCGACAGCGAGCTTAGGCTTGTCGGCCTTGTCAAGAAGAAGCAACCGAGCGCCAAGCTCGCCCCACTCCGGATCCCGGTACAATTCAAAGACGCGAGTGGCACCTTAAATGCCCTGCTAGACAGTGGTGCTTCGCGGAGCATAATCAACCAAGAAACTATGCGAGCCAATGCTCAGCTTGGGCATAGACAAGTCGAGTCGGCGACAAAGTTTCAGACGGTCAACGGAGAAGTCGCTAGTGCTGGTAGTACGATTGTACAGTTCCGCTTTCCGTCTCTCCAGCCTTCGACCATAATCACGCACAAGTTCGAAATTCTGGATCAGAGCCAGGATGCCATGGTAATCGGTCGTGATATCCTGAATGAACTAGGAATCGTGCTCAATTTTAAAGACAAACTGGTTCAGTGGGATGGTCACGATACACATTTAAACACCGGCGGGTCATCGTCTCCCAACGCAAGTGATTATGAATTCCCCGAAGAGAGCAAAGAAGTCGATAACAAAAAAAAAAAAAAAAAAAAAAAAATGCAGTGCGACCAGAAGACCTCATGCCAGACAGGCTATCCAAGCCACTCGTCGGTAAATATCTCCAGCTTCTTCGCGATAACGAGCATCTCTATGACGGTCACTTGGGGAGGATGAGATTCGAAGACTACGCTCTACCAATAGTGCCGGAGTACAAGCCTGTACACGCAAAACCTTATCCAGTCCCAAGAAGCCTCGAAAACAAGGCTCGAGCTCATCCAGCATTTGGTCAGCATCGACGTGCTGGAGCAGATTTTTGATTCAGAAATGGCATCGCCTGCTTTTTTTCTCAAGAAGCCCAACGGATCACTTCGTCTACTGATAGATTTTCGCGGACTCAACCGATATCTGAAACGCAGCCCTTATTACGTCCCACGTATACGCGAGATCCTGTTGCGTCTCGCAGGAGCCAAGTATCTGTCAACATTCGATGCTAATATGGGGTATTACGCGCGTCGCCTTGCTGCCTCAAGCCGTGGTCACACAGCTTTCTGTCTTCCGTTCGGGAAGTATCAATACAAACGACTCCCAATGGGCATTTCTACAGCACCGGACGAATACCAAGCCTGCATGGAGAAGATTTTTGGCGATCTGGCTTTTGTCGTAGTCTATTTGGATGATATACTCGTCTACTCCGATAGTGAAGAGACGCACCTAGAGCACCTACACATTGTGTTCAAGCGACTAACCAAGTATGGGGTAACTCTCAACGGAAAGAAGTGCCACATCCTCAGACAGTCCGTCGACTATCTCGGCTTTACGCTGACATCTCAAGGGATCCAGCCCCAACAAAAGAAGATTCAAGCCATCCAACAAATTTCCGTCCCCAAAACCAGGAAGGAACTACGCCGCTTCCTCGGAATGATTAATTACTATAGAGATATGGTACCCAACAAGACGGCATTGTGCCAACCTCTCAACCGATTCACCAGCTCCAAAGTCCCGTTCGACTGGTTGTCTAGCGACACGGAAGCATTTCACGCTATCCAGAAAGCGTTTGCCCAAGCCGTACTGCTCGCGTTTCCTGACTTTGAGCAACCATTTCACGTCTACGCCGATGCCAGCGGAAAGCAAATCGGTGGCATCATTATGCAGAAGAACCAGATTCTCGCCTGCTATTCCCGAAGTCTCAACAAGCATCAAGTGAATTACACAACGATGGAGCTTGAGCTCCTCTCTATCGTTGAAATGCTGCGCGAATACCGCACCATGCTGCTCGGGTTCCCTGTGGTTGTTCACACCGACCATAAGAACCTAATTTATCCGACCGAAACCAGCCTGCGCGTTAAGCGCTGGAAGCTCCTGTTGGCTGAGTACAGGCTATCGATGCATTACATCAAGGGAACCAAGAATGTTGGTGCTGATGCGTTTTCCCGGATGAGATTCGATGCGATGAACACGAAGACTCATTTGCAGCTCGCGGACGAGATATGCGCTACCGCTGATGAACCAGATTGTGTCATGCATGGTCCGGTTCTTCGCGAACATCAAGATAAGGACTTGATGATTCAAAAAATCAAGACAGCTTGCCTCAACGGCAACAACAATCCTGACTATCAGCTTCTACCTCTACTCGGCTGCACGCTGGTCGCGTACCAAAAGCGCGTCATCGTGCCCGATAGCTTGCGAGAAGATCTCATTCGTTGGTATCATTTAACGCTCAGTCAATCTGGCGGTGAACGACAGTACAAGACAATGAGGCAGGTTCTCTACTGGCCCGGAATGGAAGCCGCGATCATCAAGAATGCGAAAGATTGTCTAATTTGCAAGAAGGCAAAGGTCCACGGAGGCAAGCAGGACTATGGATTACTACCACCACGAACACTCAAGACGGTGAACCCCTTTGACACCGTTCATGTCGATCTCATTGGTCCCTACGAAGACGGACACTACGGTATTACCATGATTGACCATGCGACGCGTTGGCTGGAAGTGGGTATTCAGCACGACAAAACTTCGCTGACCACAGCCGAAAGCTTCGATCGTGAATGGCTGTGCCGCTACCCGCGTCCTGTAACGGTTATACACGACCTAGGAACGGAATTCACTGGTGATGAGTTTCAAGAATTGCTCCGCAGCTACGGGATACAAGCCAAGCCTATAACAAGCAAGAACCCTCAAGCTAACGCTATTTGTGAACGCGTTCACCTCGAGATTTTAAATGTCATCAGGTGCCACGATGGCACTGACTGGAAGAAAACCATTCACTACGCTGCATTCGCCGTGCGAGCAAGCTACCACAGCATTCTTAATGCTTCCCCAGGTCAACTACTCTTCGGTCAAGATATGATCACTCGTCAGCTTTATAACGCCAACTGGAGCTATCTATCGAAGCGTCGTTTTGATGCAATTCTCGCCGACAATGACCGCGAGAATAGCAAACGCCTCGAGCATTTCTACAATACGGGAGACCACGTGATGTTACGCGTCCCCAAGAAGTTCCGTGCAAAATTGCACGCAGTGGCAACCGGACCTTTTGTTATCCGCCAAGTTCACAGCAACGGCACTGTGACCATCGACAAGGGAGCAATGGCAGAACGTGTGAGCATCCGCCGCATTTTTCCGTGCTAAATCTCACAGATCATGGGGGGAGTTTGACATGGGTTGTCTATCGATATGACCTGCGAGACCATCCTTGGATTGCGCCAGACGAAAGAAGATTGCGCCAGACGAAAGAAGATTGCGCCAGACTTGTAACGGGGTGAATCGTTACATAACAATTTATAAGAAATTGTTAATAGAATATAACTATAAGAGTTATATTCTCAGAATATTGTCATAAGGACAATATTCTGTAGCACTTACGAGTAGTCCCTAATTGGTTGATATAGGCCATTATATCAACCAACGAAGACGCGCCACGACAGACGCACGCAATGAGTGGTGAGCAGATAACTGATTTACACATTTGTATTTAGACATAGTTAGATGAAGATAAATAGTGATTTATTGCAGACATTAACTATTATAAATACAGTTCTACTTTACTCTAACCGAGTACTCGCTTCTTCTTACCGTCTTCCTCTGCACGTACGAGTGTACGTGAAGTTACGAGGCACCGCCTTATTCTGTTATCAGAATAAGTAGCTTGTACTGTCACCAGTACAAGCTTCAGGAGTGCCCCGTTACACCTGGTAGCACTTCGTAGTCCGTCCAAGGACCGCGTTCACATCCAACATGAATATGTTGGATGATGAAAGATGACCAAAGCTTTCACGCTACGCGTGACGGCTACTCCCATTTGAGCGATGTCGAATGGGATGCGGTTGAACGAATGGGTTCGACCATGGGCATCCATGCTGTTAGCGTCATGCTAGAGGCTCTCAATAGAGATGCCCAACATGCTACTATCGCCAAGTTCATTCAAAATGAACTTGACGCAGAACTGCTGAGAAAGTAGCCTTGCTTCACCAACAAGGTTCTCAACAAGCAGAGTTGTTGAGAGAACAAGGTGCTCAACAGTTTGAACTGTTGAGACAGCAGCAAGCTGCTGCTGGCGGGTCGATGCACTCGCGTCGGCCCGAGACTTTGAAGATTGACATCTCAAAGTATAGGGGGTCGAAGAAGACTCCCTCTTGAGATGGTTCGTCGAGTTGGATGACGCCATAAGGGCGCGTCGCATCGACGACGGGGATATGCAAGTTGCATTTGCCCAGTCAAATCTGGCAGGACGTGCCAAGACTTGGGCACTGGGGCTCAAGCTGCACGACCCATACGCGTTTGGGTCGTTGGAAGTCTTCAAGTCGCGGCTCAGACAAACGTTTGAACCGCCTAGAGCTGAGTTCAGAGCTCGAACCGAACTCTTGAAGCTCAAGCAGGGTAAGCGTGATGTGCACGCTTACGCTCAACATATACGACATCTCACGAGTTGTATAAGTTCCAATCCGGTGGATGAACACACGTTGGTTTCGGTGTTCATGCAGGGTCTTGCGGATGGTCCCGTCAAGACTCACCTGTTCCGGCTTGAACTAGATTCACTAGAACAAGCCATTTCAATTGCGGAGCAGGAAGACTTCAGTCTGAGACAGGCTCGCGCCAGCTCGACATCATATCGTCAACCGAGACGATATGACAACGGAGGTCCAGAGCCGATGGAACTCTGTTATGTAGAGAGCGAGAAGGCTCGCTCTACAGGCTACAAGAAGTTGCAGAGATGCAACAGATGTCAAAAGACAGGACACTACGCTTACGAGTGTAGTGCCCCTCGTCCAGTGTCTCGCGACACTGGGCGTAGTGACCGTCCACCCATGAGAAAGGGGCAGGGACGAGGGTCCGCAGTTGGTGCAAAGACGCAACAACGGGATGGACCGTCAAAAAACGGACAGGATCAGTAGGTGCGGAGCACCCTACTGATCCAGCAACGTCAAGAGAATTTGTAGGCCTCTTGATGAAGGTTGCTCCCAACACACAGACATTGTGCGTTGCTGCTCTAGGTAATGAGATCTCACTCATTACCTTGAAACTCGAAGTGACGAATAAGTTGTCCCTTCGAGCTCTAGTCGATTGTGGGGCGTCCAACAATTTTGTGCGACGCCAATCGCTAGAAGATGGTCACTTTAAATTCAGTGAATGTGACACACCTCCTACGAGGATGACGGTACGTCTTGCGACAGGCGCATCCGTAACCGTCATGAAGCGTATAGTGAAGATTCACTATACGCTAGAAAGATACCCAATACGACGATGACTTTATCGTATTGGATTTGGATGACAAATTTGATGTCATCCTTGGAATACCGTGGCTCAGAAGGTACGAACCACGGGTAAACTGGCAACATCGGACAGTAACGATGCCTGCCGCTTGTTCATCAGATGGCCATCTGATGAACGTTTTAGGCGTCCACAAGCGTGTGGATGTACTACAGTGAGTGCGATGGCCTCACTTGTGGTACGGTCGTTAGTACGACTGCACAAAACCTTAGTGTACCAAACGGTTACACTTCGGAGCAAAGTTCCGGCGGCTGTGAGGAAACACAGGCTGCGCCGAAGGTCCACCACTCGAATAAGTCGGGTGGACTGGGACAAAGATGTATCCCTAGAGGGGAACATCTAGAAGAGAAACAATCGATCGCTCAGGTTAAGCGAAACGATAATCCTAGATCGACTGGAGAGTCTTTCGTAGAGAGGATCTCGCTGTGGTTGCGCAACCCCAGCTAGAGGAAGTAAAGGGAATAAGTCCCAAGATTACAAATACGGCGGAAATAAGTTCCCCGAAACCCGCGGGAATAAGTCCCCGGGAAGACGAAGGAATAAGTCCTTCGAAGCCTGAGGGAATAAGTCCCCAGGAAATGACAGAGACATTGAATGTCATAGTCAATAACGGATCATGTGTAGGCGCTTATACACTTGATCTGATTGCGCCTCCGAAGTTAACTTCGGAGATCACTCAGTTGCCAACGCTCGAACATAAAAGATTCTTGCGTGATCTGCGTAGTGGCAAAGTCAAGCAGATCTGCATACTCGTCGCTGACGACGAGTATGTAACCGACATAAGGTCAGCAACAGTGTTTACTGAGAACGAGAGAGTTCTCAGTAGTTCATCTATGGACGAGAGTGTCCTAGATGAAAAGACACGAATTGAGCGATATGAGTCCCAATCATGGGAATCGCTCAAGGAAAATCCTCTCTATGAAGATTTGGTTGAATTCAAGGATGTATTCCCTGAAACTGTTCCGTGCGAATTACCGAAGGATAAAGGTATTCGACACGAAGTCGAGCTTAAACCAGGCTCGAAGTACTGTGTCATGAAGCAGTGGCCACTGCCTCGTGAACAAGTACTTGCGATCGACAAGTTCTTTGCCGATCGTTTAGCAGCGGGCCATGTGAGGGGAATCAACTTCCCCACATAGCTCTCCGACCTTCTGTGTGCGAAAAGCAACAGGAGGGTGGCGGATAGTGCACGCGTTTAACAAATTGAACGCTGCAACGGTACCGGCTCAGACGCCGATACCGAGGAAGGACGTAATCATTGATGGTATGTCAAAGAGTACCATCTTTTCGTCCATGGATTTGATGGATGGCTTCTATCAAATCCTAATGCGGGAACAGGATATACCCTATACCGCAGTTAGCACGCCTAGCGGCATGCTCTGGGAATGGCTAGTAATGCCACAAGGGCTCAGTAATGCCCCTGCCACGTTCAACAGGTGTGTATCACATCTGTTGAGGCCAGTACGAGAATTCGCGCCGAGTTATTTCGATGACGTATTCATCCATAGTCGAGCTATGGATGGAAAGTCGGACGTTGAGGTTCACAAGTACCACGTCCGACAAGTTCTTACAATCATGCGAAAGCATCAATTGTATGCAAACCTCAAGAAGTGTATATTTGCAGCAAGCGAAATACCACTTCTTGGGTGCATCGTTGGTAAGAACGGTGTACGTCCTGATCCCGAAAAGATCAAGGCGATCACCGACTGGCCTGTGCCGGTCGATGTCAAAGGTCTTCGAAAATTCCTTGGGCTAGCGGCGTATTTGCATAAGTATTCACGCAATTACGCCGAGATGACTGTACACCTCTCTCGTTTGTTGAAAAAGAACGAGAGGTGGTTATGGAACGCTGAATGTCAACGCTCCTTTGAGGGTATCAAGCAGAGCTTGATACAATCCCCAGTCCTAGCAATAGCCGATCAGGACAGGCCATTTCATGTGGTCTGTGATGCCAGCGATTTCGCAATCGGCTGTGCATTAATGCAGTACGACCTTGAAGGCGTTGAACGCGTCGTCTGCTATCAGTCGCGTCAGCTGCAACCAGCTGAGCGGAACTATCCAGTGCATGACAAGGAACTCCTTGCCATGAAGTATGCACTCGCGAAGTTCAGAGTCTATCTATTAGGAGATAGACCCTTCGTTGTTTACACTGACCATGCGTCCTTACGCACGGCAGTGAACAGCCCGCACCTTTCACAACGAATGGCGCGGTGGTTGTCATTCTTTGCAGAATACAACTTTACGGTCGAGTACAAACCAGGACGACTTAATGTCGTCGCTGATGCACTCTCACGTCGTCCCGACTTTGAAACAGTCGCGAAACCCAACAGTGAGACAGTCACTGTTGCGGTTATGACGTCCTCAGTTCCATCTACAACGTTGTATGATGATGTGAGGCGGGCATACGCCCAAGATGGTGAGATAGTGAAGTTGTTGTCACATCTCTCCCAACCATCTCGAGAATCGTTGAAACGATTGTCGTCTGCGTATCGATCTGCATCAGATCGATACACTACTCGTAACGGTTTACTGTACTATACAGCCGTTTCTGGTGACACACCACGTGTTGTCATTCCAGATGATACTGATCTGCGTTTGCGGATCATGTTCGAGATATCACGATGCTCCTATAGGAGGACATCGTGGCCGAGAGAAAACATATCTCACGGTAAGTCGAGACTTTTACTGGCCCCGCCAGTATCAGTTTGTGCGAAAGTATGTTCGCGCATGCGAAGTCTGCCAACGAGTGAAGTCAAGTCCTTCACTGCGTGCACCTTTACAGCCTCTACCGGTTCCGGCTGAGTGCTGGGAATCCATCTCAATGGATTTCGTCTTCAGGTTACCCAAAGACGCACGCGGGAATACGGGTATTCTCGTATTTGTTGACAGATTCAGCAAAATGGTACACCTTGTGGCTGTACCAGAGACAATCACGGCAAGTGGCTGTGCTTGTGTCTTTATTGACACCATCTTCCGACTTCATGGGTTGCCCCGTGAACTCGTATCAGACAGAGATCCACGATTCACTGCTGATTTCTGGCGTTCCGTGTTCAAATCACTCGGAACGCGCTTGAAGATGTCAACATCTGATCATCCAGAGTCAGATGGTCAGACGGAACGTGCCAACCGTGTCCTCGACGAGATACTTCGAGGATACGTACACTCCTTTAAAAGTTGGAGTGAGTTTTTGCCAATGGTAGAGTTTGCCATCAACAACTCGGTGCATGCGTCCACGACGCATACACCGTTTTACGTGAATGGCTTGCGCCATCCGCGTGTACCCACCTTACTAGAGTGTAACTCTGGTTTAAGGGGGGGAGGGACTCGCGCGAGCAAAAACCGATTTGGTTCACGCTCATCACGCTCTGACGAAGAAGTCATTGCGTTTGATGCCGATATCGATAACATCGATATCGAAGAAGATGATGCCAGTGAGAGTGCGGAAGCCCTCACTGAAGACAATGATGCCAGTGAGAGTGCGGAAGCCCTCACTGAAGAAAAGGTTGTTGTTGCTGCAGTGCGCTCACAGCACACTGAAGCTAACGAGTCATCAGATGAGTTCATACTGGCTCGTGAAACGGTAGTCCGTTTTGTGCAAGACTCCATCGCCGAAGCGGTGGATAAGCAAAAGCAAAACGCTGACAAGAATGGAAGGGCAAACACTCTTTTATTTAATAAAGGTGACTTAGTCCTACTGTCTACGGTTAATCTACCAAAACATGTAGTGACTAACTTGGGTAGCAGTAAACTACTACCCAAGTACATTGGCCCATTTCGTGTATTGCACCGCCTAGGCAATGCATACACGATCGAGTTACCACGTAAGATGCGAACGCATCCCACGTTTTACGTTGGTCGGCTTAAGCCGTACCATCAGTACGCTGCTTCTTCCGATGAAGAACGCCCTTGCGCTCAAGCATCTCGCAGAGAGCCTTGTGCTCCCGATGGTGGGCATCAACAAGGGTCTGAAGAGCAGTTATCTCAGCCCGAGACCGATCAACAATCCCACGAGCTACCCTTAGCTCGTCACGAAGAGATGTCAGAGATCTCTCGTTCTCAAGCTGAGCAAAGGCAAACTCAGCTCGATGCTTCGAGGCAGTGTCCACCATCTGGAGACGCCTATTCCGCTCATGCTCGAGATCGTCGCGTAACCCTTGCGTTACGCGATCAAAGAAAGCTCTCGGGAACACACCGATCCACATGATCGTGTGGAGAGCGTCTTTCCTCCTCCTCCACCTCCATTAGAGGACTCTCGCGGTGGCCAGCGCTATCTAGTAGAGCAGCTGTTGAACCACCGCGACGTGAACGGACGTCGGACGAGTTACCTCGTCCGGTGGCGCGACTATCCCCCGTCCTGGGATTCTTGGGAGCCCCGCTCCCAATTGATGGTTGACGTACTGGGTCTGGTCGAGCAGTACGACGCGACACATCCTGTGCCGCAGAAGGACCGCCGGAGAAAGTCTTCCCGGCACGGTCGTAAAGGGATTTCAGGTTGTCAATCCCTTCGTACATCTCAGTAGAGACACGTACGCGCCACCACGGGCTGGTAAGGAGGTAAGCCTCCTTAGGTGCTCGTGCAGAGTTGTTCACACAACATGGGCACGAGTCTCCCCAAGAGAGGCAGGGTAATCCTTTCTCCCTTGACAGACGATGCAGCTTGTAGCGTGCACCTGTCGGGGTTCGCTTTTCAAACTTATCACGAGCTTTGATAAGTTTGTCGTTCCAAGCGTCACGACCTACATCCTCGAGATTATGGATGTAGGCGTTCCACGCCTGAAGTAGTGAGGGACCATCACGTTTGTGATTCCCACTGTACCATCGATGTCTGAAGAAAGCATCGATGAAGAACTCATGTTCAGCGCGATAGTCTTTCGTGCTGGGGTCAAGGTGATGAATCCTTGACGAATCGAACAATCGTGTTCGATAACGATCACTCGTCGTCGCCGACAAGTGATCCATGACGGATTTAGGAGGCATCCATGCCTTCTTTTCTGGAGCGAGACGCAACACATTGCGGTCCCGCTCTTCCTGCGACGTGCCGACAGAAGTACTGGCACCTCGCTGTGAAGTGGTGTCCATTGGAGAAACGACACCACTATTAGCGCCCGAGTCTCGCGACCTCGAGCGCCTTCGCTTCGGCGATGGTTCATCTGACTCATCAGATGAACCAAAGATGCTGCGACGCAAAGCATCGTCCATGCCACGCTTGGCAGGCGGCTTAGATTCAATCGCCGTCGATACGGACCCGTCATCCGTATCAGGAGAGTACGAGACACCGAGCTCGTACTCTGTGAAGACACGAGTGTCTTCATGACCAGCGCCTGCATCACCAGGTGATACAGGCTGAGTCGATTCAGCAACCGATGGGACATCAGTTGCTGTAGTTTCTGCTTCGGCGTCCGCACAGAGACGTGCAGACGCGCTCTCGGCGGCCTTGCTCGCGCATCGCATGGGCTTGTTTACCATGCGATGAGATGTTGGAAAGTGGACGCGGACCAACAAGTGCAAACCCCGTCCCAAATGATTTGGGACGAGTATCCATTTAGTCAATCAGTCACTAAAGTGACTGATGGTTAAGGGGGGTGATGTAACGGGGTGAATCGTTACATAACAATTTATAAGAAATTGTTAATAGAATATAACTATAAGAGTTATATTCTCAGAATATTGTCATAAGGACAATATTCTGTAGCACTTACAGTAGTCCCTAATTGGTTGATATAGGCCATTATATCAACCAACGAAGACGCGCCACGACAGACGCACGCAATGAGTGGTGAGCAGATAACTGATTTACACATTTGTATTTAGACATAGTTAGATGAAGATAAATAGTGATTTATTGCAGACATTAACTATTATAAATACAGTTCTACTTTTTACTCTAACCGAGTACTCGCTTCTTCTTACCGTCTTCCTCTGCACGTACGAGTGTACGTGAAGTTACGAGGCACCGCCTTATTCTGTTATCAGAATAAGTAGCTTGTACTGTCACCAGTACAAGCTTCAGGGTGCCCCGTTACAAGACTGGATATGATGACACCAGATTAGCCTACCAAGTTTAACACTCCTCCTCAATATATTCATTCTCCATTTCACTACATTAGACTCGAGCCCCTCTGCAAGCCACGGGCCGGGTTTGTCACCCACATGTTAGGGCACAAGTGCGTGACCGTCAAACACTTGACTTCTAGCTCGATCACGAACCGAACTGTCTTTTCCTCACTTTGCACAATGACTACAGGACGTACCGAGTCTGCACGCTCGAGGAAGTCGTACATTGCGCAGTGTTTGCCCTCCAACGGTATTGCAAACGTCGTGAGATTGCCAGTCAGGAAGAGGAAACTGTTTGTATCGAATGCGTTTTGGACAAACACGTTCGTGGGATGCGTCGCCTACTTCACACACGCAGACCGACTTAGTCATGACCATACCTATTAATGTTAGCGAAAGTCGCAGTACATCAAAGTTAAGTAGAAGCTTCCACTAGAATTCAGGGTCATGGCCTCTGAGACCTTGGCGATACGATACCGCTCGTGTATACGCTTCGTCTTGTCACACAATCAAGTCGAGTGGTACTCCACCAACGCCTAATTTACACAAATAAGCCGCTCCGTTTTACGAGTAGGTATTTTATTAGGGTCTTCTGGTATAATTAGTTGTTAGGTCAGGTCCCCAGCGAAGGGTTTTGCGGGCACTTAAAAGACACCGACGACGATTTGTGTCGGTGGCATTGACATCATAAACTCATTTGCGAAGCGAAGGCATGGGTACTGTTATCACTAGTGAAACGACATGGTTCGACAGCCGACCACTGCGTAGAGAAAGCAGATAGATCATTGTCGTTGAAGCTGACCATGCCGAGTCACTGAAGAACACAAGTCAACGTCGCGGACGTTTTGACCTGAAGGAAAGCAGAATGAGGCGAATGAACGTATTGCAGAGGCAGAGGTGGAAGTGTGGTGTGCGTGTAATATTGCGCGTAATGAGTGGAGCACTCAGTAAACCGCCCTCCCCATTATAACAATGCCAACATGTGAGCAAGGTAGACTCACATGCCGATTTGATCAATGGTATAGCGGCGGACCAGAGTCTTTAGCCGCCACTTGCAGTAGCATCGTGGAATCACATACTGTTAGCCACCAACTTGTTTCGTCTGTTGCATAATGATGGGCTTGTTAGCGAGCCTATCATTATGCAACAAACAAAATGATTGGTGGCTAACAGTACGTGTTTCCACGATGCTATCACGGTTGCGAGTACGAGTTACTTTGTCACACGATGTAGAAGGTGACCTCTATCGAGAAGTTGCTTACCGCTACAACGTAGCGTGATTTTGTTCCGGGATCATCAGCTTTGGGCATCAACCAATTGTGAAGCAGTAGTAGAATCTGCATGGTAGATTTTTGTTGCGATCGTGCAACGGTAGCGTCAAATACTTCGCGCTGTAGTAGCTGCCGGCTGCGGGTCAAGTAAGACATTAACAGCCGTGACCGTCAAACTCTTCGAGAGAAATGACGACGCCTACAGTGGGTGTCACTAACGAGTTCGTGATCGTTGTAGCTTATTCATAACAGAATTGTCCACGTGCGCTCGTACTAACATTGTTCCTCGAATACGGTAGTGCTTTCACGATTAGCGGGCTTTGTCAAATGCCATGTAATGACAAATGATTGCTTTTGGCTGATGGACGCTCGAGTTGCGGACGAATCGGTATAGCAGACACTAAGCGATCGAACGATTGGCCCTGCGGGCGACAGTTCTAGAATAAGTGTTCTGGTCCTCATCGCGCGGTAATTTGACGCATTGCCTTCCGACAGTTCTGTTCGACTGAATTGGTTTGACAAAGAGAGTGCACTGAAAGTATGCACAACGGTTTAGGTTGGCAACTATCCATGAAGGTCATAATTGATCCAGTCAAGGATCTCTTTTCTTAATTTATCGCCCACGAACGTCAGAGAACTCTAGAAACTCACTCTATGTGTGCCAAATTATGGTCAAAGCACAAGTGTACTTGTCCACGAGAAAGAGATGCATTGCGTCTATGTTGACGCTAATGCATCCTTCATCCTCATACTACCCTAGGATAAAAGAAAAACTACGAGCTAGTCAGTCGTACAGATGGTGAAGCAGTTGAGCGCCTACCAATGTGTCCATCGGACGTGCTTTACAATGTTATCTTGGATTCTTTCCATGCTAGTTCTGACATCTTGCAGCACTCGAGTGGCGACAAAACCAGCGGCAATGCTAATTCCATTTAGCTCTAGAAACCAGAAAAGAACGAGCGCGGCTTGGCGAGTGTGCAATCTGAGTTGGTCTAGAGTCGTCCGTTCATCGGCATGATCGAATCACATGCGCACTTCGATATCAATGATCATTCCGACGACACATACTGACTGCAATTTACGGACTTTCCTTGCCATGAGGCGACGCTCGCCAAGTCACTTTATCCGCAATAGCTTCATTAAACTGAGCGCATGCTATTGATGAACGCAACTGAGACAGAGTGCAACGCACTAGGCGAGAGTCGCGTAAAAGATCGACCACCCGCCAGCATGTTCGCCGATAGAATAGTGATGGTAGGCAGATCCTTTGTGCTACTTCGCGTGATCTGTAAGAAAAGATTGAAGAACATTATTGCAAGCTCTTGAAGCAAACAACAAAAGTGGGTGGGATCCACACCTCCCATCAGTGGACAAATGGGTCAGAAATATGATCGCAAGTCTGGTAGGCACACGTAGTTCCAGGCATCGATCGACCAGCTCTGAGAACAAGATCTGGGTCGGTTATGTAAAAACGTCGACACCGCTTTGAAAGACAAAGCTGCTACATCTTAATCTACGCACATATGAACGACAAGTGTGTTATCTGCTGCATTGTCTGATGTAGACCTTCAGTCTCTGGATTAGCGTTGATCGCACGAAGTGATTCGGGTCAGCGTTTGTTCTTTAATCACGGTCACCGTAAGCGATAGCGGCGAGACCATCAATGAGGTTGAATGGTCTAATGCGGTGAGGCGACTACCGCTTGCAGAAACTATGGAGGATCGTATGCGAGTAGGACAAAGTAATGTAGCTGCAACCAGGACACCTGTCCCACGTCGCAGCGCAGTAGCCGCACACGTAATGAGGATGCCTTACTCGCATGGTGACGCTAGTAAAGCCATGGTGCTAGCTCTAATTTGGACAGGGCATTGTACCGCGTCAACGGGGAGCCGAACACGTGCAAACATGTCCAAGCGAGATACGCGTCTTCTCTACCACATCGGATCGCATCGACATCGTCGAAAGCTGGACAGATGCTGGACTGATAGATTCATGCTGCCCGGTGTCAGGCGTACCGAAATCGGGTGGACCGGCTGCACTCATTGAGACTTGAAGCACAGACGGTCAGCAAATCCTTTAAGCGATGGACCCATGGGAAGGACGCAGCGTGATCTAGCAATGTCTTAGTGCCACGTAGGACGTGTCCAAGTCAGGCCAGATTTGATATTTGTCAAAGCCGACGACGAGCTGTCCACAAGCCGACGAAATTTGGCAAGAAGTATCGTGACCATACCGGTTTGTTCCTAGTATGGCAGTGTGATCATGAAAAGTTTTGGCTCTACTTATATAGCACTAGAACATCGCGCTCCACATGGGGGCTACAGGAACAGCTTGCTCGAGACATGGACATGATGTTCAAGGTAGAGGTTCTCCACTTGCACGAAAAAAGACGATTGAAAAAAGTCAGTGTCTAGGGCCATCAAGATTCTGAAAGTAAAAGGGCTTTGAACATACGCGATGAATCGGTAGGCGCCGACTACGTCCCTCGCGCGACGCAAGCTCCGAATCAACGGACTGTTGTCCACATGGATTCGAAACGACATAAGTGGCAAGTCCTGGCAGCAGATGAGCCTAGCGTGGCGCTTCCAGAATTTACTAGCGAAGATTCTATCGCGCAGCTGCTGTGCACTCGTATCCGTACAACGCTTAAACACGACGCCGGACACCAACACATCATCAGGGTGGTCTCGATGAAGCTTTCCCCCCTTCAACCTTTTAGTTACATCATAACACATGCAATCACGGAAAACCATCGCGTCGACTGGCGCTTATAGTTGCAGTGGTCACGGTTACTTCTTGCATACCGTCAGTGACATTCGCAGAGGTTCTATGAGCGGCATGACCTGACTCAAACGATCGCTTCGAACGATGCCTGAAAGGGCGGCAACAGTCTCGTTCGCACGATAGCACGCGCAAGGAAACATCTACGTCCGATGCGTGAACCGTGCTGCATATACATTAGAACGCCGCTCCTACTCTGTCCTACAAGTTGATGACCTCTTCTTTGATACGACCGAGGCGGCTGGGGACCTTATTGGGGTCGCGGTACCTCAACGGCCTGATCTGCATGGACACTTGTTATCCACGGAATGACTAGAAGCCTGTTTCTTGCGTCTTATATATTGATGACTGCTGCTTCGATATCGTATCCTTGGACTGCGCGCACTCTCTTGCAGATGCACTGCGACGCACCCAACAGCAAGACTAAATGCATATCACAGGACAGAGGAGTTCGTTCGAAGTGCATACAAAAGAAGCGTCACTCGGGAAGATACCATCCCAAAATGTCATTGCAGCATGACATGAGACGTTGCAACCACAAAAGCTGAAGCCATCTTGTATCTGGGGTCCCACATGATGGGCGCTGAGGTTCTCGTCATCGAGCATGAGTCGTCCGCCTCTTGGTATCCTCGTAAAGTGCCTAGAACTAGCACGACTTGGAACGACACGTACATTTGTGGGTCTCGATTCCTGCGCGTTAAAAGCGTTTATTGATCTATAATCGAGGATCCTGCACGTAATGCTGGATAACAGGCTACTAAATCTACGAGAAAGATGTGAAGATCGCTTGGTCGTTAATATGACACATGGATAGACCACCCACTGGTCTCGTAGTCGCGTTGTACCAGGTATCAATGACAAGTGGCGGCCACCTCCAATGAATGGCTTGGAGCGGCACGAGTGACAAAACAAACAACACCTTGCTATGATGACCGCTTGGAAGTCCAGGAGGGACTGGTAAAAACAACCAAGTCTCCTCTGGCGCGTGCCGTGGTCATTCCGACTCGTCTCGTCTTTGGACTTTGGCGACGACCGATTCGGCCGCGAGGTTCCCGACTTTGCGCGCTACAGTGGCTCTGTAATCTCAGCATGACTGACGTGATGGACGTCTATGAAGCCCGCGATCTGGTGTCATCAATGCCCTTCAACGTTCCAGCCTCAACGCGTCAACGACCATATGACAACAGCGAAAGTAGTAGTGAGACCCCGTCCGTCCGTCCGTCCGCCCTTCCCTTCCCTTCACCTTGTCGCTCCGAGTCAACGAGATATAAGAGACGCTGCTACGATGCACCAACATCTTGCACGCTCATGCCAAAGTCTCGCTTTTTCGTGAGCTCATTCTTCCTTTTCCTTCCTTCGAGATAAGCCTCGAGACCTTTTATCCATCACCGATATGAACTGTACCGACGTCACTCGACTCCCCACCGTCCTCGCCCCCTCGGCGGCAATGGCCTCCCCCGTCCCGAGTTGCCGAAAACGCTCAATCGCTTCAATCCACTCGACGGAAAAGAAGCAGCAGAAAGCGCGCAAAAGTCGACGCGTCTACGACTTCACGTTCGACTTTCTCGCGCAGTTCTTCCATATTCCACAGCGACAAGCAGCAGACGTACTTAACGTGTCCGTCATCACGATCAAGCGCAACTGCAAGCGCCACGGCTTCCGGTGGCCGTACCGTGCCAACAAGTACAAGTCCGGCCACTCCTTTGTGCTGTCGGAAAGGGGGCGGGCGTTCCACGAACTACCGCTTGACTGTCTTCGGGAGGACCCTCAATCGGAGCTGCCGACCAAGTCGATACTAAAGAAGGAACCTCAACCGGAACTTCCGACCAAGGCTGCACCACAAGACGAACTGACTAGTGAGTGCGACACGGACACCGAGAGCATGCACGACGACGACCAGGCCAAGACCGATTACGGCGAGATCCTCGTGTCATTGCACAAGCTGCCGATGGACATTGACACGCAGTGAGGATGGTAGGGTTATAGTGTGCAGATATTGGTACAGTCGTAGCTTCTCAGCGTCCTGCTTGAACTTGAACTGGCTGTACATCCGTGAGGGCATCTTATACTGGAGGATGGCTATGGTAGATGTAGCTCCAGCTGCGAAGACAGATACAATTAATACATTTCAATTGTGAACTTCTACATATTGACCCGTCAAATGATAACGATACTTAGTTTTGTTGTCCACCAAACGGGTGAAACCCTTAATTGAGAGCAGGTACGAAAAGATGAAGGTAAACGAGGTGAATAGAACGAAGTAGTACGTATGCATCGTTCATCATGTTGAGCACCAGAGGCTGACGAGCTCCTGAAAAACGAGCTTCATTCCGATGATTTTGCGTTACAAGGGGGAAGACGTTCGAATCTGAGCAAGGCCTGTAGGATGTAAAGAGCTGGTAGGTATGTGCGGTGTCCCGTCCCGACGCAAGAAAGTTAGTGGATTGCGAACACAGTAGTCCATTTGCTTCCCTTGTTGTATTGGATTTGTTAGATGATTGCATTGCTGGATACTAGCAATTGTCATGCGTCCACGAGTAGGAGCTTCGAACGAATTTAGAACGCACGAGTCAGCCAAGTAGCAATCAGTATCCCGAGAGAGACGGTAAGCTCAGAAAAGCTTTACTTCTACGCATGTCAACTCAAGAGAGGCATCGTCCACTCTTTATGGATTCACGAGTACAGATCGTTAACAGGTGGCAAAGTCTGGCACGGCTTTATGCCTACGATGATTAAAGCTCCGCCCGCACTTCACATTTGAATCTACCCAGCTAACCCAACGTCCATACCCTAAAAAGTCGCGACTGCCTTGACAATGCCTCACTACTTTGTCATTGATGCACGTGTCAGCATGAGCAGAGAACAAAGTATCTCGATCTGGAGCAGTCCCCCCATCCATTCGTGCGGAGCGCAGCACCTCATCACACAGCCTTATCGTGAAAAAGCGCGGCGTGCCCGCAGCAACTCCATCTCCACCTCCTCACTCAGGGTCGCCCCTGCGTCACCCGTGAATCAGTTTGCTCAGACCATGGGTCCAGAGCGAGCTCCACCGACGACGGACAATTCGTGGAGTCGTCGTACGACTCCAGCGATGTCAAACGACTTTTCATTCGCTGACTCGTGGGATCCGAGGTGCACTGCGACATCGAACCGAAGGAGTGTGTGGCGTCGACTCACAGCAAATGTCGACAAGTGCGTACTTCGAGTCGTCAGCAAGTTTTACCGATAAAGTCGCATTGTTGTGTCACGTGTAAGCTGGACCATCGTATGTATGTCATTGCCACTCATTAAGCCCATCGGAAGGCTGATGATCAGGTTGTCAAAGGCTAACGAACTTGTTGTCGTAATAAACGGTTTTCGGTGTTATTTGTGTTTAGTTTGTTCGCTTAACCGAACTTGATCGCCACCGTTTTAGGTCAGTCGGTCTAAAACACATCCGTGCAGCCACCACTTGGGGATACGTTTTGGCTTCGAGGTGACGGTTGCACATTCTAAAATGTAGATACTGCGAACTCCCTGCGCTTGCGCTATTACAGTTAAAACTCCAGGTCATAGTGGTATGGCCATCCACATTGGTGCACACAAAACTCCATAACCAATGCGAGTTAGACGCTGTCGTTTGAGCATGATATGCGCAAAACTTTAATTTACCCCTCTGCAGTGTCAACAATCAGATAACATGAATCGATCTCATAGCTCACATTCGAAAAACTGCTTTTGTGCCCTGCAAAAAGTATACGGCTAAAAAGCACACAAATTTTAACTAAACATGTTAATGATTTTCTGCATTCCTGAAGCGATGGAGAAAAGGAAAGCGCTAACCGACCTAGAGCTTGGGAGGATTCAGGGATTGCATGAAGCAGGCCTAACAGGGCGCGTCATCGTGCATGCTGTCAATAGGTCACGTGACGTAGTAATGCGTGCTGTTAGCGGTCACGTCGGCCGCACTGGCAGACGACGAAATCTGTCCGTCCACTCTTCGTGTTCTGGTTTGCACGGCAGCGAGCGGAAATTTCTCAGCAACACAGCTGCATCAACAGCTCGAGCTGAAGTGCTCGGTTCGCATTGTGCACCGCATCCTACAATGAGTAGATTGGCTGTCGTACACATAAATGAAAATTACTTTTTTGAATGTACATACCGTGCGTCGTTTTGCATGGTCGGAGGAGATGCTGATACTCTCCAGTGCATGGATGTCGATCATTTCCTGACGAAAATAGATGGAACCTCGGTGGACCAGACGGCCAACAGCACTATTTGAGAGACATGCGTGTCTCTACTAGGCAGACGAATCTTCGTCAGATGGGCGGAGGGTCCGTTACGGTCTAGATTGGGTTTAGCGGAGTCGGAAAGACTGAGCTGGCCTTATTGGTGGGAAGCCAAATATCGGAGGATTATACCGACACGGTATCCGAGTATTTGCTGTCTTTAGCCCATCGCGATACGGTACAGAGTTTCTATTTCAGCAGGACAACGCGACCATCCATACTTCTTCGATGTCGGCGGACTTTTTCGCTGAGCAAGGCATGAATGTGGTGGACTGACCTGCTCGTTCTACGGATCTTACTCCAGTCGTAAAAGTGTGGGCTATGATATCCAGAGAGGTATTCAGGGACGGGAAACAGTACGATTCTGTACCAGCTATAACCTTGGCAGTCATCAAAGCGTGGAAACACATACAGCAAGAAACATTGGTGGCCTTAATCGACTCGATGCCGCACTGTTGCATCGAAGTCATCAGAATGCAGGGAAACAAGACACACTACTAGGGTCTGATTAACATTTCAAATCCTCACCGTAATGTAGGAATGCAGAAACCATTAGCATTTGTACTTGAATTTCGTGTGTTTTTTAGTCGTGTACTTTTTGCGGGGCACAAAAAGCGTTTTTTTGAATGTGAGCTATGCGATCGATTCATGTTATCGGATTTATAACATCGCAGAGAGGTAATTTAAAGTTTTGCGCATATCATACTCAAACGACAGCATCTAGCTCGCGTTGGTTATGGAGGTATGAGCACCAATGTGAGTGGCCGTATCACTATGACCTGACGTGTAGGAATAGACTGATTTGCAAATTACGTTGTACTCTCATCTTGTTGTGATGTGATCGGTGTGGTCTTGGACAGCTACACATTGTCCAGTGAGGCTTAGTTACATGTTAGAGTGCAATCGAGGAGCGCATTGATGCAGTACAGGAGAAGTACTGTAGAACGGCTGATAGTATGCTGATTGTTCTGCTAAGGACGGGCAAGTGTACGTATATGCGAGTAGAAGAAAACTAGTCAAAGCGACAGATACACACGAAGCCGGTGCTGGTACGCAGTGGGTAGCTTGGCACCAATACTGAAAGCAGCAAACGGTGGCCAATAGATAGGTAAATGTGTAGCTAATAGCACTGTTTTGTTGATACGTGCTTCGGCTAGAAGTGGTACAGTTGTCAAAATCACAAAGATGGAGGAGTAACTTGCCATGCAAGCGTACTGAAGTCAGGTCGCCATGACTGCGCTTAACGAAAATAAACGAATCACTTATCGGACCCCATAGTATAAGCTCGATAACTCAAGCCCACACAAAAATAGTTGCTTCAGCGTGTACTTACAACATCCACGGTTTCTTCAGATCTGATCACGATTGTTTGAAGACTGTACATTCACACGTTTTAGTTCGGTACATTAACTTTGTACTACAAAGGCACTTTTGTCTGCACGAGACACTGTCAATAGTTTTCGGTCGTATTCTTTGTAAGGTTGGGTCTCCCTCTCAGGACTGTGATGCACGACTAAGACATGGCGTATCGTGTCGTATTTCAAAAGGGCTGATGGTGCCTGATTAAATGTCTGTGCGAGCGCGACCAGTTTGGAGATCGATACAGCCGACAGCGACGATAGATACACGGGAAGCTCGTACATATGGTAGACCTCTCGAATGCAGATTTTTCTTGACAGTCTTTTCTACGAAGACCGACGCGGATGTAAAGATGACTAGCTGGAGGTCACAGATCCAAGAATATCAGTTGAAGTCAAGGACGACAAATTTAGCATGGAAAATTTTAGCACGACAAATTTAGCCCCTGGAAATACTAAAATTTGCAAAGAGTTATTACCGGCACACCGACTGAGGTCGAATCAGTTTAAAAATCGGTCCCATGGACTCGTGGTTCGCAAAAATTATATAGCTGGTTCCGATCACTTGTGCGAAGCCACAACTTGTATTGTAGACTGTCCTGTGAATCAAGGGAAATGTGCTGCATTGACAACAGAATTGCTACCACTTAAACCAGGCCCTAGCGCTTAAGGGCTTGAAGAATGAGTGTAGCTTGCGCCTCGGGAACGTCTTCTTATCTGCTGATGTAAAACAGGATAACTGATGTTGTCCTGGGCTTCGTTGCCGCCAGCGATGTTGTCTGCTTCTATCAAGGAGAGTGTAGTTTTGGATGACCAAAGATATATGCTAAGTACAAGTTTGCCCGTTCAATCGATACTGTTGCCGCGTACCGCTGAACGTAAGGGGATACAGATATATCAACCTCTTATTCGCATGGCTCCTTTCCAACAAATCATGAAATTGGGACCTTGCAATTACTCAATCCGTTCACAGCTGATGATGGTATTTACCTGTACAAGGAAGCAGCGAAACTTGTAACGAAATCGCTCAGGATGCGCTGTGCAGCTGACTGCTGTCCATACCTTCTGTCTGCACCGATCTCGGTCTGTGGTCGTTCAATTTCTGAAATACCGACTGACAAACAGTGGATGATTGCGGAAACCGGTTCTGAGCTTTGTTCTATCGGTTCTAACGGCTCGAAATTTTGGGCAAGAAATCTGGTTTGATCAGTTCTAGATCTAGAAACATCGGCTTCTTTTGACTACACAAATCGGTGGGCAAGTCTCGCATAAATGCCGCCTTGGTGCATACGCCCGACGCTATCAGAATACTGTGAACAATCTCGTCACTGAAGGGCATGACTATTCGAAGTGCTATGAAATAGCGACGATTTTTGTGATCAACGTGCACCAATTTGTCGACATCTCGACGTTGACAAGGTCACCATCGGTCCGATCAGACCGATCGTGGACATACGTTGGTCACTGCCTCCTCAGCCACCCGTTTGCTCACCAGCTGCAGCATGTGCCACAGCTGCTTCACTAAACGTCCTTACTAGCGCAGATTTATAGAGTAAGTCACCATGCTGCCCGAGTCACAACCAAGGTACTGAGTCACCTCCGAAATTGCCAACAGCGTAGTGCTCGACTGTCATTTCAGTGGCTTGCTGTAATTGAAGCGACAGTGTCAGAACGCATAAAGCGTTACTGTTGAGATGGTTAGCAAAGAGAGCCGCCCCTCGACGTCTGTCGTTTTCACCTTCTTCGAAGCCAAACCCAGCAACACATCTCTTCCCTTCGTCGAGACCTCGGCTTACGGTGCCATACGCCGTGCGTGAAGACATTTGTGACGACTTGACAAGACCTACGTCTAGTCATGCTGAAGATTGCAGTCTTTTGTGCACAAACATGGACACCTTTATTCCTTGCCGCATTGAGTCTGTCTGTGCCATCAATATGCGATCATAGTCCTACCGTCTTGCTCAAAGTTTGGTCATGCACTACGACTGATGCAAGTACATCTGCAGTCGCAGAGCAAGGCGACAACGAATAGCAGGCCAACGATCGCGCTGAAGCGATTGCAACTGGTGTGCCGTCTGAAATGGCTCAACGTCGACTCTTTTGCATCAATTGGCTACAGGTGCCGAGCCTTGTACGAATCGCGGCAGTACACGGCACGTTATCTGCCAGTCCCCGCGTCTGTTAAATTGTCATTACCGTATAACATACCGCACGAACTCTGCTTTCACCAGTAACCTCTTCACCACTTAATAATCTTAATCCCGACTACACCGTGTAGCTGATTGAGATCTCGTTTAGCTGATCACATTTGTGCAATGACGAATGGCACAGATCCCACGGGTATCCATTCAAGTTGGTTCCACTATGGTGGGGACACCGAAATGGCTAAGGGATCGCTGATACCGGCCGACTAGAGCGGATCGTCGTGTCGAACAAAGTCTTTTGATCCTGACGTCGCGTCTGCGCTGCGCAAAGCCGCGGTCGGATCCTGAGATCCCATCGCTTGGCTTTGTGGCAAACTGATACAATTAGCAACAGCCAGAAATACAGGCAAAATTTCAAGTTTTGATGTACTCGAGACTCTTTCTATAGTGAGGGATGTTTATCCACGCAAAGCGATTGAAACTGGTAAAAAACACGGGGTAAAGCTGTGCGATCCTGAAATACTGAAGAGGTTATTGGCCAAAGCCACACGCCGTCTTGCAAAGCATTGGATAGACAGACGACGTGTGGATCCCATGCGAATCATGGTGGTGGTGGTGGTGATCTATTGTATTATTAAAGTTAATTGTGATGTGCAATCCCGCCATCGTCCTACGCAATGATACTTTCATCGAGGTCCTTTTTGTCTCGACTACCTAGCTCACGTTCACCATCACGTTTAGCTCCAAGTGACCACCTTCCTTAGCTCGAGGTACCCAGAGATCCAACGAGCCACCGCCAGTACCAGGGAGACCGAGAAAGCCAGGTCGCCACCGGTCAAGGTACAAGGTCTTGCCTCCCAACTGCTCGACAGTTGTTGTCCATGATACACTTTTTCCAGCTGGGACAAACTTTTCGTCGTACTTGACACTTGCAGAGATCATGTTGACGGTCACGTCCTTCGTGTCGGTGCTGAAAAAGTTAATCCGGACAATCCCGTCTCCCTTTCGCTTCCACGACATGGTGCTGTTCTCAAATACATCGCCAACTGTCCGGAATCCCAATGTCTTGGGGTCCGTGCCATCGTCAATCTCGCCAATGACTTGGGTCGGTCCGCAGATCGTTTGAATGTACTCGGACATGAAACCGGAGATGCGCGTTAAATCAATGTAGAAGACCGTAGCAATGGCCATAAAAACTTTGTCCGCGACGACGCGAGCGTATTTCTTGGCCGATAAAGACGTGCCATTGTCACTCTTCCCCTTGTCAATCAAGTCATCGACAATCACACTGTACGTCTTGCGCAGCGTGTCACGCGTCCGGTACGCTGTCATTTCGTCGGATTCCATGATCATCTGGTCCATGCAGTTGTTCGTGACTGTGGGGATGTCATTCAGCATGAGGTCCGACTTGTACACAGCCACGCGGAGGTCGTCTTTGGAGATCTTCGGATCCGCTTCCTTCATCTCGGCAATCGTTCTCCACGTCCGATCAGTGAGGCGCTGCAATTCGTACCCACACATCGATTTGGACTTCATGCCCGTCTTGAGCGACGAGATTTCCGTCTCATTCAGGTCATTCACCGCATACGTGAAGTTTGCGCGGAGAAGAAAAGCTCGGAACTTACCCCAGGATCTCATGATGCTATCATGACGAGCAAGGATTTCGCCTACTAACACTTGGACAGAACCCATGACAACACTGAGCGGATCGAGGACTTGCCAGTTGTACGATCTGCCCATACACATGACCGTACTGACAGGGAGGTCGATCGTAACGTAGCTCGTTTGGTACAATGCCAGCACAATGTGTTCCCGCGGCATCTCTGGGTTCGAGACCTTATATGCGCGCATGTAGTTGACCATTGCTCGCATGGTGCCAAGCATGGCTCGGGCGCATTTGATACCGACTCGCGTGAGTTTCGACAGCTTGGAGAATTCCCCGAAAGCGTTCATGATCTGGACGGAAAAGAACGCGTTGGCTCCACTCACGAACTTGGCGTAGATCTCAGCGACGCAGTCATCACTCTGCCGGATGCACTCGAAGCCACATCGCACCGGAAATGCCAGTGGACATTGAGCCCAGCATATCTTCATGTGCCGGTCGAACCCGTAAGGACAAGTTTTCATAACGTGAGTCTTTCGCCAACACGCTTTGTCAAAGGCTGGATCCGACGGCCTGCCAATGGTTGGACCGACCCAGTTTGGGAAAGTTGGCACGATTCTGTCCACAGTGTTGGCGGTCGAGCCAATCTTGACGTTGGGTGGAAACTTCACTGTTGGTAGCACATCCACGGTCGAGACCTGAGGTTGGGTCTCATCATCATCATCATCATTGTCATCATCATCGTCCGAGTCGGATGAGTCACTGTCGTTGCTGTCGTCATCACCAAACGAAAAGCTCAACAGTGCTCTTGTTGCCCGTGACGGTGTCAATGGTTCATCATCTGTTGTTCGCCTGAGCCCGGTCAGTTTTGATTCAGTCTGTGCGATGGAGCGCGCAGTAACTTCGATTGCTGCCACAAGTGTAAGCAGCTTGATCCATTTCGACATCTTCACGAGGTGTGCTGAAAACGGCGCAGAAAAGAGAATGCAGCAGCAATTGGACTGATCGAGAGTCTCATCGTCGCACGAGCTCTTGTACAAATCGGGCACGTTTGCATAGTAGAGACCTTAGTTCGTTCAACTAATGTATGTCCTGTAGTACTCGCTGTTACACGGCCATAGTCAAGCAAGTATAAATCGAGCAACGCCCTGCACAGCCGTCAGAGGAGAAGGTGTGGTACCCATATGGTAATTAACGACTTCGTCCCTTAAGCCGACGTGCCTCTGACCAATGACACGCTAGCTTCTGCTTTACAAAAGGTCGGTACTCGGCCAGTGCAATTGCTCGTTTTTTCGTCCCTTACCCGGTTGCCAACACCTATAAGCTGTGTGCATAACCTATAAGCTGTATGCATGCTAACGTTATGGCCATCTCGTTCTATTCACGACCAGTTTCCGAATCGGAACTTCCCAAAGCAAATGCTCTACAGATCGATTACTAATTTAACGGACGCAGGATTTGATCCCTTTGCGTTAAACATGGTCATTCTCGAAGCCTGCCCAGAAAACATGGGCTCCAATCCACACGGACGGGAAACTTTGGCAACACAGCAGCCTGCCTCCGTGTTGTCTCCTCTCAGCCATTCAGTTCCAATCAACCTCCGCACCTGAAGCTCCTTGACAGATCGTGTCCGCAGTATTTGTCCGACGGCGCAATAGTACGGCCCATTAGTCGGTCAAATGAGAACCCACCTACCCCTTCACGATCCGACGGCGCCGTTTGAGGCAAAAAAGCGTCCGACATATGTGATGGCGAACTCTTTGACAGCGAATGGCCGGTACAAAGGTGTTACCGCAACAGACGGATCAGATTTCGTGCTTATACCATATAAGCAGAATAATGGACTCAACACGACGTGATATTCTGTATCGCACAGGTTAATCGCAGAGAACCTGGATTTGAAGCGAGCCTTACGCGTTTCTTTCGTTTTAGTCACCGTTTTATACACCATAATGATGCAGTCACAAAGCATTACTCATGCGCGCTACACACGACAAATCAAGGACGGACAAGCGTGGCCGAATCAGACGCGATAAAGACTGAGCCGTTCAAGTGGCGGGAATGACGCCGGCCGCGTCACGTGGGTACAAAGACGTCACTTTTGTCAGTGCTTGCGTCAACGGATTGTCGTTTCCCGGCCAATACTGCTCTGCTTATGCTGTCTTTGATGTGTTAGGTAGTGCAGTCTGCATTGTATCTTGTCTCGTACAGGATGAAACGGAGTGTTGATCCAATCTTTGAACGACACAATTCTTGGCCAGTATTGTACTTGCTGGCCACTTCTAGAGCTTTGTTTTGTAGCTTGGTGGTAGAAAAAGACGGAGGCTTTATATCGGTGACCTAAAGAAGAAATGTCATACAGTAGCCGTACAGTCATGACTAGTTTGACAAAGTATGCAGAAATTGTAGGAGGGTCCAAGAGGTACGTGTTCGTATCGGCTAGTAAAAGGGGTAAAAAGTGGGAGTGGATTTATTTTTTTTAAAGCTGGGGGTTTGTTTGGGTCGTGTGCGGTGCGCCCTCTTTTTTTATTTTGGAAAAAGAGAAAAGTTTTTTTTGAGAAAGATGTTTGGGGGGGGGAAAAAGGTGGGATTTTTAGTTGCCGTGCAGTCAAATAGGCCTTTTTTATTTCAGCCGGATAGAATGGCACAGTTATAGCCAAGCTGAGCATAGGCACTGCCATTCAAAGACCATGCAACCGGACACGCCAAAGGGCGGTAGTCGACTTCGTAGGACGAATGAAGAGAAGAATGTGCACTCCCATCCCGCAGCGAACACAGAGCTACCAGAGAAAAACACACCCACAAGCTTTTGTTCTCAGCACTCGAAAGGTAGTAGAGGTCACTCACATCAATAACCGCAACAGCTGCAAACGCGGTAATGATAGCTCGATCCAAAGACACGGTGTGTGCTGGATCTTGCTGACTCGATGATGAACCTCGACAGGAACTTTTGCAAGCAACCGATACACATAGAGGCGATCGATAATCAAGTCGGTGGGACAAACAGTGAGTAACAAAAGTACTTTTATATTCTTGACCGTATGCAAACGAGTCAGTCCCGAATGCGACTTGTTACAGTCGGAATTGTCTTCTATTGACGGACTAGCGCAAGTTGGTAGGATCGAAAGTGGGAGAAGTACCGCCTTTGCGGTAATGGTCGTGGCTGTGCGACGTCATCATCTTTTCAGCAGTGGTCCGCTAAAGCAGACAAGTTGCGCAGCGGAAATTTCGGAGCGGTTGGGTGGAACGACGCACTGTATGAAGAGTTTTTGTGCTCGACCGGGTGATGGTGCACGTATTCAATTACCGTTTGAAGACGGGGTGGCGTGGCAGGAAGAGACCGCTGCTGTAGGTTCTGCAATAGCACGCTCAATGGTGGAAGTTGAGGGGGTCGGTCGGATGTCATGGGTTGGCACGCCCGCACAACTTTTGTTGTCGGAAAGGGCACCATAGAGCTGGAAAAGGCTCGATTGATAGTAGCAGCTGCTTTTCCATTGACAGCCATCGGTAGGTGGCTACGATGTATCGCCACGTTTCGTAGGGAAAGCAGTATCTCTGGAGCCGGCGACGACGTTTGACGGACGATTTTGTCGTCAGAAAGGTTTTTGGCGGCGAGATGAGCTTCACGGCGGCGCTTGGCCTTGATTGTGCGGTACGGCCAGCGATAGTTGTGTCGCTGGCAGTTGCGCTTGAGCGTGATCGATGCAACACCAAGTATCTTGGCCGCTTCGTCTTGGCGAAAGTGCGAGAGAGCTATGAGCGTTTCGATGGGAAAGTCGTACTTGAGGCGGCTCTTGCGCGACGATAACGCGGCAGTGGTATCCGTTTTTATCATCAAGGTCTTGCTGGATAGCGGAGACGAGGGCATGTCAGATGAACGGGTGGAGGTTTGGCAGGGGCAATTCAGTATGTGAAAGGCAAATTGAGAAGTGAAATCGACGGAGGTGAAGGCGACGAAAGTCGCGATGTGACTCGATCAGCAGATGAAGGTGGCCGTGACAGGTCGGAACATACAAAAAGGACAGAACGGGGGCAAGTCCCTGCTATCAACGTGTTGACGATACTTTAGACGGCAGCATGCACGAGTTCATGTGCGAGATATTAGGCAACTGTCCAGAGGAGATCGTGCAATTGACACGATTCGATAATTACCAACGCAATCGCTCCGAGATTTGGATGCTGGAGGCATTTGCTGGCTATGAAGTTTCGAAGATCAGCGTCAGCGGAGCCACAAGCCGAACGCATATGGAAAGACTTGGTCGTCTTCAATCGTGGCTGCACGACCATTCTACACGCTACACTACGCCTGATACGGGCGAGAAATAGATAAAGATCTATGAAGAAGAGTGGGCTTCTCTGAATCGTAATGGACTGGCTGACGAGGATGCATGCGGTGAGCGATCCCTCGCGTTTTGACAACGGGATCACTTCTACGCAACTTTGGACCATAGCGGAATGGGATGCCGTGGACATCGTTATCGACTTGTCAAAAGAGAGAAGAGATGTGTAATTTCTTCGCATCATCTCGATCATCTTTTCACGCGGTCGAATCCTGGACGTAGCTCGACGATACTTACCAGCTAGAGATGGTGGTCCTTGATTCAGGTAAGCGATTGTCGAAGCGGTCGGAATTTATCGACGTAGTGGTTGCATAGGACCGATGCTTGCGAAGCTATCATCGAGCGATGTCTTAGTACCACGTGGGATCTGGTTACGTCTTTGTACCACGTCGGACCTGTTTAATTAGGTCAGCTTTTACATTTATTTGCTGCCGTGAAAGATGGTCGCGCCAAAGTGAGCAAACGTAGTGTCTATCGGACAGAATGCGCACTGACATCGCGTCAAGTATGATAGCTCGTGTTGTTCTCCTCTTACTTTGAAGCAAGCCGAGTTATGCGTGCAATTTTCCGTTCATACACTTCATATTTGCACGAGTGAGGTGCTTTGAACGCCGCGTTCTTGTGCTATCTAAGTTCGGATACAGAGACGTTCGTTGCTTGACATCCAGTAGATATGTAGCGATGGTTTGGTATTGAAGGAGATGACACGACAAATCCTAGAGTCTCGATGACGTTAGGGAAGGCCTCTGTTCTCACATTCCCCGATAGTTACGCCTGATTCAAATAAACAGATGAGTGCGTTCGTAAGTTGTCTCTCCATTATAGACATGCCCTGACTACGACAGCCGAGCGTTGCGCTGTCGGTAATTTCGAAGGTGACAGAACCTTTGGTGTGACGAGGGTAGTAGTATCTTGTCCTACACTTTCATTTTGCGCTAGAAGTTACATGGAATGAAGCAACTGTGGCACAGGTGGCAGCTTGTGAGCAGCTGCGTGGCTGCTGAGGCTGTGAATGACATGTGTTGATCGGCGGTCTGGTCGGATCAACCGCGACCTTGTCAACGTCGAAGTGTCAACAAGTTGGTGCATACCACACTAAATTTCCATCGCTTCCTAAGGGCAGACTGTAACGGGGTGAATCGTTACATAACAATTTATAAGAAATTGTTAATAGAATATAACTATAAGAGTTATATTCTCAGAATATTGTCATAAGGACAATATTCTGTAGCACTTCCAAGTAGTTCCTAATTGGTTGATATAGGCCATTATATCAACCAACGAAGACGCGCCACGACAGACGCACGCAATGAGTGGTGAGCAGATAACTGATTTACACATTTGTATTTAGACATAGTTAGATGAAGATAAATAGTGATTTATTAACAGACATTAACTATTATAAATACAGTTCTACTTTTTACTCTAACCGAGTACTCGCTTCTTCTTACCGTCTTCCTCTGCACGTACGAGTGTACGTGAAGTTACGAGGCACCGCCTTATTCTGTTATCAGAATAAGTAGCTTGTACTGTCACCAGTACAAGCTTCAGGGTGCCCCGTTACACCTGGTAGCACTTCGTAGTCCGTCCAAGGACCGCGTTCACATCCAACATGAATATGTTGGATGATGAAGATGACCAAAGCTTTCACGCTACGCGTGACGGCTACTCCCATTTGAGCGATGTCGAATGGGATGCGGTTGAACGAATGGGTTCGACCATGGGCATCCATGCTGTTAGCGTCATGCTAGAGGCTCTCAATAGAGATGCCCAACATGCTACTATCGCCAAGTTCATTCAAAATGAACTTGACGCAGAACGCGAGAAAGTAGCCTTGCTTCACCAACAAGGTTCTCAACAAGCAGAGTTGTTGAGAGAACAAGGTGCTCAACAGTTTGAACTGTTGAGACAGCAGCAAGCTGCTGCTGGCGGGTCGATGCACTCGCGTCGGCCCGAGACTTTGAAGATTGACATCTCAAAGTATAGGGGGTCGAAGAAGACTCCCTCTTGAGATGGTTCGTCGAATCGGATGACGCCATAAGGGCGCGTCGCATCGACGACGGGGATATGCAAGTTGCATTTGCCCAATCAAATCTGGCAGGACGTGCCAAGACTTGGGCACTGGGGCTCAAGCTGCACGACCCATATGCGTTTGGGTCGTTGGAAGTCTTCAAGTCGCGGCTCAGACAAACGTTTGAACCGCCTAGAGCTGAGTTCAGGGCTCGAACCGAACTCTTGAAGCTCAAGCAGGGTAAGCGTGATGTGCACGCTTACGCTCAACATATACGACATCTCACGAGTTGTATAAGTTCCAATCCGGTTGATGAACACACGTTGGTTTCGGTGTTCGTGCAGGGTCTTGCGGATGGTCCCGTCAAGACTCAAATGTTCCGAATTGAACTGGATTCACTTGAACAAGCCATTTCCTTTGCGGAACAGGAAGGCTTTAGTCTGAGACAGGCTCGCGCCAGCTCGACATTTATCGTTCACCGAGACGAAATGACAGCGGAAGTCCAGAGCCGATGGAACTCTGTTATGTAGAGAGCTTGAAGGCTCGCGCCAGCTCGACATTTTATCGTTCACCGAGACGATATGACAGCGGAAGTCCAGAGCCGATGGAACTCTGTTATGTACAGAGCGAGAAGGCTCGCTCTACAGACTACAAGAAGTTGCAGAAATGCAGCTGATGTCAAAAGACAGGACACTACGCTTACGAGTGTCTCGCAACACTGGGCGTAATGACCGTCCACCCATGAGAAAACGGCAGGGACGCGGGTCCGCTGTTGGTGCAAAGACGCAACAACGGGAAGGACCGTAAAAACGGACAGGATCAGTAGGTGCGGAGCACCCTACTGGTCCAGCAACGTCAAGAGAATTTGTAGGCCTCTTGATGAAGGTTGCTCCCAACACACAGACATTGTGCGTTGCTGCTCTAGGTAATGAGATCTCACTCATTACCTTGAAACTCGAAGTGACAAATAAGTTGTCCCTTCGAGCTCTAGTCGATTGTGGGGCGTCCAACAATTTTGTGCGACGCCAATCGCTAGAAGATGGTCACTTTAAATTCAGTGAATGTGACACACCTCCTACGAGGATGACGGTACGTCTTGCGACAGGCGCATCCGTAACCGTCATGAAGCGTATAGTGAAGATCCACTATACGCTAGAAGATACCCAATACGACGATGACTTTATCGTATTGGATTTGGATGACAAATTTGATGTCATCCTTGGAATACCGTGGCTCAGAAGGTACGAACCACGGGTAAACTGGCAACATCGGACAGTAACGATGCCTGCCGCTTGTTCATCAGATGGCCATCTGATGAACGTTTTGGAGCGTCCACAAGCGTGTGGATGTACTACGAGTGAGTGCGATGGCCTCACTTGTGGTACGGTCGTTAGTACGACTGCACAAAACCTTAGTGTACCAAACGGTTACACTTCGGAGCAAAGTTCCGGCGGCTGTGAGGAAACACAGGCTGCGCCGAAGGTCCACCACTCGAATAAGTCGGGTGGACTGGGACAAAGATGTATCCCTAGAGGGGAACATCTAGAAGAGAAACAATCGATCGCTCAGGTTAAGCGGAACGATAATCCTAGATCGACTGGAGAGTCTTTCGTAGAGGATCTCGCTGTGGTTGCGCAACCCCAGCTAGAGGAAGTAAAGGGAATAAGTCCCAAGATTACAAATACGGCGGAAATAAGTTCCCCGAAACCCGCGGGAATAAGTCCCCGGGAAGACGAAGGAATAAGTCCTTCGAAGCCTGAGGGAATAAGTCCCCAGGAAATGACAGAGACATTGAATGTCATAGTCAATAACGGATCATGTGTAGGCGCTTATACACTTGATCTGATTGCGCCTCCGAAGTTAACTTCGGAGATCACTCAGTTGCCAACGCTCGAACATAAAAGATTCTTGCGTGATCTGCGTAGTGGCAAAGTCAAGCAGATCTGCATACTCGTCGCTGAAGACGAGTATGTAACCGACATAAGGTCAGCAACAGTGTTTACTGAGAACGAGAGAGTTCTCAGTAGTTCATCTATGGACGAGAGTGCCCTAGATGAAAAGACACGAATTGAGCGATATGAGTCCCAATCATGGGAATCGCTCAAGGAAAATCCTCTCTATGAAGATTTGGTTGAATTCAAGGATGTATTCCCTGAAACTGTTCCGTGCGAATTACCGAAGGATAAAGGTATTCGACACGAAGTCGAGCTTAAACCAGGCTCGAAGTACTGTGTCATGAAGCAGTGGCCACTGCCTCGTGAACAAGTACTTGCGATCGACAAGTTCTTTGCCGATCGTTTAGCAGCGGGCCATGTGAGGGAATCAACTTCCCCACATAGCTCTCCGACCTTCTGTGTGCGAAAAGCAACAGGAGGGTGGCGGATAGTGCACGCGTTTAACAAATTGAACGCTGCAACGGTACCGGCTCAGACGCCGATACCGAGGAAGGACGTAATCATTGATGGTATGTCAAAGAGTACCATCTTTTCGTCCATGGATTTGATGGATGGCTTCTATCAAATCCTAATGCGGGAACGGGATATACCCTATACCGCAGTTAGCACGCCTAGCGGCATGCTCTGGGAATGGCTAGTAATGCCACAAGGGCTCAGTAATGCCCCTGCCACGTTCAACAGGTGTGTATCACATCTGTTGAGGCCAGTACGAGAATTCGCGCCGAGTTATTTCGATGACGTATTCATCCATAGTCGAGCTATGGATGGAAAGTCGGACGTTGAGGTTCACAGGTACCACGTCCGACAAGTTCTTACAATCATGCGAAAGCATCAATTGTATGCTAACCTCAAGAAGTGTATATTTGCAGCAAGCGAAATACCACTTCTTGGGTGCATCGTTGGTAAGAACGGTGTACGTCCTGATCCTGAAAAGATCAAGGCGATCACCGACTGGCCTGTGCCGGTCGATGTCAAAGGTCTTCGAAAATTCCTTGGGCTAGCGGCGTATTTGCATAAGTATTCACGCAATTACGCCGAGATGACTGTACACCTCTCTCGTTTGTTGAAAAAGAACGAGAGGTGGTTATGGAACGCTGAATGTCAACGCTCCTTTGAGGGTATCAAGCAGAGCTTGATACAATCCCCAGTCCTAGCAATAGCCGATCAGGACAGGCCATTTCATGTGGTCTGTGATGCCAGCGATTTCGCAATCGGCTGTGCATTAATGCAGTACGACCTTGAAGGCGTTGAACGCGTCGTCTGCTATCAGTCGCGTCAGCTGCAACCAGCTGAGCGGAACTATCCAGTGCATGACAAGGAACTCCTTGCCATGAAGTATGCACTCGCGAAGTTCAGAGTCTATCTATTAGGAGATAGACCCTTCGTTGTTTACACTGACCATGCGTCCTTACGCACGGCAGTGAACAGCCCGCACCTTTCACAACGAATGGCGCGGTGGTTGTCATTCTTTGCAGAATACAACTTTACGGTCGAGTACAAACCAGGACGACTTAATGTCGTCGCTGATGCACTCTCACGTCGTCCCGACTTTGAAACAGTCGCGAAACCCAACAGTGAGACAGTCACTGTTGCGGTTATGACGTCCTCAGTTCCATCTACAACGTTGTATGATGATGTGAGGCGGGCATACGCCCAAGATGGTGAGATAGTGAAGTTGTTGACACATCTCTCCCAACCATCCCGAGAATCGTTGAAACGATTGTCGCCTGCGTATCGATCTGCATCAGATCGATACACTACTCGTAACGGTTTACTGTATTATACAGCCGTTTCTGGTGACACACCACGTGTTGTCATTCCAGATGATACTGATCTGCGTTTGCGGATCATGTTCGAGTATCACGATGCTCCTATAGGAGGACATCGTGGCCGAGAGAAAACATATCTCACGGTAAGTCGAGACTTTTACTGGCCCCGCCAGTATCAGTTTGTGCGAAAGTATGTTCGCGCATGCGAAGTCTGCCAACGAGTGAAGTCAAGTCCTTCACTTCGTGCACCTTTACAGCCTCTACCGGTTCCGGCTGAGTGCTGGGAATCCATCTCAATGGATTTCGTCTTCGGGTTACCCAAAGACGCACGCGGGAATACGGGTATTCTCGTATTTGTTGACAGATTCAGCAAAATGGTACACCTTGTGGCTGTACCAGAGACAATCACGGCAAGTGGCTGTGCTTGTGTCTTTATTGACACCATCTTCCGACTTCATGGGTTGCCCCGTGAACTCGTATCAGACAGAGATCCACGATTCACTGCTGATTTCTGGCGTTCCGTGTTCAAATCACTCGGAACGCGCTTGAAGATGTCAACATCTGATCATCCAGAGTCAGATGGTCAGACGGAACGTGCCAACCGTGTCCTCGAAGAGATACTTCGAGGATACGTACACTCCTTTAAAAGTTGGAGTGAGTTTTTGCCAATGGTAGAGTTTGCCATCAACAACTCGGTGCATGCGTCCACGACACATACACCGTTTTACGTGAATGGCTTGCGCCATCCGCGTGTACCCACCTTACTAGAGTGTAACTCTGGTTTAAGGGGGGGGAGGGACTCGCGCGAGCAAAAACCGATTTGGTTCACGCTCATCACGCTCTGACGAAGAAGTCATTGCGTTTGATGCCGATATCGATAACATCGATATCGAAGAAGATGATGCCAGTGAGAGTGCGGAAGCCCTCACTGAAGACAATGATCCCAGTGAGAGTGCGGAAGCCCTCACTGAAGAAAAGGTTGTTGTTGCTGCAGTGCGCTCACAGCACACTGAAGCTAACGAGTCATCAGATGAGTTCATACTGGCTCGTGAAACGGTAGTCCGTTTTGTGCAAGACTCCATCGCCGAAGCGGTGGATAAGCAAAAGCAAAACGCTGACAAGAATGGAAGGGCAAACACTCTTTTATTTAATAAAGGTGACTTAGTCCTACTGTCTACGGTTAATCTACCAAAACATGTAGTGACTAACTTGGGTAGCAGTAAACTACTACCCAAGTACATTGGCCCATTTCGTGTATTGCACCGCCTAGGCAATGCATACACGATCGAGTTACCACGTAAGATGCGAACGCATCCCACGTTTTACGTTGGTCGGCTTAAGCCGTACCATCAGTACGCTGCTTCTTCCGATGAAGAACGCCCTTGCGCTCAAGCATCTCGCAGAGAGCCTTGTGCTCCCGATGGTGGGCATCAACAAGGGTCTGAAGAGCAGTTATCTCAGCCCGAGACCGATCAACAATCCCACGAGCTACCCTTAGCTCGTCACGAAGAGATGTCAGAGATCTCTCGTTCTCAAGCTGAGCAAAGGCAAACTCAGCTCGATGCTTCGAGGCAGTGTCCACCATCTGGAGACGCCTATTCCGCTCATGCTCGAGATCGTCGCGTAACCCTTGCGTTACGCGATCAAAGATGCTCTCTCGGGAACACACCGATCCACATGATCGTGTGGAGAGCGTCTTTCCTCCTCCTCCACCTCCATTAGAGGACTCTCGCGGTGGCCAGCGCTATCTAGTTGAGCAGCTGTTGAACCACCGCGACGTGAACGGACGTCGGACGAGTTACCTCG